CCCAAAGTTCTCCAACAGGAATCAACAACTGCTAGACACTTTCCCTATCCGTATTTTTTTGGCTTAAAAACAATTGTGTTGAAGGTAATCTTGTTTAGATTGTCGAAAATTTTTCTAAATAAGATTTTCTGTAATTTTTTGATACTATTGCAAAAATTAGTTCTGATTGATGTCTGATCAACATTGTTTTTGACGGTCTTGATCTGCTATGTAGTCTTCTGCTAAAACTGACATTTTTTTTCTTTTTTTTTGGGTTTCAATAGTGTTAAAAAAAAATTCAGGAATTAATTTCATTGTTTTTTTACCCGGCTAGTGGAAACATCGGTTCGACATACCAGGATGATCCATGTCATTAGTAAACAAGCCCACTTTTTATCTACTTATGAAACTTTGGCTAGTGATTAAATTAATTACACATTATATATGTTGCCTACCACAAGAAGTGGGATGAGGCAATAATTTAGAAAATAGTTTTCAAAAACAGCTGCTGAATTCAACTGGGTGATCATCAGGTACTCAAAAACAAAAGCAAATGGAACAATAATTTCCACACTCATAGTCTTTTTTATTCACAGAAAGCAATGCATAAAATGTTATTTTAAGGGGAATCATTTTGGGGTGTCCCATTACTGCCGGATACAAAGACTCCGAGACCAATTTAGTTGATAGGTTAGGTTTTTCGGGTAGAAATACAGTAACTAAAAGTTATTTTTTAGTATTATTCTCAAAGTTAATATTGACAAGTACAAATTCAACCGGGTTAGGCCCAATAAACCAAGTAAGCTAAAAGGCAGGTCAAGTCCAATTTGTCAATCCGATCTAGTTCAAAATCCAAGAAGTCCATGAAGAAAAGAGCACGTGGGGAGAGATTATCGAGATACCCACTCTCGAAGATCAGGACTATCATAATTGTACTTACATTTTGTAATTATCCTCTCTAAAGAATTAGCGCTCTCACACTCACGTCACCGTCTCACTTCTCTCTTTTAATTATTGTATCTCTTCCAGAGCTAACTATTGTTCTCTCCCCCGTTCACCCATCTTCATCAATAAAGACCTCCCGGCCACCGTTGTCATTTTTCAGAGTAAAGTAGGTCACCTGAACCGAACCACTATATATATGTGTGTTAACTCAATATTTACATTACTGTTATTGATTATTTTATTTATTGTCCATTAATTACACCTTATAACACACTCAACTATTGATCTTGCACAAGACAGTTTTGTGCATCATCAGTTTGACGTCATCTGTGGGAATCGACCAAGTTTTCTACTACCTTGTTATTCTATGGCAATCACGACCAGGTCGATAAGTCAACAACTGGGAGACAACAACCCAGCCCATCGGGAGGAGACTGAGTCTCCCCTCGCACCCTCGAAACCATCCGTTACAACAACTCCCATCATCGAGCAATAACTTTTACAGACCATGCAGCTGCCAATAAACCAGACCAGCAAATCATTCAGTCGATGCTCGCCCAGGGAGGCGTCCCCCCTCAACCCATAGAAGGAACACCACTCCCTCCAACGGGAGAAACGCAGCAACCTATCCCCTCTAGGCGCCAAACAACCCCTCACCAGAATGCCCCCAGCAACGCTAGAGTGCCCCTCGCCCAGCAGTCCCTCCTCAGCATGCAGGAAGCTCACGTGTTCCCCCTCCTCATGTACCTGTGCAGGAGGATGAAGGAAAAAGCTAGTATGCTTATCATGGGAACCATTACAACAACCCGACAGAGGATGTCCCCAGCCAATGGGACAAGAAGATCAGAGAGGTGCAAAACCAACTCGATGATACCCTCAATGCCATCAAGGCACAGGCGCCCAAGACGGTGGATTACCTGATAAGGTGCACTGATATCCCATTCATCACAGACATTGTCAATTACCCTCTACCCTCGAAGTTCAAGATGTCTATCCTCGAGATATTCGAAGGTACCAAGGACCCTCTGGCTCATATTGACACATATAAGTCTCTCATGTAACTCCACAACGTACCTGATGAAATCATGTGTAGAGTCTTCCCTACCACCCTGAAAGGGTCTGCTCAAAAATGGTTCACGAAGATAAAACCCTCTTCTATCCACTCCATCGTGGAGCTGAGCAAATCTTTTATCTCCCACTTCATTGTGAGACGCCGACATCAGAAGCCTGTTACCCATCTGCTCACCATTAAGTAGAATCGGAATGAAAGCCTCATAAGCTAGCTCACTCGTTTCAACAAGGAGGCTCTCCAGATTGAAGAGCCAGACGATAAATTAGGCCTAGCCACCTTCATTACGGGTATGCGCTTCTCCAATTTTATGTTCTCTGTCCTCAAGAAGTCACCCTCTAGCATGCTCAGGCTGCTATCAAGTGCACAAAAGTACATAAACGCCGAGGACATCACCAAAGCCTGTCGAGGTGAGTCATCCCAAGGAGGAGAGAAAATGAAGGACACCCGCAAAGACAAAAGGAAGGCAGAGAGCAAGAGACAGAGAACCGAGAAAGTCTCTGTCAAAGACCGTCTTGGTCCAGTACCCCAGAGAAAATGGCAACCCTTCACGCCACTCAACGCCTTGATGGAGCACATCCTGTTCCAAATATAGGATGACCCCCGCGCTCCGCTGGTCTAGAAAAATAATGTCTGCCCGAACCGTAGAAGCCCGAACAAGTACAGTCGTTTCCACCGCAACCACGGCCATGATACTGACGATTGTTTTGATCTTATATGGCAGATCGAGGAGCTCATACAGCGTGGCCAGTTGAGGTAGTACGTTACTGGCAGAGGACAAGTCCTGCCACCAGGCCAAGACCAGGACGATAGAGAATACCAATAATCCCTCGGAGAAACTCGGATAATCTCCTGAAAGCTAGGAGGAGGAGGTAACTCCAACTCTACCAGAAAAGTCTTGCTATGGGACAACGAACACCTGAGGATTTTATCTATCCTTTATTGTTTCAATTGATTTATTTTGTTATTTATTATTTTATAAAATAAAATTCTGCAAAGATTATTGTGTCCATAACTGTCTTATTTTCATTTATAAAGTTTGTAAACAGCTTACAAAAGTTAGAACATGACTTAACAATAAGGTAGACAAAAAGACAAAAGTCGTCATATTCCTAACGATCAGTCACTACTCCCCGAGTCACTACCATCAAGGTTCTTTCCGTCATCGTCTACCCCTAGTGCCTCATATGGGATGAAGCCAGAGAAATCAATAGCAGGAAAAGTTGTCAAGCCTTTCATAACCATCAATAAAGGCATGGCCCTCTCAACAGTCTCCCTCCTTATCTCCATCTCAATGGCATGAGTCTTTGCCACAACAACTCTCTCTTGAGCTATACGTAGCTCAGCCTCAACTCTGGCAGTCCTCTCGCAGAGTTCTTATAGCTCTGACTCTATTCTCACACAGACAGTCATCTTATCAGTATCCAACTTCGCGTTCTCTTGTGAGTTGCCAAGAAGCTCGACCTTATCTTACTGCTGCTCCTAAGCAGCCTATGTATCCAGCTTCATACTCTCTCGTGAGTCGCCAAGAAGTTCGGTCTAATCCAATCTCTGCTCCCAAGCAGTTTATGTATCCAGCTTCATGTTCTCTCGCGAGTCACCAAGAAGCTCGGTCTTATCTTACCTCCATTTCTAAACAGTCTATGTATCCAGCTTTGTGCTCTCTCGCGAGTCACCAAGAAGCTCGACCTTATCTTCCATCTACTCCTAAGCAGCCTATGTATCCATCTTCGCACTCTCTCACGAGTCATCAAGTCTACTCTCAAGCAGTCTATGTATCCAGCTTCGCACTTTCTCGAGAATTGCCAAGAAGCTTGGCCTGAACTTACCTCTGCTCCCAAGCAGTTTATGTATCTAGCTCCTCGCTCTCTCGTTAGTCATCAAGAAGCTTGGCCTAATCTTATCTCTGCTCCCGAGTAGCCTCAATCTCCAGTTTTGCGGCTTTTTCACGAGTCGCCAAAAGCTCAGCTTCAAGAGGTGTTACTCTCGCATGAGCCAACCTCAACTACTCTCAGCAGCCCCCGTGTCTGCCTCTCTGTTACCAGATGCCTGAATGACTCTCCTAGCTTGATCGTCCTCGAAAAAAGTAGGGATAAGCGACAGTCGCCTGCAAGCATTCAAAAAGCAAAACAAGAAGGAAAAGAGGCGAATACAAAATCAAAGTTGAGAAGAGAGGCATATCATGGAAGACCCTTCCATCGCGGTATTGGTAATGCCCCTTGAACCTCAAGATCCAACCTCTATAATATCCTCAAGAGTCACAGACCTCCAAAGTTGTTCCTTGACCAAAGTCAAGTCAAAACATTGACACCGAGCCACTACTAGAAACAGAACAGTTACGTGGAGTTGTAGTCTTCTGTAGAAGACCGCACTAAAGTCTCAACTCCTACAACGGTATAAGGGCTAGCTCTGGTACACACAGAAATCATAATCTGAGAAAGAGTGTGAGCACCACCGAGTCCTATCTCCCAGAAAGCAACCTAGCCATTGGACTCTGACCGAGAAGCACTGGGGGCATTAAACTTCACCCTCTTAGGAAGAGGGGAAGACACCACCCTAAAAGAACAAAGAGTCTCCATCATCGGCTTATCAACAAGACACTTGTAATTAGAGACAAGGTCAGTATAGAGAACCAGCATCGAGAGCATGTTCGCCTTATCAACGGGATTCACCTTATTAGCGGGATTCACCTCTTATCCAGCTGAAAGCCATCATAGTCTCCCTTTCTAGCAAAAACCCAAAACATCAACTTGTCGCCCATGAATGCCTGACAGTTGTCTGCCATAGTGCAACTTTCCACTACCATCGGCTTCACGAATTTATGTTTAAAACTCAAAGTCAAAGAGATAGAAGCATTTTTTGGAGAAAATTGGTGACCAAAAAAAAATTCGCCTCAAACAGACAACCATGTGCAAAGTTATGATCGTGCAAAAAATTAGCCAAAAATTCACCTAGAACCTCAGGCTTCGCCCAGGTGAGTCGACCCATCCCTATTCGATGTCGCCTTCTACGAGCTCACCCCCTTCAGACACACTGTGGGCGCCAACCCTTGGCTCGTAACCCGAAGCAGCGCTGTTTGCATCGATGTTTGTGCCCAGGGTGCCGTCTCCAATGAAGCCAACGCCTCCCTCTTGGGCACCTCCCTCCTAGACGTCTTCCTCTTGGAAGCCTCCCTCTTCGGTGTCTCCGATAACCCAACATCTCTTGCTGCCGAGGACGTCACCCATGGAGTTGGCGCCACCCACCACTCCTTCGTAATGGTGTCGCTCTCCACTCTAACAGCGGCGTCACTCACCACTTCTTTGTATCCCATGCCATAGGTGTGGTTGTTCACGGTGTCACTATTAGCACCAGGGACGTTGACCTTGCTACCTTTTCTAACCACGCCTGTGATGGCTTGTTCTGCACTGCCGATCTGCCCTCCAGTTTACTTAGGATTAAAGAGTTCTATGGTACTAGCCTTTGGGTTCCCCGTGGATTTCACTAGCTTTGAGGGTCCAACATAGAAGGTGATCGTCATTGTAATGATGATACAAAATGGGAAAATAATTTTTGTAGAAAAGGGGAAAACGAAAAAGTTACCGTGCGGAACAAGAAACTAAAAGCTCACTCATGACCTCAACACCCTTCTCTCGTAAGCAATTGGGCTTGGGGCATAGGGGGCAAATAACAAGTGCAAATCCAACCAGATCATGCCCAATAAACCAAGTTCAAGTCAGTTAAAAGGCAAGTCAAACCTAATTCGTCAATCTGACCCAGTTCAAGATCCAAGGAGTCTATGAAAAAAAGAGCACGTGGGGAGAGATTATCAGGATACCCACTCTCAAAGATCAAATCTATCATAATTGTACTTACCTTTTATAACCATCCTTCTTGAAGAATTAGTGCCCTTACACTTACGTCACCGCCTCATCATGCCTATAAATTGTAAATCTTCTCCACATGAGAGGACATATCTTGGCATCTCACGACACCTCTCTACACACACATAGCTTCTCTCTCCTACCTATTGTATCTCTTCCAGAGCTAACCATTGCTCTCTCCCCCGTTCACCCATCTTCATCAATAAAGACCCCCCGACCATCGTTGCCATTTTTCGAAGTGAAATACGTCACCCTAACCGAATCATTATATATCTGCGTGTTGACTCAATATTTACATTACTGTCATTGATTGTTTTATTTATTGTCTATTAATTACACCTTATCACGCACTCGACTGTTAATCTTGTACAAGACAGTTTTATGCATCATCAAATACAAAATAAAGATAAAATTATGACTCAATTCAATAAAGTAATGATAAAATAAAGTTGTTTGGAACCGATCCCAATTTCATTAGTCCTAAGTGACCCAAAATGAATGTGTAACTTGCTGTATTTTTTCGTAAAGTTAGTGTTTTTCCCATGATTCAAGGTCATGGTATCGGTCATCGACTCAGAGAGCTTTGAGATATATCAGTTGTGACATCGCGATACGGTATCAGGGGATACAACCTAAAAAACAAATGTTGAACATAACAAGAGATTCAAGATATACTGTATAGCATTACGGAATCGTATCAGCCGATTCGATGACAATAACTTGATAATTCGAAATTGACTCAAATACAACTTGACCGAGTTATACGAAACTCAGGGTTTATATATATAGTGTAACGGTATCATCTCAGAATATATCAAGTCAGATACGACTCGACCAACACGTATCAATATCGACCGATACTTTAATCCATGTTTTTTCCCCCATTCAAACTGTGTATCTCCCTGTCCAATTCCACTTCCTTCCCCAGTCTCTCTCCTAAAATGACCTAGTTCTCCAGGCCCATACATGGGGTACTGCAGAACCAAAAATGCCTACGCTTCAGTGACCAAAGATACTACAGAAGTTTCATGCTTTCTGGATTTATATGGGTAACTCCACAATCCAACCCAGTAACCACCTTGTCTACTAAACAACACTGAACATCACATGAAAACGAAGCAAATTAAAAGTTCATCACGTACGAGAAATTTAGAGTATTAACAGGTGTTTAGCCTTCTAAAACTTCCATTACTTACATTAAACCCTATTATAGACTAAAATCTTGTACAACTCATGAGTACAGCAGAAGTACAGCAGGAGTACAGCCTTTTTGTTACACAAAAAAAGTTCATGCTGTCATCGTTTATTTTCAATCAAGACCTATCCATGGCCTTCCTGACACCTCAAGCCACAGAGTCTGCATGGTCACGTGTCCAATAGGACCCATTATTCCAGCATTAGTACACTTCACTCCATTTCACACTTTATATCCGATAAACTTTGCATCGTACTTACTAAAAATAAAAAACAAAACTTTGCATTTTCAAAAGCAACAAAACTGGATATCACTTATCTCTCTTAAACGCAAGGACAACTCAACAAAAAATTACGGTCCTAGGCCTAAGTGTAAATCTTAAAAGCAGGAACCTTCTAAAACTTGATAGAAGTATATAAATTGATAGAAGTATAGAATAATAGGAGTATAATTTTATTTTAAAACCATTCCTCTTCATTTTTTAAGATGCAAAACTATTGATAATAAAGCAGATTTCAAATGGGAGCCCTAAGCAAACGAAACGTCTTTCAAAAGAACAATAACATTAACACTAGCGATGATTATGTGCATTGATCTATCTACATTATGAGAGAATTACCATGAATTGCATATGATGCATTGAGACCTCCCTTCGAACAGGGTCCTAAGCAGCTGCCAAAAACATACCTAATGACTTGGTCAATCCTACTCAAACCCAATTATAAACATGAGTCTTGTACACTAAATAAACGCTTTTTAACTCTCATCACATGTTTCCCTGAACTTAGATTTCTTTGTTTGTTTTCAATCCAGACCGGTACATGGTGTTTCTGAATCCTCAAGCCACAAAGCCAACATATTCACATGTCCAAGAGGACCCACTATTCCAACTACCCCTAGGAGACCTCACTCAATTCCACCAACCATACCCAGATAAAATCAGGAACATATTTTTGTCATACAATATATATACGTACTGTTGTCTCTATTTCCCATCTGTTGTCTCTATCTTCACAGCGTTTGCCTAAGTTGACAAGTAAAAGGACTTCTTATATCAACTGTCTTAATTCTAAAATCTGTTTTTGCCCGTTATGTTTATCCTTTTCTCTCATTCTTTGGCTTGAGGTGAGAAAATGTTAAGCAATCAAATACAATTAGCGTGATAATCGGGTTAAGATTTATGAGCTCGAAATAAGCATATTGAGCTTTTTTTTTTTTAAACAAATCTAAAAAATTGTTCAAATTCAACTCATTTATAAAATAAATGAATTAAGCCTGAACTGAATCCAAAACAAACTGAACTCAAGTCAAACTCGAATAGCTCAACTATTTATATATAAATGAGTCTAAAAAATTATTCGAACCCAACTCGTTTCGAGTCTTATCCGAACTGAGCCCAAGTTCAATTATCAGCCCTAAATGCAATGACCAAAAGACAAACTCTTCTCAGTCAAAGGTAAACAAAAATTATTTTTCGACATTATACTTCTTATTTTTATTCAATTACAAGATTACATGTAAAAAGTTTCTATTATTTTATTGACCAATGATAACAATTAATTTAAATCAAAATCAACGATCATTTTTCAATAGAATATTGAATTTTTTTGTGGATAGCACGGTGTTATCCAACTCTTCTGAACTCTCTGTGGTCCAGGAGGACCACTAATTTGAGACTTGGTAGTGGGTCCTCCAATAATCAGTCTTCAATAAGAACTTGAATCTACTATGAATAGAAGTTCTGTTGGACATTTAAACGTCACTAACATGTGAACAAAGATTTTGATGCCGAAAACGGACTCTGGTATCTATGCAAAATGGCAAAAACATGAATAAGGTCATAAGGGAAGTAGATAGATTCACTGCATAGTCAACTGGGCTTATGACAATATTTTACCATAAAAATTTATACTTGTCAATGGTCATGTCATATCCTGTTATATTCAAAATCAAACCCACTTCGATTATAGTCATGTACAGTTAGATTCATATCAAATATATACGTGAAATATATAAGTTTTTTTTAGCAAGTTCGTATCAAGTATGTTTTGTGTGAGTTTGAATCATATTTAACTGAGTTTATATCGACCCGTTAATTAATCCATATTTGACCCAATAACTTGACACACTATAACCCTTTTGTGTCAAATTTTGTGTTGGGTTTAAAGATGATGCCTAACCCTAAGTGTAACTCAAGTAGTAACGAAAATAAATTATAAACTCATACGTTCTGAGTTTAAAACTTGGCAACCTCTTGGGGTTAGGTCATGAGAGATTTATCATTTATAAATACTTTAATTCCGACGTGGATAACCTATTTTTGAGTGGACCGAAAAAAGAATTAATCAATGTTTATGTAAACTGATCTAAATCTCTTATGATTGAACCCAAAAATATCTGAGACTCTCTCAATGGAATACAAAAATATGATCTTGAGACTGAAATCCATTGTGCAAAAAATTGAGAATTGTGCACAAGTAGAGATACATTATAAAGTGATGAGTTCATGTGGGAAATTAAAAATAAATAAATTGGTCCCTGGCCCAACCATCCAAGGATACAAAATTACGAATATGTTTACGAAAAATAGCAGTAAAAAAGCAGGTAATGAGGTTCCATCCTCCAACAACCTTCCTGTATATATTTCTTCCCTCCCCTTAGCTTCCTTAGCCTCCTAAACATCCAGATTTTTCGTTTTGTTTCACACATAAAACAACAGAGCCACTCTCCTCTCTCTCTCTCTCTCTCTCTCTCTCTCTAGAACAGCAATCAGAACCCTCTCAACATCTGGTAACAGCAAAAACGCAGCCATTAATATGTTTCTCTCTTGAACAACAATCAGAAATCTCCTTTTGACCTCTCATGTGCATGTGATTGTATGTGGGTTTGTATCAAAACATACCATCAAAGAAATAAAAAAAGAAAAAGGAAATGAAGACACCCCCCCAAAATTTGCTGAAACGAAACCACATGATCCTCATATTTCTCATTGTCTTATTACTATCGACTTGTTCTACCGACCACCCTTTGGCCAAACCTACAATCTTTCCTCGCTCATCATCTTCCTCAAACATTCAATTATCACTAAAGCCATTGATCCTCAATGGCAATCTCAGCTTTGAAGACATTCACGAAGCAGCCAAGGACTTCGGCAATATGTACCACTTCCTTCCCTCTGCAATTCTCTACCCAGAAACAGTTTCTGATATTTCCACCATAATAAAAAATATTAACGAAATGGGCACCACCTCAGGGCTCACAGTTGCAGCAAGAGGCAATGGCCACTCTGTTCAAGGTCAAGCACAGGCAAATCAGGGGATCGTGATCGATATGAAATCGCTCCGGGGACCGGAAATGCAGTTTTACACCGGAGAGCTACCGTATGTGGATGTTTCTGGCGGTGAACTTTGGGTAAATATTCTGAATGAGAGTCTTAAACATGGGCTGTCTCCAAAGTCTTGGACTGATTTTCTTCATCTCACGGTCGGAGGGACGTTATCAAATGCCGGAGTCAGTGGGCAGGCATTCCGGCATGGACCTCAGATCAATAACGTCTACCAACTAGAGGTGGTCACAGGTATAAGGGTGTTCCTGTTTATGTCGTGTTATATGGGATGGAGGAGTCAATTTTAATCCAAGCAAATCATCAAGAAATCTTACTTTTCTTCATAAAAAATTATTAAATTTTATCGTAATTATCTTTATACTATTAAGTCTTATTTTAAGTATTCATGTAACTTTTGTGAAATAGAAACTCAAAGCTAGGACCTCCTTCTCGATTAATCAAACTACAACAACTATACAACCAAGTATATTTTCAGATTCGTGTGAAAAACTAATCAACTTTTAACATGTTATGAAATAACATGTTAGCGGTTTCTCTTGTGCACCAGCACAATCTACCGTCACAAGAAGAAACATTATTTTCGTAACTAAAACCTTACGATTTCATGTAGGCTGTTGCAGCATTACGGCAGTTATGAACTAGTGTTGTAAACTGAGCACAACCATGTTAGCAACTTACATATAAGTCACATAACTTACTTATACATAGTTTCAGTTTCGGTTTCGTGTTATGTATGAGTTATATATAATTGTATAAAAGAAATGCTATTAGGTCCCTTGTATATAACAGGGTTGTATCAATCCTTTCATTAACTGATACGTATTGTAAGTGCAGGAAAAGGAGAGCTGGTCACCTGTTCAGAGAAGCAGAATACTGACCTTTTCTACGGTGTTCTTGGAGGACTGGGACAGTTTGGCATCATCACCAGGGCTAGAATTTCTCTACAAGCTGCACCTATAATGGTAAAGCAACTTAACCATCTGTTTATTAGAGATAAACCACCATCACAATCACCACCACCATCACCCACCACCAGTCACCGTCACTACCTATCCCTGCCAACCACCCTCCCGGGGCCCAAAAAAGTAGAATCCAAGTACAACGAGAAAAATGTTGTAATCTATTTTTTCACTTTCTTTTGACAGGTGAAGTGGATAAGAGTGCTCTACTCAGATTTTTCCTTATTTACCAAGGACCAAGAGCATCTAATATCATCCCAGAATGCTTTTGACTACATTGAAGGATTTGTCATCATAAACAGAACTGGTTTAGTAAACAGCTGGAGATCCACTTTCAATCCAAAGGACCCAGTTCAAGCCAGCCAGTTCATTTCTGATGGAAAAACACTATTCTGTCTAGAAATGGCCAAATACTTCAACCCTCAAGAGATTGATTTCATGAACCAGGTGAGACTTAGTGGACCACCCATATCATGCTTCCAATACCTTTACACAATCCTTACTCTATTCCATGTGTACCCGGATTTACAACAAATTTCCTAATCTAGCATTGTTTACATGAAAGTGTTGTTTGAATCCACGCTTTTATAAGGGAAATCGTGTTTGCAAACAACATTTTCAAGATTTTTTATTGAAAAAAGGACCAACTTAAAAAAAAGGGTAATTCGATCAAAGAAACCAGTGACCACATATTGACGTGTGTCTTTCTATTTATGCAGAAAGTTGACAGCTTGCTGTCAGAATTGAGCTACATTGAGTCCACACTGTTCCTATCAGAAGCCACATATGTCGAATTCCTGGATAGAGTGCATGTTTCCATGTTAAAACTCCAAGAAAAGGGGTTGTGGGATCTTCCACATCCATGGCTCAATCTGATCATTCCCAGAAGTAGAATACATGAATTTGCCCAGGAAGTTTTTGGAAATATTCTCACAGACACTAGCAATGGTCCTATACTGATCTACCCATTTAACAAATCCAAGTACTAATCCACTAACTCAATCAGATCTCTATAGCACATATGGTGTTCACAACCTGAATTCCAATCAATTTTGTACTGCAGGTGGAACAACAGGACTTCTATGATCACCCCAGAGGAAGATGTTCTATACCTAGTCGCATTCCTATCCTCTGCAATGCCAGGTTCCACAGGGACAGATGGCTTAGAATACATCTTCAGCCAAAACAAAAGAATTCTGGATTTCTGCAAATCGGCCAATCTCGGAATGAAGCAATATTTGCCCCATTACCTTACACAGGAAGAGTGGAAAATCCATTTCGGCACTAAATGGGAAGTCTTCCTTCGGAGGAAATTCACCAATGACCCTCTAGCAATTCTAGCTCCTGGCCACAGAATTTTCCAAAAAGGCAAGGTGTCTCAGTGATAATGGCCTGCGGAATAAACAACAGAGCATACAGAGCTCTCCAGTAACACAGATCAAAAGCCAAAATGCTTAGATATGTAAATAATTTTATCTAATTTTTGTATTTCCTCGAGTTTTCAAGAAGATGGAAAAAAAACCAAGAAACAGCAACTTTTATGCTGTGTGGTTTTTATAGGCGGTTATTTGGAAATGACAAAAATACTCACCCAAAAATGAAGGCATTTCAATTAAGTTAAACAAAAATCAACTCGTACAAATAAACAAGAATAATGAGTGCCTCAAAGAGTATTTTTCAAGTGCATCACTAAAACAGTAGCAAATCTTCATGACGGTCCCATGCACACAAGAGTAATAAACTTCATGACGGTCCCATGCACACGAGTATTTTTCAAGTGCATCACTAAAACAGTAGCAAAACTTCATGACGGTCCCATGCACACAAGAGTAATACAATTCAATGCTTGAGTACACCAGTCAGAACTAACATTTGAAATTGCTCGATTAATTCAACAGACCCTCCATAGATTAAAAATCCAATAGTTCTAGATAATAACATGACTTGTAGTTAAGAAGAAAGTAGTACCAGACTAGATCCCACAGCAGACTGTTACTTCATAGAGCCCAGCAGACTTCTACTTTGTAGCTCCCATCCAGCCAAGGCCTGGTCTGCAAATTTCTTCCTGTGGTTCTTCATAATCTCGAGCATCACGAAGAGAGGCTTCAAAATCGGTGGAGTCGCTTGCTACTGGAAGAAAACTGCTTATATCATCCCTAGCTCCAAAGCCTCCAGCCCGCAGAACATCATCAGCTCTGATGGAAGCCTCCATATTTACATCACCATGAGCAATATCTGCAGGAGCTGCATTCTGTGCCACATCACTAACAAATTTGGAATCAGCTCTGTTGACTTGTATGATGTCCACTAAGGAACCTGGTTGCTGTTTCTGTTCATCCACTGTGTTAGTGTCAAGTTGAACAGATTCAGCTACCTCGTTCCTTATGCTGCCCTCATTCTTAGCTGTTGCATAGAAAAGCTCAAACAAATTCACTTCAAAGAAGAAAGTTCAACATGAATGAGCATATGAAGAATTTTGACTAAAATAAATTAGTCAATCTATATTTTAGTAGTAATGGGGGATGAAAAAAGAGTGACACAACAGTTTTATAGAAGATAGTAGATTGTAAAAAAGTTAGAATGGAGGATTAGGCAAGTTTGTGCCGATATTCATCTAAAATGTCTTTGGATGAAGAACATTATTTCCAATTTGCTGGGTACATCCCACACATCTGAATGTAAATAAGTTTTTTTCCTAGTTTTTCACACAGAGAGCACCCAAAATTGAAGCCGTTATAGACCTGTATGATGTCTAAACAAGCCTAATCAATGGACAGCAAATCACAAGAAATATTTTGTTCCAGGTAATATTTGTTTTTCATCATCATGTTGCCACTTTTCACTTCAGTTTTTCTCTCTCACTTTCGGCCTGTAGTTGTCCAGCACAAAACAAATAAGATATATTCTTATGCTTGCTCGGGAACAAGAAACTGCTATGATGACTCTGAGAGTGAAAATTTCACTGCTATTCTTCATAACTGATTCTGATGAACTGGGACAAATTCAATACTAATCAACTGTTTTGGCAATGATTATGGCCATAACTAACAGTGGAAACCAATGTCTTTACCTCCAAATCAAGCTTTAGCCCTTTCTTTTTGACAAGATATGCTCTTTAGGTATTAGATGTCTATTACATATCATGGTAAGATCATGTCCCCCTTTTAACCTAGAAAAAAACACACACATGGCAGTTTAAAAGTCCAACCTTTTTTTTCCTATGAATCTGGAAGAGAACAGAACAGAGATCTTTTTTCCTTTCCTTTTCAGGGCGCGTTATGGTCTTTGCGACGTTGATATCTCCAATGTTAATCTTGAGGGACTGTCAAACTTGAAATCGGGGAATCTTACATTACATAAAAGTTCAATGTCTGTTAGACTAAAAAGCTATGAAGTACGGATACTTCGATTAGGGTGACGTATCCGTATCCAACACCTATCAAATACCAATACTTGTTGGATACGTATCGGATACTTTCCAAACATATCGAATAATTAATAAAATATTTATCATTGTTAGACACATCTCGGATACATGTATCTCCATGGTAGATACATTCGCCCTATACTTAGTGAAGTGGGTTGTGTAGAAAACATGAATCATACAAATAGTGATTCCTTACTCCAAGATGTTCATTTGGACGTGGATCACACATGTCACAAGATTTATCAATCCTTTTCAATTTATGGCCTGAATAATGAGTTTTAATGGCTTATGGCCAAAGTCATTGAACCTATTCCAATTAACTGATAAGGAAAAGGCGACACATGTTCAACTTTAGAATTACATAAAACATTAGATTCAAAACACCATTATGCAGTCCCTATGTCAACAAAATAAATTATTTTAGTTTGAGACGTGTTTTATCTTTTAATATCCTATTGTAGTAACATCATTGTATATATATAAATATATATATTTATTAACGTATTATAGCCATACTCGTATTCTACTTTTTAAAATTTTCCTGTATCGTCAAATTTGTATCGTTTCGTATCTCGTATCTATGATTACTACTTAAAAAGATATAAAATCACACTCAACTACAATTGATTGGCCAAAACAATTGCAACCTTGTGAAAGCCCGAAGAGGGGAGTTCAACAGGCAAAGGTGGTCCTATTGGAAGCACTAATTATAATGGCATGGTATTTCAATAATTATTCCTGTTTCTCCTGTCCTATCTATCTAGATCTTTACATGAACCATTTTAGCTTCTGTCAAAGTTAAAAGCAAATTGTAAACTTCAAATGACTTCAAATTTTCACATGTACATGAAGCAGGAATTTAGAGAACAAGTACAACAAGAGAAGGTCAGAGTTGGAGGGACTTTTTTGGGTTTTTTTTTTTTTGTTGGGGGGGGGGGGGGGTGTGGGGGTGAGGGGGAGATATGTTAATCAGTTCTGGAGAAAAGGTTTAAAACGGAAATGTAAAATAATAATAACAGTATTCTAGTACCTTGCAACATTTTATTCAAACCGTATTCCATGATACATTAAAGCTTTCAACTTGCCTGCAATAGCACAGTTGTCCTTGTAAATTTTTGTTTCTTGAGAGGAGGAATCACAGAACAATATTTCAAGACCTATTAAACGTCTGTCACAGTGAGACCACTATATAGTCCTGAGAATGGAGGGAAAAACTCCAATGTCACAAATTTAACTAGAACCAGAAGCATAATAAATCAAATTTCCTCAAGATAATGGTAATAGAAGTCACAACAAATTTGACAAATGTTCAACTGTTCAACTGCAATTGCACATAACTATCTCTTCATTTAAAAGCACCGTCGAAGGGAAAACATCCATCCTGGAGAGCTATCATTCAGTTTTTGCCATAATCATGTCCCGTAGTAATTGGAGCATGACACAATAATAATGAAACCGCATATCGCCACAGTTCTGGTAACCTGATTCATATTTAATAATCCTCCCAGTCCAAGTCCTAATCATACATAGCTCAAAATCCAGGCATTTACAATACATCTAGTAGATATTCAATCAGAATCTTGTCAATAGCACTGCCATATATCCCTCTACAGGCTCAGGAGGCAAGAAAACGAGCTTCAATACATCTGTAGGAATTGAATTACACTATCACTGGTTCACTAAGATCTCTACAGTCCATCCAACATTTTATGTTGTAAAACAATCAGAAAGATGAGACAGAGCAAAAGGATGGGAAGATGAAATTACCTGTATCTTAAGATAGATAGATGATTACTTGTAACCTTATACCAAAATACCAAACTATTTGAAAGTCGGGCTCATGGATGATTAAACATCAATATCGCTCAGATTCAATATTCTAGCACAACCCACCTTTCTATAGCTATCAACACAAGTCTGTCTTGTACTTTCTACATACCAAATGGTATTAAAATCTTCTTGCTTGTCCACATTTTTAGAATATACTGCCATCAACATAAGATTCCTTTTTCTTCGGAAGGTAATATAAGTTCTCAAAAAGCACTTGATCAACTGAATATATCCCCTTCCAATTACAATCAAACAATTTCCAAGAACCAGGGTTAAACTCCAATTCCACAGAATGCAGAGAATAAAGATCCTTTCACTCACAATGTGAGCCACAACCCTATCCTTTCCCTCACTATTGCAATCAACAACAACAATAATTTAATACCACAAAACAAGATTACAAAAAGTCCAACAATATCTGAATAAACCAGCTTCAAAATGAAATCTACAAAATTTCAAACCAAAAAACACCAAAAATATTAATACTTAAACATCTGAACTGTTATCAAACACTTCACCCAATAATTTATTTTAAACTTAAAATAGTTAGACACTGAAATTTGAACGAGTCTTCTGCCCAAAATCCTTCTTTATTTGTGAATTAGTAAATTCGTCCTTTATGGAAGTTCAATAGCCACTAACCAGTTCAGATGCTATTGTGACAATAATCAGCTGACCCCAAATTTGATACAGATTTGCTTTGCATATATTGTCTTATGTGAAGGGAAAATACAGAAATATTGGTAAGTTCGGGCAACAAAGGAAGAAAAGGAGACAGCCAACCACACAAGCGAGTGAAAAGGGACACTGACATAGAGAAAACTACTCCAAGTTAGTGACTGTTTTTCTATGGAAATTTCCCTTTGCAACTGGTGCAACATGGATGAATGTTTGGTTTGTGACAACAATAATATAGAAAGACACAGCAAACAGAATCACAGGCAGTTTAGATTAAGAAACTTGAATCCCCAAAAACCAAGTAGCGATAGCAAATAAAAAGGGAAGGCCCTCAGCTACAGTTTCCTCTCTTTAGAAAACCCTTAAGCAGAACCAAAACCTGAATTCAAAACCAAACTTTTAAGTCTTATTTCTATCTGAAACTGCAATCAAACTTCCCAAAATAGCATTTTAACCATTGCAAAATGACCCTATGAGATTTTCCAACCACTCCGAGATGTGAAAACAGTTGTTGACAATCATAATTAAAGCACAATAAAACAAGAATAAACTAATACCAGCCCTGTTCTATCCTGTAACTCCAGTTACTCCACCGCTAGCCCTCACTTTGATGGACATTGCTTACCGAGCTACATCAATTCCCCTAGGCTCCAAATTTGACAGCATCTAGCTCTCCAGCATATCCACTAGGAGCAAGAGCATATCTAAGTTCGATATCGATGTAGAACTAGACATGCAAAACTGAATGCAATTGTCATTTGTTAGTTTATCACCACAATGACCATGCCTAAACTCCAAAAAATTGAGAAGTGAGTAACCTAACCTTAGATTCCACTTGTATTTGTAGTCTCCGACCCAACAAAAAAGATACTTGAGAACTTTGAAGCCTTCATACCTTCAATCCGTGTTCTCTCACGAATATTTATTTCAAATTGTGTTAAATATGTATCTAAGGTCTTTTCCTTTACAGGCTCCCATTTGGGTAAAACATATATCCCTCTATCTTGTTTGATTTAATAAAATACTCTTGTGATTATCTCCTTCTAGATGTAGTAAGCTCTCAATCTTTTTCTCTACATCCAGTTGCTCGGACACATGTCCAACACGGATGTAGCTACCAACCCTCCACACACACCTCCCAGCAGCCAGTCCTTGTCCCAATTTCCTCCAACACACATGCCACATTGTGAAGTGAGGAGAACCAAACAAAAATACAAACCGACAATGCAAAAGAAGATACCCACAGAATACGGAATCCGCTTTGCACAATATGGCCCCTTTTAAGAAGGAACCCCAAACCCAAGGGAAAAATTTGCAAGTATCAATAATACCGGATCTCCTTCAATATGCCAAACATTCATCAATCAAAACTAACTGTAAATGAAGTTGAAACTGGCATCCCCCTACAATTAGCATTATCAATTTGTTTGATTTTCCCTTTACTCCAATCATAACAAGCGTCAATTAAACCTATTAAATAAATCTGCATCGTCAATATCATCTAATATGAACAGTAAAACCTACTCTTAATGGATCAGTATACGAGCTGGAAATTTAAGGTGTTCATATACAAAAACCGACAACGGCCCTAATCATCAATCAATCCCTCATGACAAAATAAATCCAGATAATCACCCATCTTGTACAAAATTTGAACTGTATTCACACTAAATGAGTGAACAGTATCTCACCACTTCCGAAAAACTAGTGAATATTCACTCTAATTAGCATTGCAAGACTACTGTGCACATTCTGATACTACACAAGCATATAACCACATACAAACAACATAAATGCACGTAGTACTAAAGGTTTAGACAGAAACAAGCTAGGATTTGTGAGAGATTCTGGAGTTACCGGATGGAAGAGATTGGAAGTGATATCCTAATGCTCTCTCTCTCTCTCTCTCACACACACACACACTCTCGAGCTTGTGGTTCAAGCTATATAGAAACTAAATAGGGTTAATCACAAATTATACCTGAAAAATTTCTTGAGTTTTAATTTACGCTCCCAAAAATCTCAATCTACACCGAAAACTAATTGTCTTCTAAAATTTTCAAAAAAAAAAAAAATTGTCTTATAAAACTACAAAGCCTAATTACATCTAGACCATTTCATGTTTGTAATTTAATCATTAGACTCTCTTATATTTAAAATATTACACCTACAACCTCTGACATTTGTGCTCGTGTAAAACATAATCTCTTGTCATTAATATCCATTAATGTAATTGTTAAAAAACATGATGTTGTCTTAAAAATTAACTACAATTTTTATACTACTACTTTTTTTTTATAAGTCTGTTGTACTATAAAATTCAAAATCAATCTTACCCTTGAATATTCAAGAGTATTTAAATTATATAATATTTTTCATATCTAATGCAATACATTACTTGAACATAAAATATTTGAATTCCCGATTAGAGGAACATTTTTAATCATATTTGGATTCTATAGGGTGTAGGTGTAATATTTTCAATATGAGAGATTCAAGTGATTAAGTGACAAATATGATAAGGTTTAGGTGTAATTTATCTATTTAGTTATAGGTCGTCAACTGAACGGTTGTTAGGTTCATGTGCACATTAATAAAGATTTATATCTTTGAGTTTATAAATTGAGATTTTTAATTTATGAAGGTATAAATTAATATTTGAGAGATTTTTTGTGGTGCAATTTGTGATTAACCCAACTAAATATTGGTGTGAGGAACCTAAATTTGGTTAGATTTTAGGGCAAATAGTATTTTGTATCCCAAAAGATTAAAAAAATAATAATTTGCACTTTTAAAAATAAATTTAAATACAAAATTGCACCCTTAATTAAATTAATTTGTAGTAATGTGCTCTCAATCACAACTTCGTAATGATTTTCATCAAACTGACAGTCACGTGAGATATACATGAAAAGAGGAATGGTCAAAATATAACAAAAGTCATCATGTACATTTCACATGATTGTCAATTTAACAAAAATCACAATCTTAGCCATAAACGTTCCATACAATTTTTATTAGATTGACATGCACGTAAGACACATGTGAAAAGGAGAAGCATTATAATCCGATAAAAGTTATCATGTACCTCTAATGGTAGCTGGGAACTTGATGAAAATTACAATAAATATTATGGGCGGGTCACATTGTTAATAATTAATTTAACTAATGACATAATTTGAAATAATTGATATTTAAGGGTGTAAAGTAAATTTTTTAAAAAAATTTCGAGAAGCAAATAGTAAGTTTGAAGAAACGTGTATGATGCATTTGTTTGACACGTGACTTGAGAATACGCAACCATGTTTGGGAATAATTGGTTGAAGAGGTTTTCGTATAATCAATACGACGACGAAAAAACATTAGAACTTTTGCATTGGTATTACAATAAATTGTACACAAATTACTAACATAATTTGTTCAAATATTCATAAATTATGAGTATTAATTAAATTCATGAATTTATTGTAATAATATTTTATTAATAACTACTAATACAAAAATTATAAATATAAATATATGATTTGTAGCAAAAATCAATAATAATTCAATACGTAAAACTAAAGTTAATATAATTTTATGGCAAAGTCTTCAGGTTTTTTATGGAATCGTGAATATTAACCAAAAGTCATTAGCACTTTCAAAATCAGCAAGATTTTTGTAATTTATAAAGCTGATCTAAATACTTCAAAACTTATTCTATTACATTTTTTTCTAATAAATTTACAGGTTAAATAACAAGTATTAAATTGTAAACAAAATTTTCACAAACAATATAATATATTCAATCCTTACCGTTCTTTAACTTTAATTTTTTTTAAAAAAAAATAGAGTATTTCCTTGATTTCGTGGTGTGAAATTGATAGATTATTAACTAAATATAAAGAGAATAATGTATAAAATATATTTGAATTTTTTTTAATTACTTAATAATGTGTTGATCTTAAGGATCACACTTTTTTTTTTCTCTTTTTTTTTCATAGGCAAATTATACAAATGAGAGTGGTTGGAAGTAAAGTGGGGCAAGTGTGTGACTGGAGTAATGGGTGTTGGGTAATAAGGTGCAAGGGCAGCCCAAAACATTTTGGGGCTTAAAGGAGAAACAATAAATGTGATTTTTTATTTTTAATATTAATAATAAATTTAAATTTTAAAATTTTTAAATACAAAAATATTAATTAAATTTTTACATTCAAGTTTTTTGTTATCGTATTTGAACTTAATAGTTAGAGAGAGAAATAAAAATTTAAAAATTATGATAATAAGTTTAAACTTTATTTTTTTTTTGGTTTAAAATTATATTTTTTAGTAGATTTAGTCTAACTGTTACTCTTTTTTTTCATTTTTTTTTAAATTCAAAACATAAATTTTAAGGTTTTTCAATTTTATGACTTAATTAATAGGTCAAATCTGTTTAAATTGAAATCATTTGTTTGATCATGAATTAAAATAAAAATTTGGACTATCACGATGTACCTATAAATTATGGCCTCATCCCTAAAGTGATACCTTTTTTTTTATTATTATTATTACTGGACTTGTGTTTTTATAAGACATTTTTGTAGGATTTAAAATACTTATGAACTTAATTTCTTTATATGATATTTAAAAATTTGAGGTCTTCTTTAAAAATAGAGCTTAAAACTCCAGTTATTTTAACTATACTATTACGTTGCCCCCCGACAAGGTCAAAATTTTTATGATTTTCTTACACGGTGTAGCATTGTTATGCGTTGTGCACAAGGTTGCCACAAAAGTAACTTGTGAAGCACACAAGTTGAATTATTCAAATAAAATTCTCACAAAGTAATAAGTTATAACTATTTATCGGATATGTATAATTTTTTATTACTGATGTATACCACATAATGTTGTCATATTATGTTTTACATTCATTGAAAAAATTCTCGTAATAAGGTAGATAAAAATAATGCTGGCCATCACCCCTCGTAAGTTTTGTAATACCATCTGTATAATTTAGTGAGTAATTTTATTGAGATATTAAATATTAATATAATTTATTAAACTAATGATGTGATAATATTATATTTCAATAATATTATTAAAAAGATAATTATTGATTTTTTTATTAAGACTCTATCATTTTATAAGATTAACAAATTATGAAAGATTTTTTTTTTTGTGAAATAGCATTCATTGAATTTAGCATTAATCGCATTTAGTCTAATAAAATTTTAAGAGTGGTCTAGTGATCAAGTTTAAGAGGTAGCATGTTCGATATTTTTTATATCGAACATGGAGTGATTGAGAGTGCGGTGAATACATATTGAGACTTGGTGATCCACTGTTATTCTAATTTAACTAGGTTTTTTTTGTGTTTTTTATTTATTAGAAAAAAAAAAAAAAACCTACCTATAGCAGGAAAAAAAAAAGCCCAATAAAAAGCCCTATTTCCGTTGTTTTGGCTCATCACAAGAAAAAAAAGGAGTGTCTGTCTCCTCTTCTTTACTTCAAAAATAAGCAAATGAAAGGAAGGTAAAGAATAAGAAGAGGAGGAGGAAACCCTTATTTCTCCGTCACCAAACGCCGGAAAACCTGATTCCGGCTGGCCATTTTATTCACTTCCTCCGAGAATGTCGCCGGCGGTCATGAATTTCAGTTCTCCGAGCACCTCTTCCCAACAATCCCATTCATCTCTTCAAAACCATTCAAACACTTGTAATGGTGAAATAACTTGTTCTTTTCCTTCGTCTTCCGTGCCGAGTGTGAGGAATGTATCGGGTCGGTCGAGGCCGAGGCTAGTGAAGCTGAGGAAACAACAGGGTAGTTCTCAACAAGGTAAGTCAAAATCAGCACAAAATGGTTCGGGTTTAAATCTATTTCGGTCGGTGTCAGAAAGTTCGAGTCGCGTTGATGATGCTGCAAGTACTAATACTCCAAATCGTGGTGGTATAGCTGGTGATGTGACGTTTGGGAAGTTTGATTATAAAAGTGATATTGGGTTGAAATCGAATTCAAGGAGAGAAGAGTGTAGTGGAAATGTGGGAAAATTGGTGGCTAATGTATTTGGTGGTAATGGGAGTCATTCTGGGTCGAATTTGAATTTGGGCAAACGAGAGGCTAGTGGAATTTCAGGGCAGGTGGGTGCTGGTGAGTTTGGGAGGGTTGACAATGTAGGTTTCTTGTTTGGTGTTAGTAAGAGTAGTTTGACATGTGATTCGAAATTGGAAAATGGGGTTTTTGCGTTTGGTGCTAATAGGAGTAGTTCACCTACACAATCAAATTTGGATAATGGGAATTTTGTGTGTGGTGTTAATACGAATAATTTGGCTGCAAATTTGAATTCAGGGCAGACAGAGTCTGATGGAAGCATGGGAATATCGGGTACTGATAACTTTGTGAAATATAATAGTGTGGGTTCTGTGTTTGATGCCAATAAGAGCGATTCGGCTCCAAATTCAAATTCGGGGCTGAGCGAGTCTAATGTCAGCGTAGGAAAATCTGATAATGAAAGCGGTGCAGGAAAATTGGGTGCTGATCAGTTCGGGAAGTCTGAAAATGTATGCTTTGTCTTTGGTGCTGATAAGAGTAATTCAGGGGCAGTTTCAAATCTGGAAAACAGGAATTCATGCAGAAGTGGGGGGACATTGTCTATGAATGGGTTTGGGCAGTTTGTTAATGTGGATTTTGTGTTTGGTGCTGGCAAGTCAGTGTTGAATGCAGAGGAGAAAGACACTGGCAAAAAGAACTTGGGTATTGATGAGTTCAGGAAGTTAAGTAATGTGGAATTTGCGTTTGGCTCCAAATCCAATATGGCGGCATCAAGATTAAATTCAGAAACGAGTCACCCCTGTGAAAATGTAGGAAAATTCGGTGATGAAAAAGGGAAATTGGAAGAGGAAAATAAATTAGAGGTGAGGACCCTATATAATGTGGATTTTGTGTCTGATGCTAATTGCAGAAATGTCACATCAAACATGAATTTGGGAAAGAACGAATCACTTGAAAATAATGGAAAATCAGTCCCTGAACTGAGGGAGAAGATGAAATTAGACACAGGAGGAGATTTTGGGAAGGTTGGGTATGCAGGCTTTGAGTGTGGCACAAATTCGAGTGATTTGAGGTCAGATTGTAAATTGGAAAGGACAGGTTCTGATGAAAATGTTGGTAAGTCAGTTTCTTATGAGGATGGGAATTTGAGACATAAAGCACAATGGAGGAAGTTTGGTGATATGGGTTTTGTGTTTGGTTCTAAGAAGAGTGATTCCACATCAAGTGCAGATCTGGAAATTAGTGAAAACGGTAGAAGTGCTGGGAAATTGGAATTTTTCTGGGGGAATAATATGAAAGGAGACGTTGAAACAGAGTTTCAGAAAGCTATAGGTGGTGATGTTTTTGTATTTTCAAGTGGCAGCAAGGAAAGTTCCACTTTCAATGGAAGTAATGAGGTCGGTGATGGTATGAACAAATGGAACAGTGAAAATGCTGAAAAATGTACTAGCTTTGTGAAGAAGCAAAATGAATATGCAGGTTCGGATGCTAATGTTATGCACAATTTTGTATTGGGGAGTACTAATAGTTTGGGCAGTGCTATTAGCGAACACCCTGTATTTAAACTATCAGATGAGATTAAGACATTGAACATCAATGATTCTGAAAAGGTGAATGGTACTGACAAGACCAGATCTTGTGATAATAACTCATGTGCTGAAAGTGATAATAAGTTTGTGCTTGGAAGCATTACCTCCTGGAATCAGCTCAAAGGTGCAACCTTAGAAGTTCCTGGGAAGGGTGTTGCTGTTGAGAAGACAGAAGGGGCTAATGTGAAAACCGGCATTAAGAAGACATTTCCATCTGGAAATAATGAAACAAGTGCTGGTTCGTTTGGAGGAAGTGCGGAAAACATATTGCCTGCTGAACTGAGGAATACAAACACCAGATTTGGTGTAGGAGTTGTCAGGGAACCAATTAACTCCGGAAAGGAGAACCACCCATCAAATATGGACAATAAGAGTTTGGATGGGGGCCCCTTTCCTCGACCTCAACCAAATGATGACAGGTCATTGCATAAAGGCCCCATATCATCTTCATTGTCTTCGATGGGCGTTAGTTTCTGGCCAAATGGTAGTGTTACTGAAGTACCTTTTGTTGCTGAAGATGAAGTGAAGGATGAATTTTGTTTTACAAGCACTCCAGTTGGATTAGGGGCATCCTTTACAGATTTCAGTAAACCAAATTTGAATGCGTCTTGTTCTTTTACAGCGAGTTTATTTCCTGGGTTAAGTAAAAAGTTGGAGTCCAGTACAAATAATAGATCAGTCAGGCACAAAAAATGGAAGAAGACAAGGGGAAAGTTGAAGCAATCTATGCATGTTCAACAGTTAGCTGGCGAAGATTATTTATCAAAACAAGGCATTTCCCAGCAGAATCTTGAGTCTCCTGGATGTGGTTCTCCTATGGATTTTGCTCCTTATGAAGATACCAACAATATACCATCTCCTGCCAACTTGACTGATTTTGCTGAAACAAAAGATGCAGATTTGGCGGCTGCAGGAGAACAATCTGATATCAATGAAGGTGACAAGAAATATAGTGAACCAAATAATAAAGCTTCTGGGGACTATTTTAAAAATTACTTTGTGGCTGACCGTTCTGTGGAAACGTTTGCTTGTGGGGCTGAAGCTGAACAAGTTTACTCTGCAACTGAGAGGGACAGCATTGATAGCCCTGCTGGTGTTGCATCAGCAGAAGCTGACTTTTTCTCAAAGACACAGAGAGAAAATAGTGGCTGCACGGCGCCATTTTGCTTTGTTTCAAATATAGAAAGTTCTGGTGGAAAAAAACCTCCCTTTTCTGCTTCATCCTCTGCACAAGATGGTTTATCAGCCATAAGACGTCAGTACAGGAAGAAATATAAATTAAAAGTTGGCTGTGGTTCAGATCGTTCTTCCCCAAGTCCAAAAGTTGACTTTGCATCTTCGTCAGTCCAATTTTCACCGCTTGCTGGCAATTCTTTGCATCTTGACTCACTGCAGGTTCAAAATGAAGTAACATTGAACTCCCAAAGCATAGGGAACCATATATTTAAAGCAGGTGAAGATGTCAAACAGGGGTTCCGTGAGGCTTCAATCAAGAAAGCATGTGAGCTTTGGCGTGTGAGGTGATTCTTGCTTAATAGTCATCTGCCTCCTAATAACGCCCTTTCCCAACACTTTTCATGTAAATAGGCTTTACTTCTGATGGAGTCATATTTTTCATGTGATAGATTCTTCTGCTATTGTATCTTTCAGTTCTAGCATCACAGATTTGTTATTCAGATTGTGAATGATTTGGATTCAGGGGCAACCAAGCTTATAAGAAGGGGGATCTGTTTAAAGCTGAGGAGTTCTATACAAAAGGCATTGATGTCATTCCACATACCAAGCAATCAGGATGCTGCATTGAGCCTCTCGTGTTGTGCTATAGCAACCGTGCTGCCACTCGGATGTATCTAGGACAGACGAGGGAAGCCCTACGAGACTGTACAATAGCTGCTGCTCTAGATCCTAGCTTTCTCAAAGTCAAAATAAGAGCTGCTAAGTAAGCCTTCATTTATGCTCTCTCATTCTTTATTTATTTCTTTCTTTTTTTCAGGTAATGCTCTCTCATATTTCTTGTGGACAAATATCTGTTTTCTTTTCTAATCTTCTGTAAATAGTCCTCTTTTAACCAGACAGTGCTAAAATATAGCTAGAACGACATAATTGTTTTTTTTTATTCTAGTTTCTGTGGTATTATTATTCCTATCTATATTTTTTCAGTGGATGGCTGTTCAGGTTCGGCTCATTTCTCATAATTATTTGGAATTCTGTGGAGGTGTATGACAACAGATCTTGTAGTGATGTAATAGCTGCATATACCCAACCTATGCAAAGGGCATCAAATAGGTTGGAGCTATGAAGCTTACCTTATTATTAAAAAAGAAAAGGGCTTTTTCAACTGATTCGGAAACGTTTTAGTAATGTTTCGAAAGCACATCGGAAACAAGATGGAAACAAAGAGAAATTTAAAAATTGTTTATGAAATAATGGTTGAAACAACCGAAACATAGGTTGAAACACCTTGAAATATAGGAGTTTTGATACTCAATCAATGATTCATTGAGGTTTCCATAGAAACAGAAACATTTTGGACTTTTCAACTATTTCGAAACGAAATTTAATTCCTTGCATGTGTTTATTTTATGGTTTTGGGTGTAGGGTGAGTCCTTGAAAATGATGAAATCCTCACATCGCCCCCTCCCACCCTCCTTCCATATATACCTAGTTATTTTTTCTACTCAGGTGGAGAACATGCTTTACAGAATTATCTCAAGGCTTTTAAAGCCTTTTTCGGATTGTGTGATGCATGTCAACCCTAGATGTGATCCCTATGACTGTCCAGGTGTGATGCCTCGAGCTATTGCTTCTTCTTCTTCTTTTTGATGTTTTGCAGTTTTATGCCAGTGACCAAATTGTTTACCCTCTCTTATATGTCAGCTTCTTAGAAGTATATGTGCTTCTTAGCTATTTTTGCGCTGGACAGCCATCACCCTTGCTCTTTCGGCCATATCAAAACCATTCAAGGTTCTAATACCTTCTACGGATGTAAAACCAATTTTTTCTGTCAATGTTTTGGCAATAGACCTTGGACATAATAAGTCCCCAAACCATTTTTGGGGCTGATAAAGGTCAGAGTCATAGCCTTCAAAAATAAGGAGTGAGAGCACGTTTGTCCACACTTGCATTAATCTTGCATCGGAGGTTGTAGAAAAACACCCAAAGGCCAAAATTCCATGGAGTCGAAGCTTGTAGGAGAAAGTTCTGTTCACATTTGTCCTAGATCATATGGTTGACAAGGTACGACTTGAAAGTGAACAAGAATTAACTGACCACTTGCCTCTTCTTATGACATGCTAATGGAGAAATTTTCTAGATATGGACAGGAGATGAAGGATGCCCCTTGCTTAGGGGTATCTCGCTTCCGCTCTCAAGTTACAGATTTAAGAATTGAGAGTAAAGATGAAATGTCTGTGGATCAACCTTTTTGAGAGCATGATCAATCCAGATCAGGGATACTGGGATCACAGGTAGCCCATGGGTCCCATAATCCAGAGTGGCACAATTAAAAAATGGGATGGGTTCGCAACCTAGATCGCTAAAATTCCCCTCCCTAAATTATAAGCCTAACCTCAAATTGACCACCGTCCATGTAATACCCAAATTATAACCCTAGCTGGTAGTTGATTTATTCATTTTGGTGATCTGAACTTATACGTTCATTTGTAGCATTTGAATTTTTATATTCTCTTTGAATGCTTATCAGTAGTGTAAAATAAATGTTATTTGATAATGTGTATGCGGATGTATAATCATAAATAATATCATATTAGAGTGAAAGCATATGAATAAGAGTTACAAACGAACAAAGACCAAAATAATGTATCAATTAAGTCGGAGCACATAACGGAGCAAGTACCATGATTTATTACCATACCACTTGCTAAAATCTATCATGATCCACGTAACATTGGTTCAGATGGTGCAGATACTGGAAGTATCACTGTGTTCTCTTCTTCGTTTTGTCATGTTCATATCAAATGCCATGCATCATTTCTATCATGTGACCAATGTGCATGGTTGTTTTTCCTGCACATGGAGTGGTGAGTTGATGTTAATATTCATTCAACTTCTGCACGGTTGGATTAGATTTTGTTGCCATCTTGAGGGATGACATTTCTAAAAATGTTTTTTTCATTTTCTAATTTGTAGTTGTCATCTATTGCTGGGAGAAGTTGGGCATGCGGTGCAATATTTCAGTAAGTGCTTGGAATCAGGGAGCGATGTGTGCTTGGATAGGAGAATTACAATTGAAGCTGCTGATGGCATACAAAAGGCTCAGGTACCACATTATCTTTATTTTAAGTTTTGACATGGTTGAATGCAGTCATTAATATATAATGCTTATAATTTTCATTTAAAAACGATCTTTATAAATTGTATACCAGTTGGTACATTTGGTGCAGGGCAGCAGGAAGGTTTTCTTTTTGTTATTTTGTAGTACCCCGAAAATAAGTATACTTTGTTGGTGTTAGGAAAAATGTTTGATGAACCCTTATGGGAGTGTATTATGGATTTAGTCTTAGTACAATTACCAAATATTCTTAAATGAGTATTAAACATTCCCTTGCCTGTTGTCGATATATAGGCAATTGATGCCCAACTTTACATAATTAATTGAGTCAACAATTTCAGCAGGCTTACTAGAGAGAATACTTGTTATGAAACTCCTCTTCGTGCGAATCTGGATGGTACTTATGCACTCATGTGCTGCTACTTGTCACATATTTCTGTGAATCAAGCTTTCTATCATTACTCTGAAATTATAGGATTTTACCTTTTGACTTTTTATTCGAACTTGGCATGAAGGACTGGTTTTTTGAGAAGAAAAAGGTTGCACTTGAAAAAGGACAAGGTCTACATCAAATTAAAGAAAGGAGGCAAAATGTAGAAATACAATCATGCTTCTTACCTCATCCGCTGTCATCTCGCCCTGAAGATGTTAAAGAAGAATAGGACCGAAGATATTGTCTACATCTAGAACGACTTCTAAATGGATTAACCTAAGCCAGGGGGCCATAATTGCACAGAGATGGCATCAATACTGTGAATCCAATTTCCACCAAAAACTTCCCACAATTAATGGTCGGGTGATACACCTGCATAAGCCAACGTAGAATATAGATAACAAAGGAACCATAACTGCAACTGAATATAATAACTTGGAACACATTGTGTCAGAAATGCTCAGACTTAAGAAAGATGTCTAGAGGTACATTGGTTGAGATGAAAAAAAATTATGGGAGATAATGATAGCCAAATCATATAAAAACTTAACATTATGAAAGATCTGTCTGTAAAAAGCTGTAATTCATTTGACCATGTTGACAAGCCCCTTTTGAGTGATATAATCCTTGGAGGTTCTAACTGTGGAAGGGCTAACTTGTATATCAGGGAAGATATACTAGAACGTGGCATATTCAAACTGCGGTCCTTCCCTGGGAAGGATAGGGTTGGCCAGCTCAATCCCTCTTGGAGAATAGGAATGCAAACAAGTTGATTAGGCGTAGTGGTGACGCAATCAAACATGGCTGGGTGGAATTCGATTGGGCTTGAGCTCAGGAAATCATGTCAGGCTCAGCTAGACTGATGGGTCTACAGACCCTCTGCCATCCATTGCAGCAGAGCCGTTTCATGAGCGGGGGGCCTAAGCACAATTCTTTGAATCAAAGTTTGAATGAAATCAATTCTTTTTTAGATATCAAAATCCAAATCGGATAGGATAGATGGATCTATCTTTCTATTCATATATCTTACTAAAAAAATGGATTTTGATGGTAAAGTACTGTAGCAAGAAGCCCTAAATCCTTACTTTGGCCGGGCAAGACTGCACTGCTTTGGGCCCACGAAGCGAAGGGAATGAGCTCGACTGCTTCTCTGTACTTATTTTTTTCCATGCCCGTTTGGCATGCGCTCTGTGCGCCATTGGCGCTTTGCTCTCCTCTTATTCTTCATTGGATGGTTCGGATTTTTTTTTTAGCTTAATTGAACCAAATTTGAGGTTGGGCTTGAGCTCGTGAGTGCTGGAGTTTCGTTCACATTGAGTGTTTGGCATTCAGTGTGTGAAAAGTGGAGATAAATTAATAGAAATTCGACTTGAAATGCCAAAGATAAAAGATGTTGATTAAAACATTCTTAATGGCTAGTAATGCCAACAAAACTGTCTAAAAAGAGAAGACATTTCTTTTCAAGTATTACACCTTGTTCATGAGCCTGGATGAGATAAGCTGGGTTTTTCTAGACCTTTGCTCATTACAGAAAGAGATTGATTATGTGGGTCAAGCCTGTTCAGTAGTTAGGTAAATGAACTTGAACAAGCCATTAACCGACCTGAGCTTGAGCTGTACATAAACATTTCACTTCATGGAAGCGCTATTTGATGATAGAGCAATGGTATTGGGATCTAATTTGCTGACCTAATTCACTATGACCTTTGGATTGACCGTGGATTCCATCAAATATTAGAATTTGGTGTTAATTCAATGGTTCTATTGAAGCCACATCATTATGTTAGTAAATTATGTCAGATTTTTAGGTCCAAATAGTATTACTCTTGATGATAATTCTAGATTTTACTCCTGAATTGCTGCTTTTGTTCTTGAAGGGTCTGCATTTTAAGGTTTGTTCAGATTCTAAAGGAATGGGGAGAAGAGAGAAAAAAAAAGAAGGAAAAGAGTGACTGACTTAGCCTAGAATAGGGAGATCAGTCCCATATATGTTTGAAATATCTTTATGAAAGTGAGGCTACCCGTATCAATAATAGCTTTAATAACTCTAATACTCCCACTTAAGATGCAACACTGATGTTAATGATACCCAGCTTGTTACAAGCTATTATAATTTTCTCTTGCTCAAAGTCTTACTAAAATATCTTCTACCTAAGCAATTGCCTTGCGAAGGATCCATGTCTTGGCCAAAATATATATCAGCTTCAATATGCGTGGTTTCTTATGAAATACATCATTATCGGCTATATACATTGCGACATGAAGATCACAATCCATCATCCTGGGCTTGTTACTAGAATCTCCCCAGCTCCTGTTGCTCTGTGAGCCATAGCTTTGTAGTCGGCCTCTGTTCTCAGTTACCACATTTTTTTTCCTAGTCTTCCATTTAAATAGGCTGCCACTGATAAAGTACAAAACCTTAGCACATTCCTTGAATCTAGATGATCACCTGCGTAATCTGCATTGGAAAGACCAATTACTTCCAAATTATCAGAAGGTTTAGGACAATACCCTTGGCTGGTGCACTCTTTAAATGTCTTAAAATGTAGTGTTCAAGTTCCCAAAGTTTGCTTCTTTGGACTCGGTATCTAATCAACCCTATTGCAAGAGTAATACATGGGTGTGCAACAATCACATAAATTAGTTTACCTATAAATATTTTGTACCTCCTTCTCTATTGAACTTGATATTATGCTCTGTTGAAATGTTGACTGTTTTGGTCCCATCATACTGGTCTTATCAAGAAAATTAAGTATACACTTTGATGCAATCCATAAGATGCTTAAGAAGAGACAAATTAAAATACATGAAGAATTGTGAAATTTGGCTTGCCATGAAGACAAAGACTTGTATCGAAATTTTGGATAGCTTTATTTGAGTCCTATTTTTAATTACCTTAAGTTTGTTTTCTAGTATTTAGTAATTAATGTGTCTTTTGTATTTTTAGGGTCACAGGTCTTTTTGTAATTTCCAAAATTTTTGGAATGGGTCATATTTTTGATTCAAATTCTAGTGATGAATATTCTAGAATTTAAAATTCTAGTTCTAGTTAATTTTAGTTTTCTAATTTTTAGAAACCTAGAGTTTTTAGAGTTCTAGAGATTTTGGAATTATAATCTTTTGGGATTAGGAGTACTTAGAAGTTAGAACTTTATATATAGTTAGTGTTATTTTTAATAAAATATAGAGAGATATTTCAGAAATTTCAGCAATTACATGCTTCTTGAGTTGTGTGATGCAATTCTAACCCTAGGTGTGATGCCTAAGGAATTTTATGAGTAATTTCTAGCCTATTTTACTATTCACATTACTGTTCGCAACCTATTTTATTGTTCATAGCCCCAAAACAACCCATATTTTGATTTTACATGGCTGTCCTACATCAGTTTTGGTATTAGAGCCAAAAAATTCTATGTTGTGTGGCTTAAATATTGACATATGAGGATGGAGATACAAGATTTTGATGGAAGAGATGATTCTACAATATTTTTTAGTTGACTTGTTTTTGTGGAGAACTATTTTTGCTAGATATAAATTCTCCAATGAGCGGAGAGTAAGGTTTGCCAAGATGAAACTTTTAGGCTTGGCAAAAAATTTGGTGGGTCGGTGTTGAAGATTAAATAAGATTGAGATTGTCGTCAATTTGCACATGAAAAGAGATGAAAGCTAAGCTTCAAGAAAAATATAGCTTCAAATTATTATGTCAAGTTGTGCAGACAACTTACCAATCTATAACAAGGTAACCTATATGTATATATCTGTTTTAGAGTATATTCAAAGATTTGAAATCTAATATTGAAAAGTCAAATCCCAAAAGATTCCTGTCAAATAATTGCTCGATTCAAGGCTGGTTTAAAAGAAAACTTAAGGGTAGAATTACTTGGGAAACCACCATACAACGTAGAACATGCATTCCAAATGGCACTTGGTATGGAGATGTAGCTAAATTTCCTTCACCAAGCAAATACATCAAGGGTTTCTTCTTCTGAAAAGGCTAAAACTCAAAAGTTATTTGCATTCTAATGTACAACTAGAGAAAATTCATCAAAAGCAACCTAAAGCAACAAGGGATCTAATAATTCAAGATGGTGGCTAAGGTAAAAAGTGAACATCCAAACAATTTTTTTGTTATGGAGTCTATCAAGATGGAAAAACTAACAACTAGAATTGAATTAGATTTGCCTTTAGAGAATAGTAAGTTACTATCTAAGAGCTTTGAAATAGTGGCAAAAGAGTTGTTGAATAAAATTCCTCCTATTGACAACTTTCTAGCAATAACATTAGTACCTTAAGTGCTTGATTTTTTTGCATCCACCGAGAATCTAAGTGTGCATAAAGAGCCAACTAATGGTGCTCAAGAGAATATCAAAGCTACAACAAAAGAAGATATAACTATGAACCACGAGATCATAGTTATCAAATCGTGTATCGGAAGGTGTATCGTTTTTTAAAAATAGTGTATCGTATCGTATCGCGTATCTTGTATCGTAAGATTCAAAACAATGTTAAATAATTAATAATAAAATATATATACTTTTGAAAAAAAAGTATAGACTCATAAAAACATATCATTTCATTAATATTTCACATATTATTCAAGTTACCAATATAATTTATTAATATTAAAAAAATAATTAAGGGTATCAAATTAAATCAATGATACTTATATATACTTAAAAATAAAAAGTTATAATATAGTGGGGTATAAAATATAATTTTTATACTTATAACAAACCAACACAGTTGTGGGTTACAGACTCACGAACGAAAAGAGACAGAGAGAGAAGAGGTGAGAGGAGACTGGCGAAGGCGATGGCGATGCCGATGTCGGTGCTAGGGAGAGAGAAGAAGAAGAAGAACATACCTGGTGGCTGGTACTCGTGGTCGCAGCTCACAGCGATGAAGAGAGAGATCGTGAGACCTAGGGTTTCATCCAGGTTAGTATTGTTATTCTTTTGAATTTCAAAAATTTGTTTGATTTGCTTTTGCTTGGGTGTTTTTGCTGATTTGTTGCCCAATAATTCTTATCTTCTTCATCTCTGTTGCCTTTTTTTTTTGGCATTTTCTCTATTCTCTGGTTTTTGGGCTTGATTTTTTTATCTCTATTTTTGCTGCCAATGATTTGGTACAAATTGAACTGATTTGGTGCGAATCAGTCTGTCAACGAAAAAAAAAAAATTAAACAAAGAATTCGCTTATCGTTCGTATCGTACCGATACGTATCGTATTGTAAAAATATATCGTGTATCGGACGATACAACGCAAAAGGGATACAAAATTACGATCCATATTGTACGATACGTATCGCGTATCGTACGATACTAACAACTATGCATGAGATAAAATCAGAAAAGATTATAAAAAGTTTGATTGAGCAAGAGGAAGGGAGTGTTACAATTGAATAGCAGGCTACTAGAATTCATGTTCAATGTTAGTTCGAGGATGTTCTTTCTATTCACTTTGCTCAACCAATTAATTTTGTGATTCCAGAAAAGTTCAACGATCGAATTGAGAATATTGATCTTCAATTTTTTTCTTTATTTCCGGAATTCCAGAAGAAAATGAGGCTCCATCTTTGGATTCCTCGAAGAATGCTAATTCTAAGATTATGGACTTCCATACTTCGACACTTCAAAACTTGAGGTCGAGTTTTCTCCAATAAAGGGAGAATGATGCAATCCATAAGATGTTTAAGGTGAGAAAAATTCAAAGACATGAAGAATTGTGAAATTTGGCTTGCCATGAAGACAAATATTTATCGAACCTTTGCATAACTTTATTTGAGTCCTATTTTTAATTACCATAAATATGTTTTCTAGTATTTAGTAATTTATGTGTCTTTTTTTATATTTTTATATTTTTAGGGTTAAGGGTGTTTTTGTAATTTTCAAATTTTTTGGAATTAGTCATATTTTTGGATCAAATTTTAGTATTGAATATTCTAGAATTTAAAGTCCTAATTCTAGTTTTTAGAGTTTTAGAGACTTTCAAATCCTAATATTTGGGGATTAGGAGTACTTGGAACTCTATATGTAGTTAGTGTTACTTTTAAAAAAATATAAAGAGATATTTCAAAAATTTCAGCAATTACATGCTTCTTGAGTTGTGTGATGTAATTTTAATCCTAGGTTTAATACCTAAAGAAAAATTTAGGAGTGATTCCTAGCCTATTTTACTATTCATGTTACTATTCACAGCCAATTTTACTGTTCTTGTAGTTCACAGTTCCAAAACAACCTATATTTTGATTTTACATGGCTATCCTACATCACACTTACTCCCTGACAGTGATATATCATTCTTAGATCTGACTACTTCATCAGAAAATAACGTAGCTTTCCCCTTAGTATTTGCTTTGAAAATGTCCACTCAAGTGGAGTCTCAACAAATGTACGCCTGGGTGTCATAACCTTTAAACAAGATATCATCTACATAGACAAGAAGCAGCATTTCTAACAAATACTAAATGATCAAACAACCCATAATGATTTGTTGCTACTGGCTAAATTCGTCAAACCAACCTCTAGGAGACTATTTATGCTCACACCTTATATGTCTTCCCCTGAGCAACATACCCATGAGGTTGCTCCATGTAATCCTTCGCTTGAATATCAACATGAAGTAAGGTTCAAAGTATCCGCCGAGTCGTATCCAACTCGGAACCGTTCGAGTTGATACCGTTACACTATAAACTCTGATCTCGTCCAAGTCGTCTCCAAATCAATCCTAAGTCGCCAAGTTAGCGTGTCACCGAATCATTTGATACTTTTTTGCAATGCCGCGATATAGCTCGAATCTCTTGCTATGTTTAATTTCTTCTTTTTGGTCGTGTTGCCCAATATCTTCGATATCGCGACCTTGAACCATGCCATGAAAGAGGCATTTTTATTGTTCAGATTATAGAGGGGTCAATTTCTAACAGAGGCAACAAATAACAATTTCGGAATGGTGTTAAGAAAAGCTATAGTAGAGAAAATTTTAAAATAATGAATATCAAAAGGGGTGTAACCCACCAACTATGCCTAGCTTCTCAACAATACCTATCAGGATGATACTTAGCCAAATATATCAGTTGACACCCCATTAAATGGGAAGCCAGTTAACTTCCATGAACCATTCTTATGCAATGCATACATATTCCATAGCACTTTTAACAAGGAGAAGTTGATACCTGGTTGTGATAATGAGGGATAGAAACAGAGCACAAAGTGCCAGTGAAAGAACGTAATTGAGGAGACAAAGGAGAAAAGAAACAACCTCGTTAATATGAAGTTGAGCGCAAGTGTGAGAAGGTCTCTAAGAGCAATAGGTAGATCAAAAAAAGGTGAAACAATAGACGGGCCACTGACATCAACTGAAGTAGATGAACAGGCAAATGATGAAAACGGTTCTTTATTCCTTATAGGATGTGATCTTCTAAGATAAGAAAAAGAGTGACTAGCTTACCCTAGAATGGGGATTCTGGCCTTCTACGCGTATACATATATGAAGTATGAACAAAATGTTATAAAATACCCTCCTAGTAACTCTAAAAGGAGTCCTTGGTTTTTAAACTTGCTTATTTGTGGAGGAGTCTTTTTTTCTTAGTGAAGTATTTCTACTATTATATATTGCTGATATCAAGAATCAAAATTTTGTTTGGCTTCCAAAAAAACGATTGAATGATTTCGGTTTTAATGGAAACCAAAACGAAACAATGATTGAATATTGAAATCCTACGTGTCAGAGTGTTTCAGAAGCTTTTGGAAGCTTTTAAGATATTTTAAGATGTTTCGGACTCAAAATTCTATAAGTTTTTGAAATGTTACCCTTTCCAACCTGCCTGAAGTATGCACAGAAACAAATTTTTTTGTCTGAGATTTTTTTTTGTAAATATTTGTCTTAGATTGTTATTATTAAACACAAGTTCACTTGGTTTTTGTAAATGTTTGTCTTAGATTGTTATTGTTAAACACAAATTCCCTTCACCATGTAGCTATGATTATATTATCCTATCGTTATATTGTTAATAGAAATATATGGTGTTGTTGTGGATCTTATTCTCTCTCACTTTCTGTTGCATCTATAGTGTGGCATCTCATTGGGTATTTTACTGACTCACAGAAAGTTTCTTTGTGTATGAGTCGGTCTGCTGAACTTCTGCAACAAAGAACTTCTGACGCAGCATTTAGTGCTTTAGGGATTGTGGCCGAAGCTTTGTCAATAAGCGGTTACTCAGAGAAATTACTTGAAATGAAAGGAGAGGCTCTCTGTACGGTCTGTGCTATTTGAGATCTTACATAATTCACTTTAGTTGTAAACTTAATTCATGTCGTGAAAGTCAATAAGCTCCTAAACTTCTATTTGTATGCTTTCAATTTAATCACACTTTTGGCTTTGCTTGCATTACATGTTGCAGGTGCGGAAGTATAACGAGGCGATACAATTATGTGAGGAAACTATTGATATTGCTGAAAAGAATTTTTCCACAGTGGGAAGTGCTAACCAGTCAGCCAACATGGATGATTCAGAGTGCAAAGAGTCTTCTGTAAGGCTGTGGAGGTGGCAGCTAATGTCCAAGTGCTACTTTTATTTGGGAAAGCTTGACGCAGCTCTTGATTTGATTGAGAAACTAGAGCAATTAAGATCTACCAAGAATAAGTATGACATCACTTCCATCATAGAACAAAAATTTGCATTTTCAACTCCCAAAACATTAAGCATATTCCTTCCTTAATTATTTTGAATGTATCAAGAGGCTATTTTTTTTATCACGTAGGGGTGGAAGTATGACTCAGGAATCATCAACCTGTTTAGTCACTGTACGTGATCTTCTATGCCGCAAGGTATGCTGTCAGTTGCTTTAAGTTAATCTCCTTACTTTGGTGCTGACCCTTTAGTTGTCAGAATATTTGGGGGTTACTTCCACAAAAGGGGAAAAGGTTTAGGTGGTGCCGTGATGGTCATGCATAACATGCTTCCTATATTATGTTTTCTTTACCAGTCTCAATCTATATCCTTGGGTTTATGAAATATTGGTATGTACAATGAAGCTCAATTTCTTTTATTGATAAGCATGAATACTGAAACTTAAATAACCATATTGTTTATATAAAAACCTTTTATGTGGAACCTGTTGCTATAAAACCAAATACTAATGAGAACACCATCCCACCGTTAGTTTTAAGATGTTGCGACTCTGTGGGTCAGCTGCAAATATCAAACCTCTGAAGTTTAGCAGAAGCACATAGGGTGTTTCATTTTACTATTTTAGTACTGTATCTTGAGTTATCATTGAAACAGGACATTTGATCCGTTTAACCTCATGTGATCATTGAAAGGTGATCCTTTTTTTTTTTTTTCAATTTAAGTATGCTTTGCTTTTCGTATCAAGTCTTAAGGGTAGTGTTTTTTTCCCTTCTTTTTAAGACATAAAAACCTAATCGTTAGAGCGTTGAACTAGAGTTCTCAAAGTTGTAAAGTCATTCTATCTCTTGTTTGTAGCAAGTGCAGATCATATGGATTTAAATTTTGGATCTAGTCCAAGATGCAAACAATATGATTCAAAGCGTACATAAAAGTTTGAATAAGTTATGACAGGGAGACCTTTTCAATACTGCATGGAAGAGAACAGCACGACCCAAAGAGGAGAGCTCTGGTACACTTTGATGCTGACAAGCCCAAAGTAGCAAACTAACCCAATAGGCCACCAACAGCATGTGGTAGAAATCATACCTGGTTATAAGATCAAGTATCTTACTCAAATGACAAATCTAAGAGAAAAACCTTTATCTGAGACTGTCAAGATCTGGAGGGACTAGGGAGGGAAAACCCGTGGCACTTTTGCTAGCCTCTCATCACATATTGCAATAATAGTAGGATGAAAAGCATGTGGGTTGACTCCTCAAAACCCAAGCCTCCATTTCTTCAAAACCCTAGGAGTATGTTTGGATAGTGGGATAAGGTGGGTTAACTCCTATAAGGATAGGTTATTAATGCAATAGGTCCCACATATCCTTTGTTTGGGAAGCTAAAATTGAGCCAGGATATAAATCCCGGGTCAAACATTGATCCGGCTGCTACAGTAGAGTTTAACCCTCTTAGATGGGTTAAAATTAACCCACCTCCACCCTGGGATTCAATCCTAGCTGACAGGTTTTCTATGGGTAATGACATATTTACCCCTCTTCTTTCTCGTGTAATGTTCCACCCTCTTTCTTCTACATCTGGGTTGAGAGCTCTGTGAAGGCGACAAAGAAGACCAGGAGGTAAGCATCTGGGTCTCTTTCTCTTTGCTTGACTGGAGTACTATTATGACAACGGGGTGGGGTTAGGCGCTGGTGCTAAAACAAAATCAGTGCAATTTGTTTTTGAATTCATCCCTAATTTACAAAAAAATTAAAAATAAACAACACCTGAGTGCAATTTATTTTTTCCCTTGGTTGTTCTTTAATAGCCATGCAAGAGAGAGACAGAGAGGAGGAGAGAGTGAGACAGAGCCGAGAGAAAGGTATGAGATAAAGGAGTTGCTTTTGGCTCACCTGTGAATTGAAGAGAAGAGAGAAAAGGGTCTGAGAGTAGAGAGAGGAAGTTGAAGACCGCATGCTTTTGGACGAAGAAGATCGCCTACTTTTGGATGAAGAAGACTGCCTACTTTTTCAAAAAGGAGAGAAAGGGTCTAAAGGATAGAATGGTCAAAATAATTTAAATAATATTTTTGACATACTCATAACCATGGGGCCTACAAAAATGAAAAACTACTTACCAAACAACGGATAGGGCATGATATGTCATTATATCCAAACCAATACAAGTAAAAGGTGGGTTAGGCATGGATGAGAATGGATATAAATTTGATATCCTATCCTATCCGATCCTTTCCGAATATCCAAACACACCCTAGGTGGGTTGGGACAAGAACACTCTCAGAATTTTTTGTTTAAAATGTATGAAGAATTTACTAGTGTGTTGGATAAGGCAAATCGTCTCTTTTCGTACAAGCTTCTTGGCTTCTCCAATAAGTCATTACAAAATATTGCCCAGAAACCCCAGAAAGTACTATCTTGTAGCACCCAAGAACATTACTTTTAGTGCAAGAACATTACTAAGGTTCAGCTGCACTGAAATAGAACCAAAATAAAAAATCAGGCTGGCTAATGAAACTAAGAAAGAAACACCTACATCAGTGGTTTATTTGTCATTGTGTTTGAATATATATACATCCTTCTCCCCTTTTTAGAAAGAACTCACTACATACATGTCTAGAAACTCATGATAAGTCTTTTCTACTTTGACAACGAATTGCAAATATGCACGGCCTCTTATATAGATGTTCCATTAGAATCATCATGTTGCAGAGGGGGGAAGGTGATGTCATATCTCACCAGTAGAGCCATCCAATTCAGCTTTTAAATCACCGTGAAAACAATGGATGGCATACACATTAAAGAGGTGAGATGTGCCTGGACAAGGAACCTGAAATATGCACTGGCTCTGGTGTTGATGTTCCAAAATTTAATCAGCCTCCAACCTTATCTTGCTCTGTAGTGGAACTCTGATGTCTCACCAGCAGAACCTTTCAATTCAGCCTTCAAATCATCTTGAAACCTAGGGAGATGACACCTTAAAAACGGGTGTGACATAAGTAATTATCTAATACTCCCCCTCATGTGTGGCCTCTCTTGGATTGTGCATCCCAATCTTACCTAGATCATAGGTTGATTTGGTATGGGGACGGATACGCAATACGATACTTCTTCCAATACACAGTGTGATGGAGCTAAACATCGTTGGTACATTGTTTTGGGTCGTGATTCATTTTTTATTTCTTATCCGGAACACCTTCATTATTGTATGGAATTATAAATATGTACATTCATATACACATGGTTAAAAAATGTGTATTATATATTTTTGGTAGGAGTTTCAAAGCGAATCATACTTCAGGCAATGTACTGGTAAATGATTGTAAATAATAAGAGTTAGTGGTTGCATATTTGTATAAGTGATATTTAAATTACAGCAAATGAAAATTTAAGTTTAAATATCATCAAAATCTGGATAAATCTGGATCATGGGTCGATTTGGGGTTCAAGATACGATTTGGAGTCTGGAATTTGAGCGATATGGGTTGCAAACCTATCCCGTTTTGGTTCGTGCAACTCTGTTTTCTGGGATGTTAGGGGTATGTATGAACTCGGTATCAATGTTCTGTCCATGTGATTCTTTTTTGTTTTGGGCAGCAAAGGAGGAGTTTGAACTCAAGACGCTATGATATCTTGTCAGACCAACTCATCTCTAGACTAAAAGTTTAAACTGTTAGAAAGGGGAAGTAATATAAGTATGCATCTAATACTATACATTCATCAATTGCTAAAGTTGATATTATTTAGCCTGGTTTGTTGAACTCCTATTTTCATATTATGCTTCTGCTAAAAAGCAGTCTGTTTGATTTGGTATCTCTTCATTTTAATTTTTTGTTTTCACAGCATGCTCTACCTGCGCCAAATCTTGGTGTTTTGCCTTGGTAGGAGTTATCTAGGAAACTGATACTGACTTCCTTTCCCTGTGAGATTCAAATTTTGATTCTGCCTCTGCCCTTCATGTTAGCCATTTATCTGTTTCTACACTTCACTTGTTTTGTGTTTTTGTTCAGTCAAGAACTCACAATCCAAAATAATTTATCACAAAATGGTGCTTGATATTCAATGTATTTTCGCTTCCCTTTTGTCATTAACAATAGAAAGCAGGGAATGAAGCTTTTCAGTCTGGAAGGCATAAAGAAGCGGTTGAGCACTATACTGCTGCTATATCAAGCAGTGCTGAATCACTTCCCTTTGCAGCTATCTGCTTTTGCAATCGAGCTGCCGCACACCAAGCCTTGGGCGAAATTTCTGATGCCATTGCAGATTGCAGTCTAGCCATAGCTTTTGATGGAAATTACCCAAAGGTTTGCCTTTAAAGCATGCATTTTGTGGCACACCTGTAGAGATGTTCTCTCCCTGGGAAAGAACTGAGTAAATGATTCTTTGATCTTTTTCTTGTTTTTATACCCTCCTTTTTCGGGAAATATGCTAGGGGGTACATTTGAAGTTCATTGATACCTAGATCACCATATATTTATTTATTTCTCAGTCCTGGATATAAAGCATCTATCAAATAGCAATGCATGGATGATTTTGTCTTCAATCCTGTTAAATTTATGACTAAACAGTGTACCCCTCCCCCCTCCCTCAAACGGGGTGTGGTTCATTGAATTCTACGACTAGCTCTATGTGCAAGGATTTTGCATTTTTGTCAAGTGTAAGCTTAGCCCCTTTGATTTCAGTGAAGTTCTACGAGCCCACGAGTGTCAATCCTGTCTCCAGCATGATTTCTGCATGAAGATCAAGGACATGCCTTAGGACATTATGTTTTTTGTTGTCAACAAGAGTAAAAACAATTACAGTGTAAGGTGAAAAACTGTACAACTAAGATGACCCCATATCCTCCAAAAACTCCAGAAACTGGACAAAACCCCAAGGATGGAAAGAAGCCCTTCATCCAGAAAAAAAATGAACATATAAAAAATTATTCCATCCCTTCCAAACGCACCAAAATCATATTAAAAGGACCCGAAATTCATAATTCATGCATTCTCTTCCTTGGGCATTCCTCTTCCCAAGATTCCAAGCACTCCTTTCAAGATCTAGTCATGCAACAAGCCTTACCAACTACTGGGAATATTAATAAGCCACAGTCATGTGGGTGTAATTTCTTGCCTGCCTGTGCGGTATAGGTTGGAATCTCCTTTATCTGACCCTTCCCAGTTGCAGTTCATTTCACTATTGGATGATTTCGCCTCTTTGTGAACACTGAATTTTGGTTTGGCTGTAGACTTGGGTGCAACTTTAAATCTTCCAAATTTTTCATGTAAGAAAGGGATCATAGTTTAAAGTTTTAGGCACATTGCATAATCACACACAGGTCATACTATCTTGGACAAGGACATGTCATGAGGTGAAGGGCCAGTCTCTAACAAGTGTTCAATTCTTAAAATGGCAATAGGTCCTGATAATCATGCCTTTTCTTGGTGGGCTTTGCTTCTTTATGCAAGAAATGAGACCATTTTTGCTTGCATCACGGACAGTTAAAGTGAGGAGGTTTCTTTTGCATGTCTAAAGTTTGAACTATGTTTTTTAAACTCCCTTTGACTGCACATTATAAGAAGGTGAGCATCACTGATTCATTTGCTATTTAGTGACAGAATTCGAGTGGTCTGTTGGATATACAGTCCACTGTAAGTGGTCATATTTTCCTCAGACTTATGTTTTGAGCATTATTTTGGTCTCAATCTGTGTTGGAGTGTGTTCTGCCACTCTTCACTTTTATGTGGGATCCATTCACTGGATGTTTCTATGCCTGATAGTTCCTATCTCTATACAGGCAATTTCCCGGAGGGCCACTTTATATGAGATGATTAGAGATTATGAACAAGCAGCTAATGATCTTCAGAGGCTCGTGTCTCTTCTTGAAAATCAATCAAGAGAAAAGGTTCAGCAGTCTGATACACCCAATAGATCGTGTGGCAACATTGTAAAAGAATTAAAACGAGCTCATAATCGTCTGTCCTCGATGGAAGAGAAGGCTAAAAAGGGAATTCCCTTGGATCATTACCTCATTTTGTGAGTCTAATCATCTGCTCAATGATTTTTTAGAAATACTTTTCTTTAATGGCCTTGAGGTTCTGAGACAAATTTAACTACAAAAGGTCATGTTGATTTATATTTTTGAGGGGCCATTCCATCCATTGCCAATGGGTTTTGGGTTGGATGCTCTAACACTTGCTTTGCATGTTTACTTGTTTTATTTGTGTATAGAAACTTTTATTCCAGCTTTAGAGCTTTTGCTAATACTAAGGGTGAGTTTTGGTGCAATGACAAGGTTGCTCATTTTTTTATTTTTTTTGATAAGAAACGATGTATTATTAATAATAAAAGTAAAGGTTTACATAAGTTGACACGAATGTGGACAAGTCATCCAATCAAAATCCCAAAACAAAAGGCATATACAGTGCACAACGCTACGAGGAACAAAAAACCTCATCAAATGGTGTATAACGCACTCCAACTTGCAATGATACACAAATAGTGGGACATTCTCAAAATCTTTTGTAACTGAGGTCCAAAAAGAAACCAAGAAATAGAGATGGTCCCCTAATCCTTGTAGTTCCTCACATGTGTTCTAAAAAATGATCGAATTCCTTTCCAACCGAATAACCCACTCTATGGCTAAAAAAAAAGCACAGGCCCATAAAGTAGCACATCTCTTACCTCCTTCAAACATCTTAACATCCATACAAAACAAAGACAACATAAAACGTGTGGGTACCCAATAAATTTTTGTCAACTCAAACAACTTATTTCACAAAAATAAAGTTAAAGGACAATGCAAAAACAAGTGATCAACACTCTCACCATCACTTCTACACATTACATACCACTGTGGTAATAAAGAAACACCCGACCTTCGTTTTTGAAGGATATAATTAGTATTGAGCTTACCATAAACAATTATTCGTGCACACACTTGCACCTTTGAAGACACTTTAGCTTTCAAATCTTCAGTGATGGTTAAAAGAGAGGAAGTGAAGAATGATCAGTCAAAGACTCATAGATTGATTTAGAGGAAGACTTATATGTAAGGTTACTCTATTGTGACAAGTTAGAGTCGCATAAACAACTTCTCATAAACAATTTCTCTACATGTGAGAGTAAGATTGTCTACATTTGACCCTTAGTTGACCTCGAAGTGGCAGGAGCCTCGTGCCAAGGCTGCCCTTAAGTTTTTACTACTACATATGCATGTTGATTTGTTATGGTGTGTTTGGTTCTTTGGGGAAATTGTTAAGTTAAATAACATGAAACTGCTTATCACGTACAAATGAAGTTTTCCCAGGTTTCTACATTCTCTATTATTGCATTGTCCTTTCTTCTTTTGTCCTAGAGAATTGGTTAGAAATAAAACAACACTAGCTACCATGAATAGGCTTCGATGGAAGTTGTATGAAATTGCATTTGAAAAATGTATCTATGGGAGGCTATCATTCTAGCTTATATACTCCCTCTCTCAGTTGAAAGTAAAGTGACACTAATTCTTTGTTTGAGGAAATAATTGGTGGACATCATGAATGCTCTGATCCCTATGCAGATGGATGTTGCAACACGATAATGCATAGAGCATATGTACATAATGCATAGAGCATATGTAGTTCATTCCATTCGGTCATTGCTTTTTTATACTCCATTGTATACTTCATCCATCTCTCTTGGAATTCATCATTTTGTATGGAAAAATTGTGGTCCAACAAGAAGTTGGTAAATTATTGTTTCAATAATTTGATGTAAAGCTTGCATAAAGTGTTGGGATTGAGGTGCCAATACAGAATTCATGTACAAGAATTTTTGCTATACGAAGCATTCGCCCCTGATTTTGGTCTTAGATTGCCTTAAAATTGTATCATTATCAAAAAGGAATAATATGGAAAAGTACAATAATAGAAAGAACTTCCAAATTCACTTGTCACAGTGTTATGTTGTTAAATCCATATTTAAATTTAGGGACGGTGATTGTCTTTTTTGTCGCACCACTATTAAATGATAGTCACAGTTTTCCATGTAGGAGTTGTTTGGCTGTTGTATTATAGGGCGTATTAAAGAGTCATATTGGATTCAAACGCTTTAATACGGGTTTATACTACATTTGGATGCAAAAAATCACTTCGTATTATATATGAGATTAACTAAATAAGTATCTCCTACGAATAATTCTAATACAATCTATCCGTACTATTGAACTATTTTAATACCACCAGGAAAGGTTGTATTATAATACAACCTTGGTGTATTATATCGTTATTTTATAATTTTACCTTCAATTTGATAAAAATTCATGTGATCATTCTTTCTTATTTATTTTAATAAAAATTACATAGACATCCTGACTTCATAATAAATCGACTCTTAAACTTTTTTATAATGACCCGATGTCCTCCTAATATGGACAACCGGTAAAAGATGTACCCCATTTGTCTTTCACATGGATAATGATAAAGGACGACATTAATAATAAACAAATGCATATATCCAAAATATGCTTTTATACAATTAAAGCATGCTTGTTTAATTCCAATATTGTTTAAAAATATTCATAATAAGTAATATTTACATAGCTTTTGTTCTATTTATAGACATCCTACGAAATATTGGATCACTTCAAGGGATTAGATTGGAGATGATTAAGGGCATTTTAGTGCACTTATTTTAATATCATTGAATAAATTACCTAACTAAATATTATATTGGACTTGATACTTATTATCCAATTCTTAATACCGTACTTAACAAACACTTGACTAGAATTGGTATTATTTTTATCCCTCGTTTAATCTTTTAGATTTTATCCATCTATTTAAGGTTGTCCTGTATTGCCTAGTAGAATTCCTCTTTTCTTAATACGGAATCCAAACGACTCAGAAAGCAATGATCATATTATCCTTCAGTTTGCACTTTTTTGGGTAGTATAAACCTTTAATTCTATTGGTAAACATTCAAAGCTATAAGTTGTTTGTCAACACAAATTCTCAATGGCAGGGGAGTCGATGCATCTGATACAGCATCCGAAATCAAGAAGGCATACCGAAAAGCAGCCCTCAGACATCATCCGGACAAGGTCTTGAAGCTTTTTGTGGCTTCTATTTAGTAAAACACCAGTCTGTTGTACTTTTTTCTCATTTTAGCTAGTCTATGGTGTAGGCTGGACAATTCTTGGTAAGAAGTGAGAGTGGAGATGATGGGCAACTTTGGAAGGAGATCGCCGAAAAGGTCCACAAAGATGCTGACAAGCTATTCAAAATGATTGGGGAGGCATATACCGTACTTTCAGACCCCACTAAGGTTTGCTACCTGCATGCCCATTGCAATTATTTGCTGTCCCAGTTGACAGTGGCTCAACATTTTTGAGCATTTTTTCTACCACTGTTGTTCTTGTAAATCTTTCCCTTATGTTTGATAGCCTTGCTAGTCTTTTTAAGTTGCACTTATTAGCATTCATCTTGTCAGCTTACCACAATGATAAAATTTTAAACGAATTGTGAGCTTATGACATTGCATCCAGATTTTGGTTTGCTGGATGAACAGCCTTTTTGTTTATGTGCTTTTATTTTCACGAATCTCTTATCTGTGACATAAGTGCCATATGAAGTCTGTATTAGCTCCTACTTTTGCATGGTGATGCAAGGATAGAAGAATCTCATCGGCAGAAACTTCTAAATGGACTTACAATTTAGCGCTATAGTGTTATTCCCTGTGATAGGACAATAGAAACTTATATAAGAGTACTGCAAAATATAATTGCTAAATCCCTGCATCACCATGCAAAAGTAGGAGCCAATACAGACTTCATGTGGCACTCATGTTACAGATGACAGAAAATAGTGCTAAATTGTAAGTCCATTTAGAAGTTCCTTACCAGTATCATAAAAGAAGGGGAAAAAAAGGGTACTGAAAAATTGCTTCTTATCAGAAGAAATTTGTCAGGTCATGCCCCGTCCTGATAAGGTTCTTCCACTTCTAAGAAAGGAGTGGAAAACCTCTTAATTGTTTCTACTAGCAAAACATGTTTTCTTTTCTACGTTGGTTGACAGTCCATGCTCAGAGCTTTAGGAACATGCAAATCATGCCGAGCAAAAAGCATCGAAATTATAGTTGGATTAGGGCTCTGAATGACAATGTTAAGATTGTCTCCTTCTGTATCTTATTGTTTGCAGCGGTCAAATCATAACTTTGAAGAGGAAGGGAGGAAGGCTCAGAAGAACAGTAATAGAAGCAGCAGCAGCAGCAGCACTGGAAAATCATCCGATTTTTATAGTTCTCCATTTGAGAGAAGCTGGAGCTCTGGAAAACCATCAAATTTTTACGGCTCTCCATTTGAGAGAAGCAGCAACAGGCGATATTGGCAGGAATCCAAGTCATATGATGACTCACGCTATTGATGGTAAGAATCATCCATAGCAAAGGCATTTCATGTGTCTGCAAACCATGCTTTTGGGATCAAGTGTTTTTCCAGGTCAGTCGGCAGACCAACTAATTTGGATTGATGGGAGATGGTCGGGGTATCGATGGTTCAGATGGGCTCCCATTTGGTTGAGAATCACAATTTTTTGTTGTTACGGATTATTGCAGAGGTTGCTTGTTGTACAGTTCACTGCCTTGGAAAATTGTCACGCCTTCGACGATATAAGTTTGGCCATCCTTGATGGAGCAACAAAGAGAATTGCTTTCATAGACCCCAATGGTTAAATCTATAGTACAGAAAGTGTGTTTGGGAAAGAGGGAAGTAGCGGTTTTGGTGGACATGTACAGCGTAAACTTATTATCTTTGATATTTATCAACACTACAACCCTAAATGTGAAAGTGAAGAGAAGCTAAAAAATAAAGAATTTGTTTTGGGTTACTTCTACTTCAACCATAAAGATATTTATCATAGTTTTTTTTTTATGAGATAAAACTCTTCTAATACGTTTTCTATTCCATTTAAGATTTCCACATTGATTCAAATTTTAACAATCTGAATCCTAACATCAAATACCTATTTTTGGTAGAGATTATCTATTCTATTTTTGGTAGTAAATGGGCAGGTCTTGTTCAAGTAGTACCCATGAAATTCGGAGTTACCGTTGTCAAGAATGAAAATAATAAGTTAGCCCAAACTGGAGTTATTATCAACTAGCGCATGTGTATTGTATTTTTTGCCTTTCATGAACCTAATCTCCGCTTCCTAGATGAGTATTGTAGGGATAACCATATTGAAATGGCACTTTTAAGAATCAAGAGAACATTTTTGGGACCTAAAAGGTTTATTGTTAAAAAGCAATGTTACATAATTTTATTTAGTGACCTTAATTCTCTGTCATTAAGTTGATAGTGGACCCTATTACTAGATGGGACCCACTATTAATTCAATGGTTATGATCCATCGTGTTGCCAAATAAGATCACTAAATTAGGTACGAACAAAAAAGAATATCCTAGTGATTATTGTCTTTTCCTCCTCCGAGTCTCCCTCACTTTGTATGAATAATTGGGACAGACACACACACACAAAAAAAAAAAAAAGGTACAAATAACCTTTTCTATTATTAAAAGATCTATTATTAGTCATAAGAACGTTTTTGGAACATACATTCCTATCCAGCTCCGAAAATTTATCCATAATCAACGCTTTGTCTTTAATTAAATAACTTCATTTACAGACTCTCATTGGAAGTTATAACCTTTCTCATTCTCTCTTGTCTCTGTCTTCTTGTTTTGTTACTTTATACAATTTGCATTCTTCCATTAAAAACCTTTCCTCCTCCTCCTCCAGCACCAGCACCAGCACCACAACCACCCTTGGCATACCCAAAGGGTAAATTGATGATGGATGCCATCATGATCAAGCCTAGTATCATCATCCCCATTTTCTTCATTTTTATCTATCTTTCTTTCCAATCTCTTTTCATCATCTGCATTAATGCTACTGAATCTGCAGTGGGTATGATCTCTCTCTCTCCTTTTCTCTTTCCGACACATCTACGTATGTATATATGGGTGCATGGATGTAGAAAGTTAAAAAACTTGCATGCATAGTTATTCTTGCTGTCTTCTGACGTTTTGTGTTTGAAATTGTATGGCTACTTTCTCATCATGAATATATGTTATTGTATGGCTTTCGGTTTATTCAGTATTGTATACATCTAATCCCAATATTGTATATATTTAATTTTAATTCCAAGATAACTCAAATGGTAACTTACACCACTTATAAATTTAGACATCTGAAATTTGGCAATCTTTTGGGGTCATGTAGTAAGAGATTTATCCCTTATGAATTCTCTAGTCTTGGAGTGGATTATCTGCCTTTGAATGGATCATTCCGTAGTTCCGACATGGATGATCTGTCTTTCACTAGATGAAAAAGAGGATTAGTTGAGATGCACATAAGTTGGTCCGAACATTCCTAACAGTCGAAAAAAAAAAGTTTTTCATCTCATTTTTAATTTACATTCTTTTGGGATTATCTGTTCCTTTATTAATTTGGTGTTTACATGGTGATTTTCTCCATTGAAGTTTTATTTTATCTTCCTTTTCATTGATGGCATTAGCAGATACCCGCAATCCTTTCTCTCTCTCTCTGAATATGAGAATATTCACATATTCACAGTCCATATGTCAATATATATATATACATGCATACAAACCTATAAATAAATATATATTGAGAAAAATTATATTGGTCTCACATTACTCCCTTAATTATTAAAGTTCCTCCATTATCCTCTAATTTAAATGAATTAGTTTAACATTGTCCTAAAATTAAATCTTCGTCCTGTTTTAAGTTTTAAATAGAAAATATCCGCCTAATTTGAAATCAAATTAGGAAAGTATGTTGGTAAAATATCCGTGTATAGATATTCGATTTTAATGTCTAAAATTAGGCAAATATGAAATCAATAACTTTATTGGGGTTGTAATTTGAAAAATATAATAGTTGAGGACAATGAGAGGCTAATAACCACAGATTATGCATACCTCGATTAATTCATTTTTCGATTTGGTCAAAAATAGATCATCAACGTTGAGATTATGATATTTATAAGAGATAAATCTCTCATAATCTGATCTCAATGAGTTGCTAAATTCGAACTCATAATATCTAGATTTACAACTCTTCCCTGTTATCACTTGAGCTATCATTTGAAATTTATGTTTTATCCCCTTTTCTCCTCCTTTTGAGAGGTGTACTATGAGTCGGCGATCAAAACATATATGAATAGAACCTATAATGGGATCTTGAAAATCAAGTAATTTTTGGGCCATTATCCTTTTTTTTAGGTTCATTAGGATTCTTATTGGTTGAAGCTTCTAGTTATCTTGATAGAAATTTGATATCTTTATTTCTATCTCAGCAAATTCTTTTTTTTTTTTTTCACAAGGGATCGTGATGTCTTTCTATAGGATCGCCAGTCTTTTTTATTAACTCCTATTTGTGATGCACAATTTTCGTGGAATATAAAAGTAATGGATATGAGCGATTCGTTAGAAAAGAAGGAATAGTGTGTTTCTTATATAAGATATTCAATCTATTAGAATAGAAGTTAAAGGTGGTATTTATGCTCATTGTGTCCTTTATATAGACATTAGAGGTCAAGGGGCCATCCCCTTGATTTGTATTGATGAAAATTTTACTCCATGAGAAATTGAACAAAAAATTGTTGAATTAGCACATTTCTTCTGTGTCCCAATTAAAGTATTTTGAGAAATGAACTGAAAAATGAATGTTTTTTCAACATGAGGAAAAAACTCAAGAATCCTCTTTTTTCTATAACATAACTTAAACTTTACTGAATTTTCTTTAAAACGCTCATTCGAACCAAAGAGACATATACGGATCAACCATAAAACAAAACTCTTTTTGTGATCTTTTATACATATCAAAATCCACACAACTCAATTCAATAAAACAACAAAATACGTAACAAATCAAAATATTAGATTCATTCATATATCAAACCATTTCGAAATAAAGTAATTAATGTGTTTCTTAGAATTGATACTTAGATTCAGATAGATCATATCTTGTAAATTATTTCTTTTTTGTCAATCAACCTTTCTTTTTAGACTTTCTTCTATGCTTAACAATTGGCTATCTTCTGACAATAACTAACAAATTTTTGTCTTGTTTTGCCACTCATTTTTTCTCATCACAATATTCTTCAGAAATTTTCCTCAAGATTCTATTCCTAACTACTCATAGTAAGTGATTTTTTTTTGAAATGTTGGATATTTTGATAGAGTGATAGAAAATGAGTTCTTTCGTATCAAAATCTGAATAATATTCATTAGTTAAACTAAAAAAAGTTTTTTCGAGTATTCATTGGAAGGAGACAAGACAGTTGCTCTCGAATTTGACCAATTGAGATATCTAAAATCCCTATTTTTTTTCTTTAATTATTTCTTCATTTCAATTTGAAGCTGAATGAGCATTTTGAAACCGAGATTACCCTAAATGTAATGATCTAAACATATATATTAGATTAGATAATATCATAATCTAGTAAGCTCTTGTTTGTGCAATGCCAGACTAATTTTCAACTTCTTAATCATTGTGAACTTATGTACTAATTTCTTTTTTTTTTTTTTTGGGTTCAACGATCAGAGTTGTCCGGAACTTACAAGGTTTCTGGCAAAGTAACAGAGGCTGAACATCCATTCACCTATTTGGAAGGAACTGCTAACGGACCAAATAAATGGGGCCTCATTAAGCCGGAGTGGCGAGCTTGTGATGCTGGAAAACTGCAGTCTCCGATCGATCTTGTTCATGAAAAGGTGCAGATCTGCCCTACTCTGGGGAACCTGGAAAGGGATTACAAACCTGCTGTTGCCAAACTCAGAAATAGGGGGCATGATATTTCTGTAAGATCAAATCTGTTCTTCCAATAGTATTTTCTTTTTCATGTTTGAGTCGTAGAAACAACCTCTCTTACAAGGGTAAGACTGCGTACATTTAACTCTCTCCAGATTCCGTAATGATGAGAGTCTTGTGCATTGAATATGTCCTTTTATGTATTACTTCAGCTTAATTTAGTAAATGCATGTGCAACCTGCATGACTTTCAAAATAGAGGATATCACGAGGAAACCCTAATAGTCTAATGTATAATTGTACCAACTACCCTGGATAGCCTCGGCAAAGAGTGAGGTGAAGGATGTGGGTGAGGTATTTCAGCCATGTACCTTCTCGTATTGCAAACTAGTGTGTTCGTGCAAAACACGCTTGTTTTTAATACATGAGTCGAGTTATTACAGTTAAAAGTTAAATGAATTAATGTGATTAGAAGACAAAAATTTAAGTTATTGTGATTAGAAGGTTGAAATTTAAGTTATTATAGTTAAAATTTAAATGAGTTATTGTGGTTAAAAAATTAAAAGATTAAAATTTTAGTAAATTACTATGATTAAAAAATTAAAATATTAAATTGTAATATAAACCGATTTAAACAATTTGAACTGTTGTAGTGTTTTTCTAAAGTTAGGAGCTTAAGTAGTTTAAGAATGAGACTCTGTTTTATTGTTACAAATTCTGAACTTATAAAAATACAATAACTGTCAAGATTGATCCAAATTTTATCTCAATTTTTTTTTCCTGTTAAAAATATCAACTTCTTTACACGTCTCTTAATGTCAGACAACTCAACCAACACACTTTACAATTTCAAATAACTCCACTAATCCACACGCACCTCTCTCTTATTTTTCTTTTATCTATTTATAATTTTTTCTATTTTCATTTTAATTTGAAATTTGAAAAATTAAAGAAAAGAAAAAAAATTATTTTTAAAATATAAATTTTACATGATCAATTTTCGATTATTGATATGACGGTTTGTATGGAAACACGAAATTACTGCTAGTATACATATGCGCTCGGTCTAAGTTGTTGTGATGTGTTTTAAAACAATGGAGGAAAACCCAAAACAAATACTATCATCTAGCACAACTCAAGCATTGCACACTTCCTTGGGGGGTCTGTTTCCAATTTCTTTACTGCCTTTGATATGCCAAATTGATCATCTAGCATAACTAGTTATCTTATATGGTCTTCTGTCAGCTCCAATGGGAAGGAGATGCAGGAAAACTTACCATAAATGGTACTCAGTACAACCTACTACAATGTCACTGGCATTCTCCTTCAGAGCACACCTTGAATGGAAAAAGGTTGGTATTTCCTCTCCTTTTTACTGATAAGTTTGATTTTGTAAGTCGGAAAAATACCCTTTTTGCATGCAAGGTTAAGGTTAAATTACATCTATCGATTTGTCCTTTCCCAGACTCCTGCATGAGTCTCTTGTGCACTTACGTCTTGTTCTAGAGTAATGTTACATAATCGAAAGAGAATCCAAAAAGTTGCAACCCAAATGAACATCGTTATTTGATAAGTGGATCTCATCAACTTTTTCAGTTCAATTCACTCATCCAACACTTATTCAAGTAATGATATGCGTCTGGTTTGTAATTTTTGAGTTTTATTTGGGTTTTCTAGCATTTTCTTTTGTTTTATGGTCTTCTATTTCTCTTGTTGGCTACTTATAAAAAGGTGATCACCCAAATTTTGTTTTGCAGGTATGATATGGAGCTGCATGTTGTCCATAAAAACCCTCAGGAACAGATAGCTGTTATTGGAATGTTATTTGAATTTGGACCCCCAGATACTTTCCTTCAAAAGGTGTGAGATTAGTTTCTCCTGTTTTCTTTGCTTGCTCTGAAGTCATGTTCATGTACACTTCAATTATTCTTGCAATTTGTTTTCAACGCATGCATTGGACCTACCCAAATATTTGTAATCACTCGCTAACTACATGTATTACTTAAATCCCGAAAGTCACAAGCAAGAACCGAACCTCATGCTTCCAAGCTTACGGTTCGCCCCCAGTGCTACCGTACACCACCACACCCATACGGACACCCATACTTTGACTGTTATTACATTTAATTTGTTTACATTCTTCCTTTTCTACCAGATGATACCCTATGTCAAGGGCATTGGTGAAGAAGGAATAGATTTGGGGATCATCAACCCAGGAGAGATCATATTTGGAGGCAGAAAGTACTACAGATACATTGGCTCTCTAACAGTTCCTCCATGCACTGAGGGTGTTACTTGGACAGTAATGAAGAAGGTTGGGACTTAATCAGATTTTATTTTGGAAAAGTGAAATAATGGTGCCTAAAAGTATGTGTCCGTGTCGATGTTCATTCTTTCAATCGTGCTACTTTAATACCGAAAATATTTTTTATTTCACTATAAATGGTCGTTCAAACTGAAAAACATGCTAGCAAAAATAATCTTGTGTCCAACCACTATAATTTAGGGATCATTACTATATTTTTAACACAACATGCTAACATGAAATTGGCTTTATTCTTTTTTGTAGATAAGGACAGTGTCAAGGGAGCAAGTGAAAGCACTTAGTGCTGCTGTTCCTGAGGTAAGTGTTTTTTGAGTTGGTCTTTGTTTTTACACTATTGAGACACAACTTAGGAACAAAAAAGATTACACAGGTGTCAATAACCGTCTAAAAGATTATAATGTTAGAGAGAGTAACGTGAGTAATTACAAATTTTAATGTCCTACCATGAGAGGGTCAAATTTTTGGGCTATACACATGCAAGTCTCAGTTTTGATGGTAGGGAGAGATCTGAATGTAAATATTATAGTAATGATTGCTTATGTTATATGCTCTATAAAAGTTTAGCTCTTAAATGAGTTGGATATACTTTAGCATCACATTAGAGGTGGGCTTGTGGAGGGTTTGGGAAAAACTCACTTTCTTCAGTACAACTTTATATGTCCATGTGTTGAACTTGAGCTTATTGGTGTTCTTGAACTCTTGTAATTGTAGCATGATGTTAGGTAAAGTATATTCATAATTTGTATGTATTCCCTTGTGTTTTTATTAAAAAAAACAAACTTGTATGTATATGGGCATGGTGAGCTCTCCAAATAATACTAGACATTCAATCATCACACGGCTCTCAAATCCAACCTGTGGTGGATCCCCAAGGACAAAGTTAAATGCTTGATCCTCTACTCTCTTTTTTTTCAAACATGTAAGACAAATATATCTACTGTTTTATGTAATAATGTTACTTAGATCTTATTTGCTGACTTAATCACTCTTTGTCATTGGATTAGTAATCGACCCTATTATTAGTTGAAACCCGTAACTAATTTAATAGTTGTGATGCATATGAAATAAAATCATCAAATTAAGTCCATATCACATTTTTTTTTCATTTAAACATGGATTCTCCCCTAAATTCACAGCTTTAATTGTGAAATTGGTTTTTGTTATTTTCTCAGGGTTTTAAGGTCAATTCCAGGCCAACTCAAGAACTAGATGGAAGGCCAGTTTTCTTCTATAATTCCGATGGTGAGTTCCAGTGAAGGTTCTGACTTAGATTTCCATAACACTATGGGCAAAAATAAATGATACAATGTATCTTATAATAAGTAGACGGACTTATATAGTCAATCCCAAATGATTGTAATATTTCTGATATTATTTTACTTCTTATTCTTGTTCTTTCGAACGGATTATCAAATGGATTTGTCATTTGTAGTGACCATGAAACACCGCTCTAGGTAACTCAACGAATTGTAAATTCGCACGTTCTGAATTTAAATTTTGACAATTTTTTAATATTAGACTATGAATGTCTTAATTCCAAAGTTATGCAATACACGTAAACTGACCTAAATACCCTCGACTATTGAACTAAAAAAGAAACACCACTCTAGGGTAAGTTGGTAACCCTGTCTACTTTGGACCAAACACCCAATAATTAACTAGGATGTGTCCCTTAGGCATTAAAAAATTCTCATTAAAAAAATGCTTGCTCTCTTACTTATAGCTCAAATGAGATGTTTAGGAAGTTAATTTTAAGGTTCAAAATTTACTAAGACATGGGGAAAAAAAGAAGGAAAAATCAAAGATGCATGTTCTTATGACCCGTATTAAAATTAATCATTAATATATTAATTAGATTATTAATTATGATTCTATATAATCAATGATTTTTTTCTAAAAAAAATGGATCTGAAATATAGATTATTTGTGTAAAAACGAGTCGAACGACTATAATATAAATCATATTTCGTGTTACAATAAAAATATTATAATGTCCAAATAATATAATAGATCTGTAATATATGTGATACAATGCATAAGTCTTGTTAAGTGTGTTATAAAAAATAAAAAATTGTATTGAGGAAGCATAGTCCATGTGAAGGAAGAGACGAAGAAAAAAACAAAAGGAGAAAAAATTATGAGATTTGGGATAAAAAATTGAGTGATGATTTTATTTTCACTCAACACTAAATTTAAATATTTGATTTGTGGTATTTCGAAATTCATATATATCGGAGTCATCGGTGAATTTAAGGCACGAGATAGTATATAATATACTCCTTTTTTTCAATCTCTTTGTAAATAGTGTCTTTTTAATTATCTTAAATTTCTATTCATGTCTAGTATTTCTTGTTGATATAAAATTCTGCAAGTTTGGTTGATCTGATCTCTATTTTTGAATAAATACTTTGAGACTGATTAGTATATGCATGAAGCGTGCTTGGATCATTATTTGTGAAATAGAATTGTGGCCATGGAGGGTATGCTTGTTTGGTTTGATTATGGCCCTAAATAGTTCGATAAAGTATTAATTTATATGTACAAATATCACTTGTCATGTCAATAAGATGAACCGAATAAAATGTTATATTTGATAGCAGTTGAGTTATGTGACATGTCTAATTTGATTGACGATTCCGTTGTTCATGTTTCTTATCAACTGAATTATTTGATATTTGATCAATCATATCTTTGTTTATTGTTGACCATATTTTTTCAGGACGAGTTGGAAGGAAAGGACCAAGGTTGACGTCTAAGGAATCAGGGATGGACAGATTTTAATATATTTTTTTATTAAATAAAAATTACAAATTTTATTGGTCTTTGATGATCGAATTTGAAATTATAATTTTTATTGAGATAATTACTAATTAGAGTTCAATCCGAATATTTAAAATATTTTTGTGAAATTTTACTATTATCACCAATTAATTAATTAACGCATCTAAAAAACCGGGGCATTACAAATGTAGTGATTACTAGCGGGGGGGAAATCCGTGTGAAACAGGAAATTTTCCAAACACGTTCAATGCTATTTTCATTTCTATAACAAAAGTGTCACTAAGATGTTTCTCCTAATTAATTTCAAATTCAGAACTCTGAAAATGCTAAAAAAAAGTGTAACGGACGCAGTTAAGGGTTTCATGATCCCGTTAATGAAGGTCTACGAGAGTGGTCTCTAGGCACTCTCCTTGCCCCCATCCCTTTTTCAATTAGCTAAAAAAAAAAAAAGACTTCTCAAATATTTTCCATGCTAATTTGATTTATATGATAAATACAAGAGTCAATCACAACATGCCTCCTCTAACTTTAGATGATGTTACAATCAATTTCCTCTGATTTTAATTTCAACAAATTATTTCTTTGAAGTTATAATATTCTTCAATTAACCCAAGTCCTCAATCATGTTTAAGTCACATGATCTCAGATTTATTAAAAAGACAAAATTATCCATAATCAAAAAGAAATTACTCACATATAAATACTTGCATTTTCCTAATTCCAGTGTCATGCCTCATTTCCTTTTCCTTCCCTTTTCAACAAATCTCGCTTTAGGGTTGATGAAAACCTCTCTTTCCTCTAGCGGCATCTAATTTTTTCACCAATATTTTTTTTTTGGGGAAGGAGGGGAAGGGGAAGGGGAAGGGGAAGGGGAAGGGGAAGGGGAGGGGGAGGGGGAGGGGACTTGAACTTTGAGTTCAAGAAAATAAAGTTTTTATAAAACAAGGAGTACTATTAAATCAAAGATCACCTTCATGAAAGACAATATCTATGTTTTTAAAAAAAAATTAGAATGTCAAATTTATTTAAAATTTTGGGTAAATTACATTGACATCCCTTACTGTTTCTAACATTTTCATTGCATCCCCTATTGTTTACACAATTACACTAACCACGTCCACTAAGATGTGACAAATTGTAACAGAAGCCCCCTTCAAGCAGCAGACCGAAGGTCTATCATGAAGTAAACAAATTTTTTGAATTAAACTTCTTATTTTGCCATCAATTTAAAAAATATCTATTAAAAAATAAATACATATGTTATAAATATTTTACAACAATAAACATTCTTATTTACAAAAAAAAAATGTAAACTTTCAGTGATATATTGCTTTGGTCAACCAACAACATTGGTTCTATGGGTTTTGAAATACAATGTTGGGTTGATTGATTTCCTTGTTCTAAGTTAGTTGAAATATTTAATTTTGTTTTTAAAATTGAAATGAAATTATTTAAACGTTCTTGAATCGATTTTCATTAGGTGTAATTCAATGTCACTGAAAATATTTCATGTTTTTGTAAATAAGAATGTTTACTGTTGTGGAATATTTATAACATACAGAGTTTTTTTCAATAGATATTTTTTAAAGTTGAGGGCAAAATAGAAAGTTTAAATCAAAAAAATTGTTTACTTCATGACAGACATTAGGTCTTTTGCTTGAAGGGTTTCTGTTACAAATCCGTCACATCTTAAGGGAGGTCAGTGTAGTTGTGTAAACAACATGGGTACAGACACTAGACCATGACTAACTTTCGTCATTTTTCACTGCCACAATTAACGGCTTGGGTAAATTGAAGCAGAGGGAGTTGATTGCACATGACCTAAAGATGGAGGGGGTATTGTGTAATTAACCCTAAATACAAAGATATCCTGTCACCAAGTGCTTTCCCCTAATTACTTGAGGATAAAACCACTCCACTAAGAGAAGAATACAGGAAATAAGTTCCAAACTATGAAGCAAGATGTCAATGGGAAAGCAAGATGGTTGGTTGCATCAGCTACCTAAACTTGGCTGTGTCCTCTTTTGTCATATTCATACATACCTCTACATTCCCACGTAGAAGCCTGAATTACATGGAGGTTGCCAAAAGAGCCACGCCTTCTTATGTAGACATTTACTTAGCATACAAGTTTCTATTTGTTCATTTCAGGCTTTCATTTCTATTTCTATGTAGACAAATACACGTTAGGAGATTTTGATCTCCTTCTGTGTATTTTCTCTTAATTTCCCTCGCCAGTGTACCACTCGTTAAGATTCAGAAGCAATGTCCAAACCTGCACTACTCCCCTTCCCCCCCCACCCCTTCTCCCTCTCTACCGCAAAAGAAAAACCCACAGCCAAGATACTATAGAAGTCTAAACCTTGACTTTATCTATTGCATTGACCACAGTAGAGATGATCTATCATGCAACTTGTAATGAAATTTGAAATATTCTGCATAAATTCACATCAAGCAGAGTAACAAATATGACGGAACAGAAAAACATATAATTGATGAAAAATATAACCTTGTAATAGAGAGCCCACAAACCCCAACACAATAGATATGGACATGTAAATAAAACCAATGCACCCAAAACCTTAAAAGCTCAGAACGCGTTCCATTTCATAGTTCTTCATTGCAGATTTTGAGATTCATGCCTACTAATTATTGTGATTGAGAAAAGGAATCTGCATTTCCAGCCTTAGATCCTACATTGGTAAAGCTTCCACAAAGGGATTACTTTGTGGTAGAGAGCCACAAACCCAGAACAAAAACTTTGGACAATCTAAGAAAACTAATGCACCCAAAACGTTACAAGGTTGGAAAGCATTGTATTTCATAGTTCTTCAAAAGAATCCAGTAACCCTTACACATTACAACTAAAACATAAATAACATCTCAACACAAAACTCAGCCAATCTAATGAAAAAGTTGCAAGCACCTATGCAGCAAGTGACAAAAGCACTATCTATTATAACACGAACTTTCACAATTATGCAATAAGGAAAGGTAGAACAGTGATCATGAAGGACTCATATGTGAAAGTTGCCGATCCAGAGTAAGCAGTGTCCTTCTCCTTGAATTTCTCGGTTAGCCCCTGAAACACCCATGATCCCCAGTCAGACATACAAATCTCAAAATCCACAAAATAAAGCAACATATACTTAAAACAGTAAGAAAAGTGCCCAGAAAAAGAGAAGCGAAAATAACAAGTCTGAAAATGATACCTTAACAGTGAGGCAGCACCTGAAATTACAAAATCAGAAACAGAGACGACATTAGAATCAGAGTAACAAGTTGCTTGATTTTAAGTTTAAAAGAGCTTTAAAAAAGTCTTTTCATTTTGTTTTACGAGCCAATCTCTAAACCAATCTCGAGTAAGAATTTTTATATAATCAACTCAAACTCAACACCGAGCTCAAAACAATAGCGAGTAAAAATGTGCTCGAGCTTGGTTCGTTCTAGAATGAGCTTTCAACCACACACACCCCCAAATTATTACTCAAATTTGATCTCAAAACAGGGATTGACACGAACCACTTGAAAAAGATGCATAAATGATTGTTCAAAACATACTCGATGAAATTGTCATATTCAATGGCCTTGTTCCTTCCACCAGTTTTATCGAACTTAGAGACCAGCAACTCCAAAACTGGAGGCGAAACTGCAAACCCCAAGCTTAGGAGGGCGTCTCTCAATTCCGAGGGATCAATTTTGCCACTCCTGTCCCTATCAAATCTCTCAAATATAGCCTAAAAACACCAATTAACATAAACAACATTCAGTTAATTCTAAACAAAATAGAAAACAATAAAAGTAAATACAAAGTTAAAATTAAGTATATCAATCGTGAAGAGTGAGGTAGGATCATATCAAGTCTTAGCAGGTTCATATAAAAAACACTTCATCAGTTCATCTATCCTCGATACATCAAATTCTGGTCACATCAAATTCGGATCGTGTATAAATTAGATATAACCGATATACAAATAAGTCATATTGTGTATTTTTTTTAATTTACTTTGCTCATACAAAAATTCGTTTATTAATAGTGTTATGTCAAGTCCATTCCTTTAAAAAAACTCAAATTTTCTAATTTCATATTAAAATAGAAGAGAAAAATGCTACATAACCAAATAAAACCAAAAATTAAAACCCAAATACATATCATTTCGAGTGTGGGATGGATAGCTCCCACTAAAAAAATTGATGGGACCAACTCATTCAAGGAAAATATACATATTTGAATTACAATATTTTGGGTTTTATAGTATTACTCAATAAAAAAAGTAGAGAAACCCTCTTTATCTTACCCTCCAGCTCTGTAAACTGTAAAAAACTGAAGTGAATTCCTTTGGCCCTGTTTTGACAAAAACCCACAAATTCAACAACATGAAAACTTCAACCATTGGAATCAAATCAAAAATTACTCATAAGTCAACGCAAACATGAGATTAATTAGTTTCATGGAGTAGTTTAAAATTACTGAACGAAGGAATGGAGAGAGAATTACCGATCTTTCTGGTGTTGGTACTGGTGAAGAGATACATGAGAAGATGAACAGTCCTGAGGCTAAAACTCTGATTATAAGAAGACAAAGCCCTCTGCAACTCCATATCATCTATAAACCCACTTCCATCTTGATCAGCGATCTGAAAACAAGCAATTACATTGGGATCGGTGCCGGGTGGGAAAGCCGACGGCACAAGAGAAGCGAAGGGGCTGCCGTACGGCGCCGACGGAGGAGGATACCCAGAAGCCGAGGACGGTGGTGATGAAGCACCGTATGCGGCGGAGGGTTTGTTTTCCTTTGGGGGTTTATTTGGCTTACCACCGTATGGGGCTGAGGGGTTGGCATATGGGGTTGCAGCTGGTGCTGAGGGGGTGGCATATGGGGTGGCGGCTGGGGCGTAGGGGGCGGCGTATGGTTGGCCTGGCGGTGGAGCACCGTAAGGGGCGGAGGAGTAGGGTTGCGATGGTTGGGCACCATAATCGTAGCCGTAACCGGGCGAGTTGTAGGGGTAACCGGACATCTTTGGTGTCGGAGAGAGGGAGAGAGAGAGAGAGGGAGAGAGAGAGAGAGACCGGCGAGATGGAGTAAATATTATCACGTGACAATGCTGTTGCCCTGAATATGAGACTGAGAGAGACAGGAGAGAGAGAGAGAGAGGGGACGGTTTCTTCTATGGGAGAGACGTTTTTATAGCGTATAATAAATATAACGTTCGGCTTGAGTTTATAAAATTGAGTACAGAGTTTGATTTTACTACTAAATTGCCACTCGGTTGATAACTACGGAACATTATTGTTGGTTCTATTTTCGATAAAGGCAAAAAGTGAAATGCTGTAATAATCATAATGGTAGACGAAGGGGTAGATTGATTTAGTTTGCATAGTTGGAGGGTTAAATTGAAAAAAAATATAGTTTAAAGAATTAACTAACACACATGAAATAGTTTAGGGGATAATAATATAATTCACCCAAATCATTGTGAGTAACATCCGACAAAATCACCAGCACGCTTACAAAATTTGTCCACTATCGTGACTATTATTTTTTATGAATAAAATTATAATATTAAAATGAGAAGTTATAATAATTCACGGGAATGATATGACTGATTATAGATATTCATAATTAATCATAAAATTTTTGATATCAATCTCAATCTTTTACAATCGATCATACTATTTAAAATGATAATTAATACCTCAAAAAATTATAAATTATAAATAATACCATAACATACCCAATATCACTCTCAACTATCGCTAACTTTCCCCCACTAATCCACTTCGATCATGGCCTCATTATCCATCACAATCAAACCTTATCAAATTAAGCTTTAAAAAAATAGTCTTTTTTCTCACCCAAACTAACTCAATTTATTCACATGTTTGATGGTCATTTTAATATTCGTACAAATAACATTTCTTTTATTAAGAATATAAGTTTAGGTATTGTAATTTGTATAAGTAGTAAAATAATTCTCATTTTCACTATGTGATTGTTAATTAGGGAAAAAAACAAATAATTTTTTGGAGAGTGAAAATTGAAGGTATATTGTTTAGTTATTGTAATTGTCTTCAATGTAGATTGTCCATTTACTATCTTATGAAAGATTGCAATGAAATTATTTTTTGCTTAATTGTGCATTATTTAAACAAGAGGTTAGCAATCTGGTATAATAGTCAATGTTCATTTTCACTATATGAATTTTTTTTTTTTTTTGTTTAACGGTCAGAGGTATCCGAATCAGTTTACGTGCATTTTGACTAATTTTTTTTCCGGTCTAATTAAAGGTATATTATTCACCCTGAAATTAGAATATCCATAAGTAATAAATATCTTCTGTCAGGATTCAAATTTAAGACATATGAAATTACAACTCGTCTTTGTTATCATTTGTGCTAACCTCGACATTCATGTTGTTAAATTTTAAGGTTACAAATTTAATCTCCGTCGTTTTTCTCCTCCTCTATAATGCTAGTTGACAAAAAAAAAGAAAAAAGAAAGTGTTATGCACGTACACGTTATTTTAGATTGAAAAGAGGGGCATAAATGTACATTGATTGAACACCTTGGACCTTTCCTTGGTCGGCTCAGAGTTTGCGGGCGCTATCTGTTCGCACGTGGCTAGCTGTAAACGGTGCGGGCAAGTGGAGATTTTTTGGGTCAACGTGTGGACTTTTTAGAATTGCATCCAATTGGCGTTCTCGGGTAAATTGTTCGGGTCAAACCAACAATTTTTTTTAAAAAAAAAGATTTAAACCAGCTAAGTAAATCCGAATATTTTTTATTATTATTTAGAGCATTTTTTAATAGAATTTTTTTTTTAATTTTAGAGAGTATTTTTTGTAAAAATAAAGAGTGAGATTTTTTAGATAATTCTAATAAACTAATCATATAGTCAAGAGTATTTAATGAAGAATATATATGCGTCGTCTTTTTTAATCTCTATTTTCTTTGTATGAAAAATAGCCTAGAGTTTTGTATATAAAGTAAAAACTGACTTTGCTAAGGTATCCTAGTTAAAATCAGATTTTGATGCGTTGTAGAGGCAAGCTTATTGCCAACTCTTGGAAACTATCGGAAATTGATTCGATCGACCTCAAACAAGTGCTCTATGATTTTGCTTGAATACTGTTTATGCTTGGGGTCTATGATTTTGACTATAAAAATCACATTTTTTAAACCAACAATTGAAATGTTAGGTATATATATCGTACAAAAAGTCTTGAAAATATTTTCTAAATAAATTCACAATTCATGGAGACATCGAAGTCCACATCTATATCTATACTACTTATAAAAATACTTTAATATAAAAAAATTTTGATTCACTATTTTACTCTCATAAAGAATTAAAAAAATCACTTCATCCTGCCACAATCTGATATCACTTTTAATTATATATTTCCTATGCATAAATGTCAATTTTTATGAAATTTTTTGACTGATTATATTATTCTTAAAAAATTATATGCATCATTATAAGTTTTAACAAAATATTCAAAAAAAACTTTCAAAAATTCCATCAATATAATATTACTCACCTTAGTTATAAAGATAATATTATGAGTACATATTTAAATTTTATTTTTCATTAAAATGTTTAACCCCTTCATTTTTAAGATAAAAAATAATGTATGTATAGTTTTACATAATTTTTTAGTCACAGTAAATTTTTCAGACTGTGTTAAGATTTTACGTGAAAAATTATTTTTTTAAAATTTTTTTTACTATACTTTATAATATATATTATAACATTGTATATTAAATTTTAACCCAATTAACCTAGATAATCTTAAATATAGTAAAGTTCTAATATGATTGGTATATTGATAATTATTTTTATTTTATTCAATAATTTATAAGTGAAATTTTAATCAAATTAATTTTGTAATTATCTATTCTCTATTTATAATTGTCAATGTTTGTGATACTTTTTGATTTATTATATTACTCTTAAAAAATATGTGCATTATTATAAGTTCTAACAAAATATTCAAAAAAACTTCAAAGCTCCATCAATATAATATTACTTATCTTATTTATAAATATAATATTATGACTACATATGTATATTTTATTTTGAGTAATACTATTTGAACCTAAAAATTTACCCTAATTTGTTGACATAATGATGTGGCTTTATAGAAATCATTGAATCAATGTCAAGTTTCAATATTTGATGGGGTCTACAGTGATTTTAAAAGTCAAAGTGAATTAGGTCAGCAAATTATGTCAGTGAATTAGGTTCCAATAGCATTGCTCTTTTATTTTTTTATCAAAATGTTTAACCATTTCATTTTTAAGATAAAAAATAATGTATATATAGTTTTATATGATTTTTAAGTCATAATAAACTTTTTAAATTGTGTTCACATTTTATGTAAAAACTTTAATTTTTTTAAAATTTTAATATGCTTTATAATATATATTATAACATTGTATATTAAATTTTATCTCAATTGACTTAACTAATCGTAAATAAGGTTCCAAAACGATTGATATATTGATAATTATTTTTATTTTATTCAATGATTTATAAGTTGAATCTTAATCAAATTAATTTGAAAATTTAAATTTTCAAACATCACGAAAAAAATCACTTTCAATTATAAAATTATAGAAACAAAATAGAACTTTAATTATTTGTTTTCTTTTTTTATTATTCTTCTTAAAGTTAGAAAACAAAAATCTTGAAAGTATACAAAGTTTTCAAAAATTCTATAGTGGAGCATAAGAGATGAAAAAATAAGTTTGGTGAAGTTAATGATTTTTAATTCAAGTACACATATACTAAATATTTATTAATTAATTTTTTTAAAAAATTATTCACGTGCAACGCACATGGTGCATTGCTGATCAATCATAAGTGGAGTGTGAATGCTATGAGTTTTACTTGATCATCTTTATGAATCTTCAATCCATTTTTCAGGTAATCTTCATGACATTTAGGTTGAATTTTTTTGATCTTCAATGTAAGGACCATAATACCTCAACTAATTCCATCCATGTGACTCAAGGAAATATGTCAATTATAAACAATATGTAATCTTCCCCTTTTGACATTTTTGTGACTATCATCAAGTTCTGATATAACTCGCCAAACTTCAAACATAAACATGAATTGCATCCGAACTTCAATTTCATACAATGTACAAATTACAACTCATTCCACACCTTTACCATTCTACTTAGTTCTTGAATATAACTTTATGAAGGGAAGACTTTAATTTGAAACTTTTAAGCTCTTAAAACACACTTAAACAACTAAACCTCATGAAACACATAGGGAATAAACATAAATAGTCCTAACACGAAAATTGATCAGTGGGTAACATAGAACAATCTTAAACATGTCAATCATATGCATATAAGCAATAATATCAAAGCAACACAACAAAAACTCCCCATGTGAACATGTTTCATGCACATCAATAGTACTCACCCTCAATATAATACCAATTTTAATTAAAAGAAGTATACAATAATTCCAAGTGATGTGTGTGTGATTGAGAATATCATGTAACCCCCCCCCCCCCCCCCCCTCTCTTTGTGACAAAATGGTCAATAATAAAGCATCAAGAAAGAGAATACACACACAAGTAACAAACACTAAAATTCATAAAACAAGCAAAACATAGTTTTTCAATCATCACAAGATAATAGGAATACAAAACTTAGAAATCTCAAAGATAAACTACGAAAGATCAAGAAATCTAGTTTAATGTCCTCAAATCAAAAGTCTCTTCTAGACGTATGCACATTATTTCCATCTCTCTCAAGCCTCTCCTCCAAACTAGCAGAACAACACAAATTGCTAATCAATCAGTCATTATAGTGATATCGCGATTCATCATGTTATTTGTCTATTTTCTATGGTGAACAAAATCTTTATAATCAATAGTAAGTTTATACTAATTTAGTGTTAAGACTATCAAAACGACCAAACAAAGAAGTCTCTCCTCAAAATCGTGGTTTCTAGATTGGGGGTCATGTGGAGAACTTTGTCACTGATCTTGATTAAGGCAATGTGGTCACATGCCTGTGAGCTAGATGTTGCCGACTGTTAAAACTAAGTAGGAGCAACACGAGTTGGTACATAGAAAAAAGTACTTTTTCCAGATGATAGTGGTGTATCCACATCCAAAGTAAAAACCAAAACATACGATTGACTCTAGCTAACAGTCTCTAAGATCTTTCAACTTTTGTATTATCTCGCCAAAAAGAATGGATACTTGTGCTTGCTCACTTAGTCTAGATATCAACACATCCAAATGGTAAGCTAGGGGTGGAGGGGGAGGGTGGGTGAGGGCAATTGCCCCCACTGAGATTTTGAAAAATTTTGGGGTTAATTTAAAATTGTAAAAAAATTAAAATTTTTCAATATTTGTCCTTACTGATTTATTTTTTTAGAGTTCATAAGACTTAATCTCACAATTCTTTCTTTACTCGTTAGCTATTTCTCCTATTTCTATAATGACACACTAAGTTACCAAACTCATATTCCTCTAAATTTGATTATCTAGATATGAAGTGATATGTTTAATTGATTATTCAAGTTCAAATATGCTATTATATGTCAAGAATTTAGATTTGAATATACCAAAATTTGATCTAATTGTGAATCTTAAACGATTCGCCAAAACACATGCATACACGTGTATATATAAGATTTAGTTTTTCGATTAAATTTTTAATATTTAATGGATATGGATATTAATATGAATTGTAAAGACGAAATTTGATGGATAATCAAATCATATTTAAAATGGAGTTTTCAAATCGAACTTACATTCAAATCACTCAAAATTTGATGATTGACATGTTTATTTATAATTTGTTTACAGAATGATTTGTCTAAATAACCATTTCTATGAAAATTATTCTAATACTAGTACTTTCTATAAAATAAATTTTATATAACTTTTCTTAATTAAGTTCTATCTTTTTTACGTGTAAGTTATGCATGAAAAACTTTTAAGGTAAATAAAGCAAAAAATTATTATGAAAAATTACTTCATAAATAGTGTAAATGACAAAATACTCATTTGTAAGACAATAAATTTTGATGATTGTTCTTCAATTGTTTCCCTCAACTTGATGATTGCCCCCAATGAAAATGGATTCTGACTCCGCTCGTGTGATAAACCATCCTCAGTAGACTAGATAATAAATGAATCAAGAATGACACTAAAAATCTAAGATGTGGTATCAATAGGAAGCTCCATACCAATATCACAGATCAATTGGACTCTAGAATGTGGGATATCGCTAATATGACTCTTTGGGTCAATGTCTGTTGCCACAATAATGGGAAGAACTCGATAATCAACTGTCAAATCCTTCTATTGAAACTTGGAACGTGCCTAAGTTTCAATAGGAGGAGAAATATCTAGGGAGTAAAGAAATTTGAGCCTTTACTGTCGAATCCTTCTAGTAAAAGTATCACTCATCACTATCTTTTTGTATTCTAGAAGTCATTATATCAAAATCTAATTGGCAAAAGTGAATAAAATCTAAAAGGGTTTTAATCGGTGTAAAAACCCTTTTGGTAAATGATCTAAAGAGTGAGTACAACAATGAACAGGAGAGATTTTGAAATACTTGAGAATATATTTGAAATCTTCAATCACTACTACCTCCACGCATCCGCTCGAGCGATTTAGAGTTTGCTTGAATATGTTTCTCTCTCTATCGAGCATCCAACATAAAACCAACACTCTTCTCAGTGTTTTTCTTAACCTGTTATAAATTTTTTTAACCCAAAATGCACGTGTAATGTCATATACTCTCCCATATCGACAGAGCAACATTTTTTGTTATAAATTAAATAGTATTATTATTAACATTATGATTATAAATTATTAATGAATAATAAGTTGTCCCTACTAAACAAAAACCCTAACTTTGCTCCTATGTAAAATCATATATTCCCAATAACATATTATCTAAGTATTACTTGTTTGAGCTATATCTTCTATATTTCAAGTATGATTCTATATCTCCGACCTCTCAAATAGACTTTATAATGTAAAAAAGAGACATATTCTTGTTTGGTTTTTCTTATTTTTTTGGTATATGTTTTTTCTTAACCTTGTTCTTGTAAGTTCATCACTGACCACTCATTTGGACAATCTTACAACATTACTCCCAACATTTGCCAACCTATTGAAAACATATGAATAAATTATACAAATGACACTCAAATTATAATAATTATGTCAATTAAGTTCTTAAACTCTTTAATTGTGTTAATTGAGCCCTTATATTTTTTTGTGCCATATGGTCACATGAGTGACACACTCTAACGGAGGCAGACAGAAAGGTTTAATTGAGACAATTAGAGAGTTCAGGGGTTCAATTGACACAAAAAAAATTAGGGGCTTAATTGACAAAAATATCATAGTGTGAGGGTCATATGTGTAATTTATTCAAAACATATATTCTTCAAGAGATCAACGTTCCAAAATTGGCGTGACAAAGGATCTGCCACGTGAACGGAGACACAACCGATTGCAACATATCAGGAGCGTACCTTAGCCCAGCCTGTACACTTTCTCTTGACCCTTTTGTTTCCCATGTTCGTATACTACCCGATGCTAACAGAAAGACGGAAGCTTGAATAAAAGACGGATACGATAGCGCACGTTAACCAACGCCACTCCACCGGCTCATTTTAGCAAGTACCCCCCCAATGCATTCAACTGTGTCTACGCTTCTTCTCTTCTTTCTCTCTCCACACCCTTCTCTTATCTTTCTCTTTCCTATAGGGTTAAGGTCACTACGCCGTCGTCGTCTTCTTACCCACCGCTATTTTATCCCTCTACCCACAAATTATCATTATCTATTTCCTATCTCCTCCAATGCTCCTCACAGACTTGGGGTTTCTAGGGCTCTTTTCTTTACACTACCTTCAAAGCGTACTCTATGGACGCCAAAAGACACTTCTCTTATTCAAATCTCTTCAATCTTGAGGTATGTGACTTGGGTTTCTGATCTTCTCAAATGGGCTCTATTGGTGGACTGTGTTATTGCTTATGTGTTCTTTTTTTTTTTTTGTAGAAAAATATGGTTTTTATAATTACTCTGTGTCTTTTTTTTTTTTAGTTTTTGGTAGTTAATTTGAATTGGGTATCTTGAGTTTATGTTGTTTTTGATGAATTTTGGGATGAATTGTGTTTTTTATTTGCTTTTTTTTTTGGGTTTATGTAGTCTTTGATGAACTTTCAACTACCCCAACAAGATGATGATTTTGATTATTATGGGAATAGTAGTCAGGATGAGAGCAGAGGTAGCCAAGGTAGGCACTTTTTTCTTAAGAGTTTTCCATTGAATTACAATGACCCATTTTGATTTTATCTTTTGGAAATTCAATAACATTGTGCAAATTCGTACTCTAGATATACACATGCACATACATATACATCTGTATAGTATTTCTATTAATGGGAAATTTGGTGCTGATACATATGATATACACAGTGTCATTGAGTTTTAGGTTTTTGATGAGTTAAATTGAGCTGGTAAAGTGAGACTTATGCGAATGGGTTGGTTTTTTTTTTTTAATTATAAATTGGTGGAGCTACAGCGGACCGCACTAACAGCATGATGTCGACGAGGGAATTGAAGAAGAAGAGGCGGAACAGATATAGTAGTGACGAGGACGAGGGCGGAAGTTACAGTACTTATATTTCAGAGGAGAGGTATCGAGCAATGCTTGGAGAACATATTCAGAAGTACAAGAGGAGGATCAATAATTCCTCGCCAAGTCCTGCCTCAAGTCGAATTGGGATGCTGGCTGCAAAGGGTAGTTTAGGATCCAAGGACCGGATATTGGGGAATGAGCATCGAGGAGGATCACACAAAATAGAATCTACTTCAGATTTTCTGACAGACATTGGTCCTCAAAAGCTTGGAAATTATCATGAATTAGATAAACCAGATTATGGTGCTGATAGGTTTGCTTCTTCCCTATTTTTTTCCCAAAAAAATGAATGCTGAAATGTTATATAATGTACTAATATTCTCTGAACAACTACATTTTGAATGACATGTGGAAGTAAACTCTTAAAAGATTTTGCAGATCAGTTTATGAACTCGCTTATTTGGATATTGGGGATGGCATCACTTATAGGATTCCTCCAACTTATGAAAAGTTGGCGGCATCATTGAACCTGCCAAGCATGTCGGAAATCCGAGTTGAGGAAATTTACCTAAAGGGCACCCTCGATTTGGGGTCATTGGCTACAATGATGTCTGCTGATAAGAGGTCTGGGGGTAGAAGCCGAGCAGGGATGGGTGAACCTTTGCTCCAGTATGAATCTCTTCAGGCAAAATTGAAAGCCCAGTCAGCCAGTAATTCTCCCCGGAAGTTCAGCTTGAAAGTCAGTGATATTGGATTAGACACGTCCTCTATCCCAGAGGGGGCGGCTGGAGGGATACGACGGTCCATCTTGTCAGAGAGTGGTGTACTGCAAGTTTACTATGTGAAGGTGCTGGAGAAAGGAGACACATATGAGGTCTGTATTCTCCTTGAGTCATAAAAATGCAATCCCTTTTGGTATTTCTACATAGTAAGTGCTGCTGGGCGGTTTTTACTTATTCATCTCGCAACGCGTCTGGCTGCAGATTATTGAACGTAGTCTACCCAAAAAGCAGAAGGTGAAGAAAGACCCATCAGTGATCCAGAAGGAGGAAATGGAGAAAATTGGTAAATATTGGGTAAATATTGTGAGAAAAGATATACCGAAGCATCATAGGATTTTCACTAGCTTCCACAGAAAGCAACTAGGTGATGCCAAGAGGGTTTCAGAAACCTGTCAAAGAGAGGTACTTATATTTTGAGGGGCATTTTGGCCTTTCCTATGTCTTAATTTTAGTCTAATGGGTCTGGTATTCAGTATTCTGCCTTGTTTCATTTAGTTGTGGATGTGACCAAAATATTTTGGCATTCCTACTTTTCAGTTTTTATTTCATATCTAGCTCGTCAGTTGTAGTTTCTCATTTGCAAGCTTAAGTTTTTTTTCCTTTCCAGGTGAGAATGAAGGTGAGCAGATCACTTAAATTGATGAGGGGGGCTGCAATCCGCACAAGGAAGCTGGCCAGAGATATGCTAGTCTTTTGGAAGAGAGTTGATAAGGAGATGGTAATATTCTTTTACATGTTGAACTTATTTGACTTAATGTATTTCTCCTGGATTTGACATAGTATTATTATGCAAAGTAGCAATTTGATTGGTAATTTGAGTGGAGGACAAAAAAAACTTCCTCTCTCTCTCTCTCCCCTTCTGTGGAATTGTACCTATATATGGTGCTTACAAAATATCCTTTTTATGCATGTGCACTAGCACAAACACATGTTTGTTATCACTTATGATAGACCTTATTTCTGTGGTCTTCAATGATACATCATAATTTCTGAGCCTAGTTCTGTGATATATGTGGTGTTACAGTGTATGATTATTCCTGTTAATTTCTCACCGGATGATTTGCTTATAGGCCCTTCATTTGCGATATCTTGACATCACATGTTGTCTTACCTCACACTTGATCTGAGTTTAGTAAATATGACGAGTACTTGAGTGATCATCAAGCAAAGAGTTATCAATGGGTTGCATGTCCATGGATCTAGCACTTAGCAGATGAAATAAACACAAGTTCTTAATATTTTTATTTCCAAAAGAACTGTTCTATAAATGACAAATCTGAGATATGTCTCTTGGATGATATTACTTAAGGATATTTATATTGCAGGCGGAAGTGAGGAAAAGAGAGGAAAAGGAAGCTGCAGAGGCTTTGAAGCGCGAGCAGGAGCTTCGCGAAGCAAAGAGGCAACAGCAGAGGCTCAATTTCTTGCTGTCACAAACAGAACTCTACAGTCACTTCATGCAGAACAAGTCAATATCACAGACCTCTGAGGCTTTAGCTGTGGGTGATGATAAATTACATGATGAGGACGTGTTATTTAGTACTTCAGAATTTAGGGCTGAAGAGGAAGAAGATTTTGAGGAGACTGAATTAAGAAAGGAGGCTCTGAAAGCTGCTCAGGATGCAGTTTCCAAGCAGAAAAGGATGACAAGTGTATTTGATACTGAATGTTTGAAGCTACGGCAAGCTACTGAAACTGAGGCTCCTCAGCAAGATGCCGCCATTGCTGGATCTAGTAATATAGATTTATTGCATCCGTATGTTATGCTATCCTCTTTTTTGCCAAGAAATATTAAGATGTTGGAGACAATTCATATTTTGGCCTGTTAGTTTGTTGAAACCTCACTTGCAATGATTTCAGCTCAACCATGCCTGTAGCATCATCAGTGCAGTCACCAGATTTATTTAAAGGTTCCCTAAAAGGATATCAGCTAAAAGGCCTACAGTGGCTGGTAAATTGTTATGAGCAGGTACGGCAGTTTGTACAAGTTTCTTTGGGTTTCTTTATTGCATAGATTTCTGCTTCTGTTGACTTTAGCGGGGCTGGTGTTGTCTCTCAGGGTTTAAACGGAATTCTTGCTGATGAGATGGGCCTGGGAAAGACTATACAAGCCATGGCATTTTTGGCCCATTTGGCTGAAGTAAGTGATCCATTTGATGTCTATGATATTTGAAATTTGCATTGGTAACTTAAATTTATTGTGCTATACAGGAAAAAAACATATGGGGACCTTTTCTGGTTGTTGCACCTGCTTCTGTCTTGAACAACTGGGCTGATGAAATTAGTCGCTTCTGCCCTGACATGAAAACTCTTCCATACTGGGGTGGGCTTCAAGAACGTATGGTACTTCGGAAGAATATCAACCCAAAGCGTCTTTACCGCAGGTAACTGTCTATTGGTTAACTTAGTTTATTGTTATTTTAAACATTTTTTTGGGGAAAGAAAGAAACATAGTTAGTAGTATTATACGATATGTCACGATACACCTGAAAAACGATACGTATTGTGTTTATGTATTATTTTTTCACCGTATCGTACGATACACGATACGATATGATATGTACGATATGTGACGATTATATTTTTTTAATTTTTTAGGACTGAAATGACATCGTTTTACCCTATATTTTTAAATCACTAGCCAGTGAAATAATGTCGTTTCAGTGATTGTGGTTTAAAAAAATAAAATAAAGTCTGTTGTTCAATTGAGTTCAAAATTCCTAATTAATATTAAAATTGTTCAAGCGGTTAATGTTAGAAGTTTGAATTAGAGGTTTTTGAATTTTGATATTACTGAACTATGTTGGGAACTTGAATAGTTAGTGGAATATTAATGAAATGTCATATTATTATGAGTCTATGATTTTTTTATAAAGGTATATATATATTTTATTAATAAATATTTAAAAATTAAAATTGCGTTTATCTTATGATACACGATACGATACGATACACTATTTTTGAAAAACGATACTTCTTCCAATACGCGTTTTGACAACTATGGTTCTATTGGTCTTTGCGTGGTGCTTTTGTGCATCATAGGTTCTAATTTTAAGTTGGGTTATAACCCGTGACTCATGGTCATAGATGTGAGTGACATGGTCATGGGTTTCCGTATTTGATGGAGATGAAGTATGTTTCACCTAAGTCACTAGTGACAAGAGCGAGTGTAAGATTGTTAATTTTTAGCTTGTACTTAGTTTCCACTCATATGGTTATTACGATAAAAAGAAAGCACTAGGTAGTAAAAAGTTCATGAAACATCTATAAATGAATTCAGAATAGTAGGTGAATCTTTTTAAGCATTGATACCATCACTCATAGTACTCGTGAGCATAGTTATCAAAATCGTACAATTCGCGATTCGATTCATACGATTTTGGTCGATACAAGTACAAAACGATTCGTATCTTATATGATAATCGTTTTAGAGTTGAATCGCACTTGAATCGTACGATTCGATTTGTATCTCACGAATCGTAAGATTCGATCATTTTTTTTTTAAACCTAAATTTTTGACAAAACGATGTCGTTTTGTTTGCTAAACAATAAAACGACTTCGTTTTGCTTGTAGAGGAATCCACACCCTAATAAAAACTCAACTGCCTTTGCTTGTTTTCTTTCTGACGTCGTCTAAAGTTCGTCTTGTGTTGACTAAAGTTAAAGGTCACGGCTAACGCTCTCACATCATTGATTGATTTTTGCTTTCAATTCTTTTATGAGTAGTTTATTAGGTTCTAATTTTTTGTTTCAAAATGTTGGCCTGCATGTTTTCTCTCAATTCATTTTTCTTATTTGTTCTTTTTCCATTCATATTTGTAACTTAATCTATATTGGGTGTCACTATTTTGGTTCTTAAATAGCCCTGATTTTTTAATGAATTTTTTTCTTAAGTTGAATTTGAAAATGATTAAGTAAAAGATGAAAATGAAACAAAAGATTAGCGTCTTTCTATTTAGACAATGTGATTATGTCAATTGATTATTTTTTAGAATGCAATAATGTTCAATATTCAATATCTTATCTATTTTAAATATGTAGTATTATTTTTTATTTTTGTTTAAATTTTGTGTCGAATCTTACGATTCACGATTCTGAAATTTAAGATTCCGATTCACGATACGATTGCGATTTGACAACTATGCTCGTGGGATGGTGGGAGTAATTAATTATGACCAGCTTTGGTTCAGCTGAGTTGTTATGAGGCTCTTGAAATGAGCCCTAAGGTCTGAGGGTCAATTTCTTCTTTCCTAGCGATCGTAGCTGTCAAACACTTGGTATATAAAGAAGTTTACTCTCATCTCACATCTGGAGGAAGTGAGCATTGCTTAGGACACCTAAAAAAAAAAAAGAAGAAAAAAGCCCTGTTTGAGAAATGGCTTCTGTGAGTAAATATTAGTGCCAAGAGGGCAATAAAAGTTCAAGTAAGAGTAAATTGCAGCCTGAAGTCTGTCCTTAACGTTGATCCTTGGATGATAAACCTTTCCTTCTACTCAACAACCGCAGCAAATTAGACCTGAAATTTAGGTCTAATTTAGGTGTATGTGAGTTAAAGTGGGCTCTAAAAGGACCTGAAAAAGGGGGCGGTTAAGACAATGAGATTGTCTAAAAATTAGCATACTCAAGGTCTGTAACCTGCTCTGATTCTACCACCATTCTGCTTGGAAACTGCATTGTTAGTGTTTTGACCGAACTGCATTGTTTTGGCTGAATCTTTGTTAGACATGGCAGTATTCTCAAGATGCTATATTGTAGTTAGGGAAATTACTGCTCCTTAAACACCATTACATCTTCTGAGTTCTGAGGCACTCTGAATTAGGAAGCTACTTTTCTGTTATCTATGATGTTTAGAGAAATGCAATTCTCTTTTTTTTTTGCTTCTTGGGTTGCATTTTTTGACACTTGGCTAGGAAGTTCTATACAAGAAAAAGAAATCTCTTGCCATCGTTTTCTTCTGGTTACCAATATAAGCATTTAAAAAAATGTCATTTCTCATCCTTTTAATTTACTGATCAACTCTAACTTTTACTTACCAGGGAGGCTGGGTTTCACATTCTCATTACCAGCTACCAACTGCTTGTGTCTGATGAGAAGTATTTCCGGCGTGTGAAATGGCAATATATGGTATTAGATGAAGCACAGGCAATCAAAAGTTCGAACAGGTTTTGAATTCCACCATTAAATTTGGGGATTCCTTTGTTACTATTTGAATGCATGCTGTGTTACCTCCCCAGTGGTTCCCAATTATGTAACTACCCAATCGATAACCAATTATGTTATTGCCCAATTGAGTACCAATGATTTTTGTTGAAGTAACTTGGAGATTTGTGCTAAAATGCATTTCTTAGCAAAAATAAGACAATTATTTTAGACGAAGGTAATACCTAGTAATCAAAGTAAAGCACCTAGGGAAAGAAAATGGGAAGGTGAAGCTAAACAAATAAATTTTAGGAATAAGTTTGTTGATTAAAGTGCAAATATTTTAATGGTTTCTTCTTCTAAAACAAAATAGCAGAAACTTGTTTCTTTTGTCGAGCTCCTCTCCTCCCATTCTGATATTTGTTGTGTTAATATATTTACGATTAGAACTGCTATCACCTTCCTTTAATGTGTACTTTATAGCTTTTTTATGTCTACTCTCTTCTTTCCTTCTTTTTTAGCTATAGTTTATGGATTGGTGCTGTGTGTCATATCTCTTAATTGTAATTGTAGTATTCCTTGTAATTTTTTCATGTGAAAGTTCAAAACATGTAGCCCTCACAATCTACCAAAAACCATATTATCATACATGTGCACACTCTCTCATCACAGTATGTTGAATTTTGGGTTGACAGTATAAGATGGAGGACACTGCTCAGTTTTAATTGTCGAAACCGCTTGCTTCTGACTGGTACGCCGATTCAGAATAACATGGCTGAGTTGTGGGCCCTCTTACATTTCATTATGCCAACCTTGTTTGACAGCCATGAACAATTTAACGAGTGGTTTTCAAAAGGGTAATTTTCTTTTCACAAAGATCATCTATCTCGTACACATTTTATTTGTAAGTTGGGGCATTCCTCTCATCATTCTTCACCATATATATACAGAATAGAGAACCATGCAGAACACGGTGGGACTTTAAATGAGCATCAGCTTAACAGATTGGTAAGTAACCTAGTAGTTTCTATGATTTCGTCATGATATAGCTGGTCAAATTGTTGGTTACTTGGGCCCCTAAGAATGCGTCCTTGTGCATTGTAAACATAAATGACGGCCTACTACGGCACCGGTGAGAAATTGTGATATGATAGTTATTGAAGGTGAACTTAGGGGTAGAGGAAGACCAAAATTAACTTTAATTGAAATAATAAAGAAAGATCTGATATCCTATGGTTTAACTGAAAACATTGCCCTAATAGAGCTCAATGTCGAAACAGGACTCATGTAGCTGACCCAAAAAATGTTGGGACAAGGTTTTGTTGTGTTGTGTTGTGTATTTTTTGTGTTAAAGGTTTTAGGTTGAGACATGTATGCTTGAGAGTTTAGACAATGTCAAAAATCTTAAACTATTATGGAAGTTTCTACGTGGTGGTGGTTCGCAGGATTGACTCACAAAATCCTGAATTGAAAGTTTCACTATAGAATTCTAGACCATTGGAAAGTTTGACTTGTTTTAGTTTTAGGTATTGCTATTTCTTACTTGCTTTGATCATTATTTGGATTTACTTGCTATATCTTGCTATGTTCATTATTATCTCTTGCAGTGGTGTGAAAATGTGTGACCTATGACTGAGTATTTTTTTATTGCTTTTAAATTCATGAAGCAGTGTTTTTTAGCCGTATTTTCTTTGATAATTTTTTTTCCACTTTAAACCCCCTCCCTCCCAAAAAAAGCATGCAATTCTGAAGCCATTCATGTTGCGGCGGGTTAAAAAAGATGTGGTTTCTGAGTTGACTGGGAAAACTGAGATCACAGTGCAGTGCAAGTTGAGTTCTAGGCAGCAAGCTTTTTATCAAGCAATAAAGAACAAGATATCTCTTGCTGAGTTGTTTGACAGCAACCGTGGGCATCTGAACGAGAAGAAAATTCTGAACTTGATGAATATTGTCATCCAGCTAAGAAAGGTGATCCATTTGGATTTTTGCATTCTTGTTTTCTTATATTCTGCTGACATAAGAAGGGTGAAAATATGAATCTTATTTATATTGGAGGTGTATTTTATATGATGTTTTGGTTTAATGTTTGCCCGTTATCAACAAGCGTATCCTTTTATAATGGCAGGTTTGCAACCATCCAGAGCTATTTGAGAGAAATGAAGGAAGTACATACCTATATTTTGGAGAGATTCCAAATTCTCTTCCTCCACCTGCTTTTGGTGAGTTGGAGGATGTATACTACTCTGGTGGCCGGAATCCCATTACATACCAGGTGATTTTAAAGCTGTTTTGGTGTTGATTTTGGTGCTATCCTTTTGTTTGTGGGCAAACAACTGTGTGCATCAGATTTCACATCTCCCCAGGTTCTCGACTTGCATTACCCATCAACTGGAACTTCTTTTGTATTTTGTACGATAAGAAAATTATGGTGATTGCAAGCTGCTGTCATACCTATTGCATTTGTTCACTGGTTTGAACTGTCACCGACTGCGAGTCTTGACACATTTTTAATTCCTGATGCAGTGTGACTTTAAATTTGAAAATTCTCTGATTTGAAGATTCTGTAGGATCAGGGGCTTATCTATGGGGGGGCTCACGATATATCTTGCCCACTACAAAGAATTGACATTTTCATGGAATACATACAAGTTGACACCAAAAATTCCAAAATTAGTAGGACATGGACACACTACAAATTACTGTGTTTTTATATTTCATTTAAGTAGTTGGTCAGTATATACATTGATATAATTATGTAGGGACCTTTTATTTTTAATACCCTAACTCAAGTTTTTAAGTTAATGGATCATAGTAGGCAAAAATCATCCATTTCTTATAGCCTGTGTAGCAAACATAAAATTATGATAAATTCCTCTCATCTTCCTCCCCAGCCCTCTTCTATAATAGAACCTTAATCTGTCTCCAATTTTCTTAGTAAATTATAAGTAAAGTTTGGCATTATATTTATTAGTCCTAACAATTATACACATTTCCTTGGTACCAGATAGTCATATGTCAAAGTTCCAGAGTTTGTTATTTACATATCAGCTAGGGTTCAAGAAGTGCCGACCATATTTTTGTTATGAATCATAGACACTGCCTAAGAAGTGTTGGATACTCAAAAGTGTCTGAAATCTAATTTTTTAATTTTTTTATGGATATACCAAAAAGATTAATAAATACGTGTCAGTGTTCGAGAAGTGTAAGTGTCGATACATGTACATCACCTTATTAGAAGTGTGCATGCTTCTTTGCCTGCCAAATTTCTGTTAACCTCTGTTGGCCCTTACTCCACTTCTGCTAAGAAACATAAAATTATGCCAGGTTTTTGATTTTTCCGTAAAGTAAAAGAATTGAAATCTACACTTCTATAGTCAATGTACTTCTGAGGTGGCTCACCTTTGTGAGTCAGTATTAAAAGTTCATAGCTTTTATTCAATAACGGTTTGGGTAGTCATTGGATACTATTCCTTATGATATGGTCTAACTTCCATAAACATGACTGAACATATCTTGTGATCCCTTCCAGATACCCAAACTGGTCTACCAAGACGGTCTCCGATGTTCTGATATGCTTTGCTCAGGAGTTGGGCATGGTGTTAGCCGAGAATTCTTTGAGAGACATTTTAATATATTCTCCCCAGAAAATGTTTATGGATCCATTCTGCCAGAAGAGAGTACTTGTGATGGGTCTTTTGCAAAGAGTGGAACATTTGGATTTACTCGTCTGATTGATTTGTCACCATCAGAGGTCACTTTATCAGCAGCCGGATCTTTTATGGAGAGAGTATTGTTTTCTATTCTGAGATTGGATTGGCAATATCTGGATGGAACCTCGGAGTGGCTTATGGAAACTGAGGATGATGATCTCAGTTGCAGTCACCTTGGAAGGGAAAAAGTAAAAGCAGTCACCAGAATGTTACTGCTACCTTCAAAGTCTGAGAGAAATCTACTTAGAAGAGTTGCAACAGGTCCTGAGAATGCTCTGTTTAAGGCTTTAGTCATGTCACATGAGGATAGGCTTCTTTCTGACATCAGGCTTCTTCATTCAGTATACTCTTTCATACCAAGAGCCAGAGCGCCCCCTGTAAGTTTGTAATTTAATTAATTATGTTCTTCTCTTTATATATTACAAGAAAAGCGTATCTAATGTCATGATTTTTCTCTACACTGTTTGTCATGTGCTTGGTAGATTAATGCCCACTGCTCAGATAGAGATTTTGCTTACAAAATGGTTGAAGAGTTACATCACCCCTGGGTTAAGAGGTTGTTACTTGGGTTTGCACGCACATCTAGCTTTAATGGCCCTAGGAAGCCAGGTGGTCCTCATCATTTGATACAAGAGATTGATTCTGAACTGCCTGTTATGCGACCCGCTCTTCAGCTCACATACAAGATCTTTGGGTCATGTCCACCCATGCAACCTTTTGACCCTGCAAAAATGCTTGCGGTATGACTTTCTAATATCATTAAGTAATCTTTCTTTCTTTAATGTCTTGGACAATTATAGAGACACAGCAAAATTGAAATGTTAATTTACATTCTTTTAGGACTCTGGGAAGCTTCAAACGCTGGATATACTATTGAAACGCTTGCGGGCAGGAAATCATCGTGTTCTTCTGTTTGCGCAAATGACAAAAATGTTAAATATTCTTGAGGTATCTTAATCTCTTTTATGTTTGACTTTTCTTGATACCAAGGTCACTGTCTTGATTCGGATACGGATACGGGTGTTATATCTGATATGATATGAATACGGCAAAATCCCAAAAAATAAGACATGAGTATGGTGAGGATACGGCTAATTAAAATAATATTATATAATTTTATATATAGAATAACAACATTAATAATAAGTAATAACTAATAAGACCTAGCAAACAGTAATTTTTTGATATAATTGAATAGATCAAAGATTCAAAATACACATCCAGTCATCCACCGTCATCCCCACTGCCAGTCCCACCAGCAAAAGCACTCATTTTCCTAAATCCTAAATAACAAATAAATGAGTGTAAACAACAAAAACAAATACAGAGTGTAAAGAACCAAAAAAAATAAAGTTTCCAGATCAACATAATTAGATATGCACAGAAAAAATCAGCATTGATCAATTTTTGGAATCAGATACACAGCAAAAATCAGCAGCATGTTAACAAAAAAACCCCAAAATATCTCCAAAATTTGGAAACCCTAACCCAATCAAATTAACAAACCAGATAAATCTAAACCTAAATAGCAAAATCATTGCACAATATCAACCCCAAAACATGCAATACACAAAAGTAGCAAAACCAAAAAAAAAAAAAAAAAAAAGAACTAGATAAGTAATCTGGAGATCTGTATACGCAGCAGCTGATCTGAAGATTTGCAGTTGCAGGTATGGTCTTCGCTCCTCCTCTTCTTCTCCTCGTTGCCATGCCGACCCCCTGGGAGGGCTAATATCTATGCTTCCTAGATTAGAAGCAATCTCCTTTAGCTTAGTTTGTATGCCACCAACTGCATTCTCAGTGGTTGCACTCCGTTGGTCAAATTGGAGAAAAGCTTAAAATTCATTGACATGCAGGTCAAGATTCATTAGTTACCAATTGAGTCAACGAAATTGGACTTCAGAATATTTGAGTAAGAATAATGACACAGGTTTTGTGATTGAATGAGAATCTCACTAAAAAGTGAAGAATGTACTTGCTACAGCTGCTTTAACAGAATGGTAAAACAGTGTGGCATGGGATAAGGATTTGATTTTGATCATTTATCAGGAAGTTGAGAAGCCAGTTGCCAAGAAATGTGGAGATATTGAAGAAAATCAGTATTAAATTTTTAAGACCACAGGGAAAGTATGTTCATAAGTTTTATCTGAAAAAAAAAATGCTAGCTGAGTTGTAAGGTAATTCATTCTCAAATGAATTAATTAATGGAAAAATCAAGGCAATCTACATTTGGTGACCCTAGCCAATTGGGGTACAGAAGACTGTAGCTGACCAGGCTGTTCACAATCCACTTTGCTTGCTAGTTGTAGTGCTTACTGCTGAAACTTTGCCCTTGTTGTGTTCTGTGGTTTAGGTAATTCACTAGTTCTGTTGCATTCAGTACCCAGTTGTGGTTAGGATTCTTAATCAAGAATAGTATATATACTATTAGTTCTCAAAGATAATATGGATGCTCTATCTATAGTTGTCGAATGTAACTTTGTCTTGCTTCTTAAGCTAAATTAGTAAGTCTTTGTGTAGCTCAACCTTAATGGACAGGCCTTGAACTTGTGTTCTTGGCATAATAAGTTGTGCTTGTGAGCTAGCTTGATATCTTGACGTGTTGCTTGCTGCTATACACCCATGGCAATTCACATCCTTTTTTCTGAGCCATTTTTTTTTTTGATATTTTTGTGATTCGCAATTTTATCTAGCTACTGACTTCATTTTTTTTTGTCAGGATTATATGAATTATCGGAAATATAGATACCTAAGGCTTGATGGATCCTCCACAATAATGGACCGTCGAGACATGGTTAGGGACTTTCAGCATCGGTAGGTTTTAATAGACTTATTGGTTGTCTTGTAGAGCTTCTTTTTAAGTTTGCGGTCACTCTTGCATTTCTCATTCTGTCTCCACCATATGTAAAACAATGTATTGTCTCTCTCATTTGAAAAAAGAGGAAGCAATTGACTAACAAATATAACATTGTCTTATTTAGGACCGATATCTTTGTGTTCTTGCTGAGTACAAGAGCTGGTGGGTTGGGCATTAACTTAACAGCAGCTGACACTGTCATATTTTACGAAAGTGATTGGAATCCAACCTTGGATTTACAGGCAATGGATAGAGCACATCGGCTGGGGCAGACTAAAGATGTTAGTTTCCCCCTGATTACATTTACGCCCTCCTATTGAAGTTATATGCATTTTAATTTTTTGAGTATTTGAGCTTTTGCTATAGCATACATAGCATTTTTGAAATCCCTTTTTTTTTCTTATGGTGCAACTAGCTTATAGTTGAATAGCAATTTCAGTTTTCCCGATGCTTGTATAATATTGTTTCTTGGGCCATGATTGAAAGTTTTCACCTGTCATCCATAATTTGTAATTTACAAAGATCTGTTCATCTGCCCTAACTCCATTTATAGATTGTTCAAATTTGTTGTCCATGTAACAGAATCGGACGATATTATGGTGAACCACATTGGATCTGTTATTGTTATCCTTATAATTTGTGCTGTCCTTTCATGACATAGGTTACTGTGTATCGGTTAATTTGCAAAGAGACTGTTGAAGAGAAGATTTTGCTGAGAGCTAGTCAGAAAAGCACTGTGCAGCAGCTTGTGATGACAGGTGGTCATGTACAGGGTGACCTTTTGGCTCCTGAGGATGTTGTTTCTTTACTAATTGATGATGCACAATTGGAGCAGAAACTGAAAGAAATACCTCTACAGGTGGGTTCTAAGTCAGTTTATTCTTTTTAATCTTATTTTCAGAGGTACCTTATCTTTTTCTGTTCTGCAGTTGTTACAATGTAGTCTCAGCTCTATAATTGTCCTCAAAATTATTGAAGATGTAATAATATTCTATACTTTACCAGGCTAAGGATAGACAAAAGAAAAAAGGTGCAACTAAAGGTATACGAATAGATGCTGAAGGGGATGCATCTCTGGAAGATCTTACAAACTCAGGATCTCAGCCCAATGAACTTGAGCCTTCTCCTGATATTGAGAAAGCAAAATCCAGTAGTAAAAAGGTATCAAAACTAAACTTGGTTTGTTTATTGTGGAAAGTATAATCTGGATTTCTGTCATATGTTTCAGAGTACTAGCCACGTTAGTTTACTCGAAAGGGTTATCGTTGGTGTTCAATGACTGATTTCCAATTCAGAGTATGAACAAACCGATGTATACTTAACTCATATAGAGCACCTTTGAATTTGAACCAAGTCCAATTTTTGTCAGTCCATTACTAACTGTTGATTGTAGAGAGTTGTATGCACCCTTCACAGTTTCAAGCAAAACTTGATGACGTTTGAGTACTAAATTGCTAATATAATCACATATTCACAGTCCTCCTTGGAAAGACCATATGGCTGATAACTCAAATTAATACACTGGTTCTGTGGAGAGAGAGACTCATATTGCCCTTATTCTTTGTAAATATTAACATATGCTGCAAGTGATATTCTAGGTATCTGGCTGCATTTCTAAAGCATTTCTGTCTTTGTTGCTAATGCTGATGCTGTCATGTGCAGCGGAAAGCTTCCACTGACAAGCAAAGTACTCCAAAACCAAGGCCTCCAAAAGGTTTAGGAAATGCTGATTCTTCATCACCCTACACAATTCCATTGGACTCCGAGTTGGATGATCCCCCAGAAAACACCGATACACAACAGCAGAGACCCAAGAGGCTGAAAAGGCCTACAAAAAGTGTAAATGAGAATATTGAACCAGCATTTACTGCCTCCCCAGCCATGGCTCAAGAGCATAATCAAGATCGAGCCACACCAGATATCATTTCTGGCGGTCTCTTAACTGGAGCTGAGGAAGATATTTGAAGGCATAGTAACCTGTCAATTGGGTCATACTAGGAAATGTGAAATTTCTAGGCTGATTAGATTCAGCTTGAGCCTTTCTTCAATGGACAGCAGAAACTCACATCGTTGGACACAACAGCAGAACCTATGTGGTCTTTTTTGGGCTGGGATGCTGTAGCAGACCGAGGTAGAGCGAGCAAGGCTGTATGATAGTGTTGTACAGATTATTTTTTAGTACTTCATTGCCAGGTTTAATTTGGTCACTACACTGGGCAGATTTTAGCATGTATAGTAGGGATTATAGATGAAAGATCTTGTAAGCAGCCTCAAGCTGCATTGAAAGTTCTTGGGTAGAGGGCTTGTGCCGAGTTCTGAAGCGTGTAACTCTCTGGACAGAAGTTAAAAGAACATGGGTCATGCAATGGCAAGTGAAGGCAAGAACCAAGTGTGCTGAGCAGTGCTAGCAATTGTCTTTTATATTTTCTCGGTTGGGCGTATGTTTTCATACTCAACTTGGCTATTGCAGCATCTGCAAACATGCATTGTGTACTGCCTAGAGATCTCAACGAGCATGAATTTAGAGACCAATGTAAGCTCCTATATTCTCTTCCCTTCCAATGAATAAAACCAAGTTGTAAGGGTTCAGACTGCATCTGGTTTTCAAGCTGTCAATGGTGTGAAATCCAGAAAGTTGGATCCCAAATTGCAGCTACTACCAAGTTAATATAATGGAATTCTTCCCAAAGGAACATCCCAAATTGCAGCGCTTTCCAAGTTACAAATACCAAGGGGTCTTAGGTGTAATGTCTGAATTGTTGGGGATGGCTATATAATTTTATCAATTGTCAAGGGACCCGTATGAAATTTACACTAATTTCTATTTAGTGGTAACTATATACTCAGTTTTTACTTCAATTTTATCTGAAAATGGATTGGAAAATGGCTTGATCCACGTAGAGACATTATGACAAGAAAAAACTTGTTTTTATTTTTATTTTTAATATAAATAAAAAAGATTATTTAAAGTTTTTTTTTTTTATCTTTAAAATACAAAAATACTAATTAAGTTTTTATATCAAGCTACTGTATATTTTGCAAATCAATGGTATTACTAATACTTATCTTTATCCGGCTATTTTTTAGTTGTCATATTTTAAATAGATTATAAACAAAAATATCAAAAATAATCAAATACAACCTATTAAAAAAGAACAATATAACCTGATTTATCACAATATTCAGTTATTATCAACGGTAGGCCACTAGCCCTGATGATAACCGAAATGACACCTAATCATAAAAAAATGTGTAAAAGACATTCATTTGTTAATGGAAAGCTACCCATTCATAACAATAAATAGAGAGTTGCAACTATAAACATTATTGAAATGTCTAACATACACATTATAAAACTGGTGAACATTTGCTTATTGCAGTCCATTTGTCCAAGTTGTACCCTAAGAGCTCATTTGGTAGATGTATTATGAGGGAATTAAATATTAAATTGTACTATTTTTTATTTAATCGGATCTAATACTTTATTTGGTAAACAAATTTAATACCGTATTAATTTCAAAAACGTATACTTATCATATATTTTTTATACGACACCTGTATTATTGAGGTTTTTTAATATCACTAAAAGAGGTGGTATTATAATTCAACTCAAACGTATTATTCTACATATTTACTATTATAACCCCCCAAGTGATAAATTCAAGTTGTCATCAATGTAACAAATACTAATGAGGATATTGATTCAACATTTTTGTTAATTCAACATTAAATCCAACGCTTATATTATGTACTGTCAAACACTAGATAAAATTACGCGTTATTCTAATACCATATTTAATCTTGTTTTTAATCCATCTGTATTGTATTAAACTGTATTACTTTATTTAATCTATTCATTTTTAATACGGCAACCAAACGAGCCCTAAGTGTAGGAAAGAAAGGCTCTCAACACTTCCCCTTGTGACACACTATAAAAGGGATCATTGACCACTTTTATCCCCCACTAATTGGAGTGCTGGGAAAGTATATTGAACATAAGGTGGCAGTGCTATGTGACAATAAGAGCCAACCTACAGTATTATTCACACCAAGATTTTACTAATTTGCAATGGCCTCATTAGCCACAACACACATACTCTAGCATTTTCAGATCATATAAATTCCCACATTCATCTTACTACTGAAAAGAACATGACATCTGATGTCAAACATTTGGGTATGACATTTTATGCAAACGTTAAGACCGCTTCAAAACTTATTGCCTCCAACAGGTATTATTAGCACCACACCAAAAAGATACATTGCACAGGCACCACCATATTTTACAAGTTCACATATTCTCTATCCATTGTTGTAAATTAAAAAGCGACGTACTGTTGTAGAGTAGAAGTGTTTGAGATTCACAAAACACACGAGGTTGAGGAATCAGAGGTTTATGGCTTGAGCATGGTGACGGATGTGGTCATCGATGAAGGTGGAGATAAAAGAGTATGAGTGATCATAACCAGGCTGATATCGCAAGAGGAGAGGAACATTGGCCTTCTTGCATGCTTCCTCAAACTTGTGCGGCAGCAGTTGATCTTGCAAAAAATTGTCTGCATCTCCCTGCACAGATACAATAGTGGATTAGAGAGTAATCGAACATATTTGTACATCCTAAAAATTTAAGCTGCTTCTTAGAATTAGTGAGTTTCACAGCAGAATTGCGTTTTTCTTTAAAGTTTAGACCAGTTGATACCACAATTATGACTTCTCTTAGAATTGGTCCATTTCACCAGAATTGTGTTTTATTTAGGTTATAGTTTTTGTTACACACGAATCATGTTCTCCCTTAGAAGAATTTCATCTAGCAATAGTTTCTTATCCTTTTTTAAGAATTAATCCTTCAGGCACAAGAATCATGTCTTCTGGTAGAAAAACTGTCCTTGACACGAGTTAGGTGTTCTATACGTTCGGTGTACCAATCGTTTCATCAGTTTGGGTTACTCTTCAAGGATGGTTTTATGTGATTCTATAGTGTTGCAATTCATTCTTTGAGTTTGTACTAATGTTCTCGTTCTCTATCCTTAACAGTAGTAAGGTGTTAATTGTTAGCTCATGCCATGAAACAATTTCAATAAGCATCAAAGCATGAGAATGCAACATCGCCAGGATTATTGACTAAATAATTCCTTTCCAGGCCAAGCTACATATAGTTTTTAAGGCCATGAAACTATATTTCTTTCTATTTGGAGGGTCAACGGCAATCCACCCATAAAGGAACGAGAGTACACATTCTGGTGATCATTCTTGAATTTCTAGTTCAATTCAAGAATTATCCGCACCAATATACCCCTTCCTTCCAAGATTGCCACAATCATCCCAAAATTGTTAGAAGGCATCAATCAATGATAAATTCATTGATTCACATAATTTGCACATCAATAACTCCCCCCAAGTTCCACATCTGTTCTATCTGACTTGCCGCTTCTGCAAGTTTTCTCGTCCTCCCTCCTGTTAGTTCATTTTTCTGTTGTGTTTAAGTGTGTGTGTGTGTGGGAGCTACAAGGAATACCTGAGTACCCAAGCAATACACAAACTAGGAGCTACAACGAATATCAATATGACTGAGAAGACATCACATATGCATTTATGAATATCTATCCATGTCTTCTATTCAGTCACGACCTTTCCTAGTACTTATTTGAATTTCTAAGTTGGTAAAATTTTCTCCTAATGCCAAGACCAGACATGCAATATCAAAGCAGATACCAACATCATCCACCTTATATAGCACGGGATCTTTATGTCTGAGAATACTTAAGCAGCCATAGTGCTACTCTTCACATGGAGAACCATGATGAGAAACCAAAAATTGGTACCTATTCTATCTATCATAGCTATTTCAAACCACAAAAAAACTAGAAGTTATGGTAACACTATATCAATGGTAGATATTGATCCCATACCTGATCAATTAATATGGTAGTGGGAACATTATTGACCTTTGTTACCAGGCAAGTGGCATCATACTCCTGCATGTGGATGACTCCAAAATTGTCATTACAAGCATTCAAAAATGCTGTAGAAAAAAGGCTTAACTACCTAGATCATACCTCCCAATCAGCTTTATTTTCGCTCAAATAGTTTCTGAAAGCCTTCTGGCCCCAGGGGCAGTTAATAGGATTGGCAATAGGTGCAAAGGCTGATACCGACTGGAAGAAAAAGAGGGAAGAAAGAAAAAAAAGGGGGGGGGGCTTAAAAGAAGTTGAAGGTAAGAAGCACAAAAGTGGTTACATATTCATTGGTGGTGATATAGAATTTAAATTATATATTAAACTGCAGTAAAACATTACTCCTCATAGTAGACCGATCAAAATGAAATGTAATTTTTAAAAGTATTTTAGCAAAAAACCTCCATTGTTTAAATTTTTTTGAACTTCAAGATGAATGTTATATAGTCCACAGGAAATAAAATGATAATCTTGTACCTTATACTTATCCAGATGTTTGAGGTAGATAGTGAGAGCTCCATGCCCACCCATAGAATGACCAGATATGGATGCCCGTGATGTATCAAGCTGGGGAAAGTTTTCACTCAGAAGTTTCGGTACTTCCTTCACAACATAATCATACATCCTCCAGTTCTTCCACTTCTCTTGTTTGGCATTGAGATAAAACCCAGCACCTTAACACATCAAATGCAGGGAGAGCTCAGTAAATTCAAAATCAAAAGTACATTCACTAATGAGTAATGATTTCTTGTCCAAATTATTTAGTAGAGGGAAGTTTGGGATATGTTAAATTCAACCATAATTGTGTGCAATGTGCATTTTACTCATAGGTGACTAAAAATACGTTGCGAATACTAAATTTGAGAAATTTTGGCCTCACGACAAGATAATTTTGTACATAGTACAACTATAGCTCCAAACAAAAATGCACTTCACGTGTTGGGCTACGTTAATGTCAAGCAATTTACAAACCGGAAATGCCTTTGAGCTTTGAATTTTACACATGGTCATGTGCATCCTAATTATGCAGCCATCTGGTGAACGAGTTGGCATTCCAGAAGTATCTTGTTAATAATTGTTAAACCATGGCATGATTCCCTCTCCAATGGCATGTTGAATTATAGCCAACCACTTCTTGCTTTGAAATTACTTCCTCTGACAAAGGGTCTCCTTCACATAGAAACATCTTCCTCCAGTACCAGAGTCCCTCTTCTGGTTACAATCTCCCATGTAATGTTATAAAGTAAGTGCATTGTGATTTACTTCACAAACTAATTGAAACATCACTCATAACATGATCTGGATGAGTAGGTTTACACAACTTATGGCAATAGTGGCGTGGCAGCTCAAACTAGGGCACCACAAGAATTTGCACTCATCAAGGTAGAATTTAAAGGACCAATGGAACATATCACATTGCTCTACTCTTCTCTAGAATCAATTAATAGGAAAGATAGAATAAACATCCAGGAAGGCCATAAATACCAAGAGAAATGCTGATATATACTGAATAATAATTAGCAGGAGGTTACAAAGAGGGAAAAAAATCACACTGCCATTTGTTACAGTTATTGCACTCCATTTATTTATCACCTGCTGTGCATTTAAGCTGGAAATATGGTAACAAGATTAATTATATCAATGTTGTGGGGACTTCATGAATTATGGTACCTTCCATCGCAATCATGTACTTATGAACAACAAGAAAGGAGGTCAAGGAAACTAAATGGCCAGCATAAGACTTTAGTCTGTACTATGATCACAGACCATGGCTGTACAGTACAACAAAACCAAGTCTCTTATTTTAAGTAATATGAACACCAAAAAAAAAAAGAGAGGAAATGTACGACTGTTACTGCTAGTCAATTTACAATTAACATGGGCTGGACTGAATTTAAATGTTCACTTTATTTCCTTGTTGGTCATGATCTTCAACAGCATCCTTCATACTTAGAGGATGCCCCTCTTTGGCCATAGGATTCAATGTGCTGCTTTCTAGTCAAAGGTTTATGAAATAGCGAAAACAGGTTTACCAATATTAGGCAGAGAAGAATGGACCCCAAAGAGACGAAAAATCAGGGAAAAATAAACGATATCTCACGATTTTCTAGCTTAACTAGCATTCTCCAAATATAGAAGTAGCAGATTCATACAGGTAAAAACATCAACAATCATCAAGCTTAAATCAAATGGAAGAGATCAATCTAAGTTAAAGGTTATTGGAAACAAAAGGTAGTAAGTACATTTGCTATGTAAATCACGCAAGGATAATCCTTGCAGATTCAAATTATTTGATATTTATAGACAATACAGATAAACTTACAAATATCTAAAGAATACTAACGGGCCAGATACCTGTGGCACCTAATTTGCAAATCCATGCAGCTAAAAAAAACAAAATAGCTATATGGTGTTTCATTCCACATGTTGCTTAACTAACCCATGCAATCAGCTTGAATATTACAGGAATCAAACTTTTTCATCAAGACCTCCACGAGCTAAACAGTTGAATCCCAAGTAATCTTTATATAATTACTCCACAATAATACCATGACAAAATTTATGTTTTCCTGTTGCATACCTACACCAAAATCCCAGCTATCTGCCTCTCCTTCCACATTCAGGTCCCCTATGACAAAAACGTGCAGGTAAGCATCAATCAGAAACACGGAATTTAGAATCATAAGTCAACATCAGATACAGTAAAGCTAGACAAAAAGGAAAACAATTTGAAATTGCTGACATCCTAATAATACCAAAGCACTAACCAATCTCAATGGAAGAGCAATTAAGAATTCAATTTACCGCTCTAGAAGATATATACTCAGGCCAATCAATTTGCATGACCAAGTTTCATGTAGAGTTCCTATATTTTGTATCCCCAAGGCATTTATGCAGATTGTAAGAAGCTAAAGCAAAAGCAAAACTAAGGAAAAGAAAAATAGAAGAATTTAGTTCATGTCAAGATGGGTCCACTTGGGACCTTCCATTATTAAGTTTCAATCTTGATCTATTTTTATGTTTATTTTGGGAAACTAAGCTGCTTTTTGGCTTTATGTCCGTTTTTAATGTTTTTGGAGTTTTGTGGTTTTACATTGGGCAAAGGCTGTAGTCCATAGCTTGCAGTTTGGTATTAGAGCAGGCTTGGGATCATGTTCATGCATTTGGTAGAGTGTAGGAGATTAAACGATGACCATCGAGATGAGATTAAATTACCCCATCTCGATGATAATCACAGACCAACTTGATGTCCTTGATATTTGATTAAATCTTCTCACTAGTTGAACTACTTAACCCACGGGCAATGTCACTACTACACAAGGATAGGGTTTTTATAGGAAAATAATAAATAGAATAAGAAGAACCCAAAGGATCAACAAGCACACCAGCATACAAATCTTACAACAATGATTTCTACGGGTTGTGTGGTGCAATTGATATGCCTAGCTTATTCTTCTGCATAAGTCTGCTGAGAGAAATTGCTTGATAGAGTAGACCTATACCTATTGGTCAAGTCCTATGAAAGAGGATAACATTATTTCCACAGAACATGACCTAAAAGCGTCCTAGCTTTCTATTTAATTAAACTATGCAATGATATCACCAAATGCAATTTAAGGGCTACCTATCTTCAAGACAAGCTAACATTGAGTCTAAAATCTTTTCCTCCCATTTAAAAGAGTACTCTATACAGAAAGTGCAAGGAATTCTAGACAAACTGCCCTATGAATCTCCTGTTAATTTAGATAAATTTGACATCATAGACAAAGATGGTAACTGGATTAAAAATAGTTGAAAAGATCCAAAAATGCAATTTTGCAACTCCTTGGCCAGTTTAACAATTTAGTCGTGACTAGAGAAACTGTTGTCACCATGAAAGCTTCCAGGCATATAAAAACCATTGATACCCCTACCATTCCATGAACAAGGGTCGCATGACCTGAAACAAGTTAAATTCGCAATCCAAATCGTTTAAATTTCCAACCCCAAGTTGTAACTCAAACAGCAAAATAAATACCAGTTAACTATGTGTATATGACTATACAATTAAATATAATGATATAATATTGAAGGCGATCTGATAAAAAACGAACCACAACCCACATCGTACCAACTAAGCCTAACCATTGCTCCGCGTATCGGAAGAAACATTATAACGCCCATACCTATACCACGTACCAAATCAACCCACGATCTAACTAGAATCCTCCCTCAGCAGCCAAGAAGCCCATTGAAAAGGAGTAGAAATAAGGTCTAATGTGCTTTAAAAGAAGCATTCTTTCTCTAAAGAGCAAGATAATTTAAGCACAGCCACATGTTCCAGTAAGAGCAATCTAACCAACAGACAAAGTGTGATCCTAATTAAAGTATGGTTTCAGGGGAATGGGACTCACTAGGGGATGTATCAGTAGAAATCAAAGCAATGCCCTCACTGGAAGCAGCACGTTGGGCCCCAGACTTGATTATGAAGTTCTCATCCGTGCATGTAAGGCCAGAGAGCCAGTAAAGTACCTAAGCAGTAAGAAAAGGAAGCCATTTGAATTCTTAACTGACATGAATGTAGGCACTAACATTATTTTGTGAAAAACTAATTTCAATAAGGAATATAAGAATATGAATAAGTTAAACCCGGAATACAATAGAATGGGTAAGTGTAACATCCTGTTCAAGGAATTTATGTCAAACTAACAAGAGATAAATAGTATTGAGGTCAATTTGTTAAGGAAAGAATGACAGAGTACAACGCAGGGACAATATAAATTTATGACAAGTTAAGAGGAAGAAATGTAATAATGGGGAATGTTTTGATAAAATTTGGTGACCACATCCAGAGCTTTCCAACAAGTATCATTGCTCATTTACTGAAGAATTGTACTATTGTAGAACAATCAAGACAAAACAATATTAAAATGAAAACTAAGATGAAGAAGAAGCAGGCAGCCAGATACAAATACGGACTTGTCACTCTGCATCAATGTATACACATGTACATCAACCCTTAAGAAAAAGTGGTGACTAGGTCAGGAAGGAGAACCCTTCCTCCTTTATATCAGGAATAAAAGGGAACGCTGCCTAAGTAAATGATGAGAAGACGGAAAGGGTGTGTGTATATTTGTCTCTAAAGAACTAATGAACAGAATGGGTATGTTTGAAGCGAGTGAAAGACAAAGGGAGAGAACAAAACATAAATATTTATGGTTGTAATCAAAACACAGCTGGTAAGAGATGGGATGTCACAGGAAGTCAAATGCAGTTGATGACTTCTAAATCTTAAACACTTACTGACAAAAACAATTGACTGCAGTCTCATAAGTCATGTAGAATGCAAAAGGTATATCAAGATTTAGTAATACAAAAACCAAAATTACAAAGACCCAAAAAATTGCATATGATTTTAACGTTTGTTTCCATCTGATAACCAGAAAGAAAAGACAGTAATGCTAGAAGAAATATGTTTCATTGAAGCAATATTTCAGAAAACAAAACTAAATAAAATAAAGAGCTTGTAAGCGGAAATCCCAAAACCAAAGAGGTAATACTAATGGAAATTAGATAAACCTAAATAGGAAAAGCTCCACAATGAACCGTAGAAAAAAATTCCAAGAAATTGATGTACAAAAGAATTGGTATTGTGATCTCCACAATAACTTTATCACCCAACATAATCATGACCATTTACAAAAATATCAATACAGATGAAGCAAGATTTATCTGTAATTTCGTGATGCCATTGCAGTATTCAATAAATCTGTCAATAATCAATTAACATAATAGGAACAGACTGAAATTTCCACACAAAAACTTAATCATACATGTGACCAATATGTATCTTACGAAAAAGTAAGCAGAGTATATTAAGACGTAGAAAAATTCCAAGAACTAACAGTAAATGGAAGTATGTAGAATATCACATGCTATATGACCCAATAAAGTTTACAGCATTTGCATGAGATCCTACACGAAAACCCATAAAACCCATATCGGAAAAAAATGATTTTGGGGGAATTCGGCAATGGGTGAGTGAGAGAATGGAGAGAAGGGTGAGGACTTACAGGGAATTTGTGAGCAGGAGAAGGTGATGGAGGGAAGTAAATGTAGAAAGTCATGGAGCAGCCCAGCGTTGGGCTGTAGTGCCTGTATCTCTTGTTGTATCCCTCAAACATCTTTGAACTGCTGATTTCTGTTGGTTTGGTCTCCATTTCCACCCTCTCTCTCTCTCTCTCTCTCTCTCTCTCCAGAAGACAATATCCCTTCCTCTTCAACCACAGTTTTATAGAAGATATGCGAGCCTCAATAAATAAAATTCGAGAATAAGAAAAAAAAGAGTCGGATTTTGATCTTAATCCAATCTAAACACGAATCGGATTAATTAAATGTGGATTCATTTTTTTTTATTGATTATTAGATATTTTATATTTCACAAATTTAAATTTAAATATATCTATTTCCGATCCAAAATATTTATATATTTTTATATAAATATTAAAAAAAATAGTTAAAATTTTAATATAATTTGTTAAAATTTAATTAAATTAAATTATTCAAATCTGATCGTCAAATATTTGAATTGAATTTCGAATTATTAACAGATTTGAGATATAAGCCGCGAAATAAAATCTGTCAAATTATTGCATCAAATTCAAATAGATTTTCAAAGTTTGATTCAAATCCAAAGCATTCAAATTTTGTCTAAATCCGAACCGTGGACGGGGCTAGCCTCTACCATGATCAAAGGGCCACATTTGTGACGTACAAAATTTATAATTTTATTCTCCAGAATGACCCTACTCCTGTCTCACCCCCACCTCAATTTTTTTGAAAATTTGTTTATCAATGTATTAGAATTGAAAATTTTAAAAATACTTAATTGCAAAATAGTCACTAAAAATATTTCTAAAAAAATCTAAATGTAAGATAATTAATAAAGAGGATATAAATAATTACATAAGTCACATTTAATAATTTAATTACACCGAACTATTTAAATAATTTACATGTACAAAAAATTATTATTTAATAAGCGAAAACTTTTCAAGCATTCTCCAATAAAATTTTATTGTTATACATAAAAGTATAATGATATAGATTTGACTTGGAGGTTAAAGGTTTGATTCTCTTATCTATTTAAAATTTTAACGTGGATAATTTGTCTTTAATCAAATTAAAAAATTATTAATATTAGTATACATAAGTTGACCTAACATTCAAGGGAAAAATATACACTTTTTACTTGTAATTCTATCTTAAAAAATAAATTGGTTAGAAATACATCAACGAAAAACCATTATTTTTGAAATACAACCGTTATTTATTTAGCTTTAAGTAAGGTTTATGTTAAAAAATATTTCATTCATACTAGATTCGTTTATTAATTCGTGTCTAATAAGTCGTGTTATATCGAGTTCGTGTTGTGTATAAATCGTGTATAAGCGTATATAAAGAAGTTATATCATACATTTTTTTAATTAATTTTACTCATACTCTATTCATTTATTATTCGTGTCATATCGAGTCTACCTGTTTTGAAAATAGGGGGTTTAAAGAAGTTTCAAACCCTCTAATTTCATGTCTTGCTAATAGGTCGTATCATATTTTGGCACCCTAATCAATATCCAACAAGAACCTTTTTAGATCTCAAATAAATATGAATCCCGAAAATCTTCTATGCCAAATAAATATGTGTTCAATCAACTTCATAATTCTTCAAAATGAGTACAAAGGAAAAGAGCATAGCAATGCTAAGTTCTAATGCCATTGCACTAATTGCCAACTTTATATATTTTTTTTACTTATAATCACCCTATAATTTCGTATTTTAATTGTTTAAGCTTTTTTATTGTTCTATAGATGTCCTTAAGTTTATTATTTATGAATTCTTGCAAGTAAAAGTTCTTGCAATTGATCTTTAATTATTTGACGTTTTATTTTTAACAAAAAATTGTCTCTATTTCTATTCAAGTATTGATTATAGTCTTTGTTGTGTGTCAGTCGATTTTCAATTTTTTACTATATTTAGCTCTTAAATTCTAGTTTAGTAGTTTTACTATGCTAATATCTCAATGATAATGCTTGGAACATTGTTTATTGAATAAATTTAATGAATTGTCAATGAATAACTGATATTTTTTAATTATAAAAATAAAAATTAACTCCATTTTTTTATAATGGTGATAATTAGTAATTTTTTTTATATATATACAATATATAATTTTTTTTGGCTCTTTTTTTTGTATTAAATGAACTACATATTATATAATGTAACTAGTCATAATCCGTGCCTGAAGGCACGATAAAATATAAAATTCGAGTTTCCAAAAAATTGATTCCAACTATATTAAATTTTTTCAAAATATATTAATTACAAATTAATTAAATATTAAATAATTAAATATATGATAAAAATGAGTGATGTGATATTTTTAGGAAGGAAATATATAAATGATTAAACATACGATATAAATGAGTAATATAATTTGACGTTTGATTCTGACAAATGAATGATGGGTGAGATAAGTGATTGGTGATAATTTTGAGGGAAAAAATATGATTGAGATAAAATTCAAACACACTTTTTTTTTATTATATAGATTAGTTAAGAGAAAAAAAAATTAAAATACGTAATTAAAGTGTTCATTCTAAACAAAATTTTTGACTACGCCCCAAATTAGTAGGCTATTTGCTTAGGTATGATACACAAAAATGGATGTCCTAACTGGGACACAACCACAGGTGAAGATGACAATGACTCTCTGTATTGGGCTTCCATTACAAGAGAGCCATGACATGAACCTTATAAATGGTGGTTGGAATGTGATTTTATAGTGTCCCATTGTTGTTTTCCACAATCAAAACATTAATGTCCAACTATGATTTTTGGGGTTATTCTATTGTTAATGATATTGGGGTTGTCAATTTTCATAATCCCAAGCTCATGTCATTCTACTTGGCGAGATTTGGATTGTTCTTTCCACTTACCTAAGATTTGACCATGGTACCGTAAAATAAAATTTTGGTATTATACCAAAATTTATAATATAAAACATAACAAACTCATCTAACAGTATCAAATAGACTTATCTAGCGATCACTAATATTTCTCTCAAAACTATTCACATTGAATTGTGCCTTCAGGCACGGGTTACCTCTATTTTATTATATTTGTGAGTACGTTTATTATATTTATGGTTACTTTTAATACTGTTGTGGTACCAAAAAAAATGATAATTTTTTTAATTAAAGTATTCGGATCTAATCAAATTTTTGAATCGAATTTTGATTTATTAATAGATTAAGATATAAGCTGCGAAAATAAAATTCATCAAATTATCGGATCAAATTTGAAGATACTTTCAAAATTTGATTTAAATTCAAATCAGTCAAAATATGATCTAAACCCAAACCGCCGACAGGGTTGGCCTCCGTCATGACCAAACGCCCACATTTGTGATATACAAAATTTATAATTTTATTCTCTGGAATCACCCTACTCCTGTCTCAACCCCCCCCCCCCCCCTCATTTTTTTTGAAAATTTGTTTATTAATGTATTAGAATTGAAAAATTTTAATTATTTAATTGCAAAAAAAGTCACTAAAAATATTTTAAAAAATATAAATGTAGGATAATTAATAAAGATAATAAAAGTAATTACATAAGTCGCATTTAATAATTTAATTGCATCAAACTATTTAAATAATTTACACATACAAAAAATTATTATTTAACAAGCGAAAAATTTTTAAACACTCTCATATAAAATTTGATTGTTATATATAAAAGTACTAGTTATTTTCTGTGCCTGAATGCACAGAGTAATAAAAAAATGGTAAACAATAAATATATTTGAATTTATATCTAAAATCAAATTACAAATATAAAGAAGAGATAAAATAATTTAAACATCAGTTTATAATAGGGGTGAAAGGTGGTGGGCAGTAATGGTGGTGATAGGAGACGGTGATGATTGTAGTGGGTGACAATGACCGTGATGACAGTGGTGGTGGCGATGACAGTGGTCGCGATGACAGGGGCGGTGGCTGCGAGGGTGGCAGTGGCAGTGGCGACAACGACGATTGCAATAGTGGCAATGGTGGTGGTGGTAGTGGGGGTGGGGGTGATAGAGGTAGTGGTGGGACAGTTTCAAACACTATTTATGATAAATAATTTATAGAAGTACTTTTAAAAAATCAATCCAACCATACCCTTAGAGCTCTATTTTTCCTATTAAATTTAGAATATTATTATTAACCGTTAGATTAAATTTAAAGTAAAATTTAAAACGATCTCAACTGTAAAAAGTAATAGTTATTTTGTTTATCTTTTGAGATTTGAATTGTAAATTTCTTTATTATATAGATAATGATATAGATTTGACTTGGAGGTTAAAGGTTTGAGTTTCCTACTTAATTCTCTGCTTAGTATAGATGATTTGTCTTTAATTGAATCGAGGAAAGAATTAGTCTAAGTATACGTAAGTTGACCTACACACCAAAAAAAAAAAAACTACAATTTTTACTTGTAATTCTATCTTAAAAAATAAATTGGTTAGAAATACATAATACAACTTGCACTTATGAAACCTTTATGAAAATTGAGGAAAGTGGTTCTCTCTAATCTATATATAATTTTTTGTGAATGAGAAATGTTATATATACATTTGGGTTTGAGAAAAGAAAATCATATAACATATAATGGTCATATATATAATTTTTTTTTTTGTGAATGAGAAAAGAAAATCATATAACATATAATATTCATATTTTATTCTCTTTTAAATTTGACTTTGTTCTCATTTGAATTTTGGTTTCTCCATTAAAATGTTTTGTATCAAATCAAACTTTTTATTGAATAAAAATTTTTGTCAATGTTAATTTTAAAGATGCTTTTAAGCAGTATCAATCGACACTTCAATCACTGAAATATTATCTCTCTATTCCCTACATTACTTTGGGGGAAAGTTTACGGTATTGATTTTTTTTTTTCGTATCGATATTGTCGATTATCACTTTTTATGGTATAATTCTAATTTTGAAAAGAGAATTTATAATTGGTAAAAGAAAGGTCATGATCGATCACATACACCTAAGTCATGATCAATTATGAACTCTCGATATAGATCTCAATGTTCCATAATCGATCATATCATTTAAAGTTATAACTTATACTTTAAAAAAATTATAATTTTTTATGAAACCGTACCCTTTCCCGTTACTTTGGAGTCATGGATCTCACCATATACACACGGTAAAAATTAAAATGAAAATAAAACACAAAAAAACAATAACATGTATTAGTAATATAGATGAACTAGTTATTGTTTGCACATGAAGGTACAAAGTAATAAAAAACTGATTAACAATAAACATATTTGTATTTATATCTAAAATTAAATCACAAATATAGAGGAGAGATAAATGAATTTAAGTATTGGTTGTAGTGAAGCTGAGAGGTGGTGGGCGGCAGTGGTGGTGGTGGTGGGTGACAATGATCGTGGTGGTAGTGGTGGTGATGAGTATGGGTGGTGATAAGCGACAGTGATTGTTGTTGCCAATCGTGGTGGTGGGGTGACGATGGTGGTAGATGATGACGGATGCTTCTGGGTGATAGTATGATGGATGATGGTGAATGACAGTGGTGATAAGTGATAGTGGTGGGCGGTGAAGGGTGATGGTGGTAAGTGTGGTGAGGGTGGGTGGTAATGGTTGTTGACGATGGGTGGTTGTGGGTGGCGACGATAATTATGAGATAATAGTGGTAGTGGTAATAAATATAAGAGTGAGATGACAATGGTGGTGAATGGTGGCGGCAGTGGTGTAGTGTGAGAGTAGCAGTGACGGTGGCGGTAGTGGTGATGGGCGTGGGACGGTGTGTGTTAGTAGTATGCTCTAAGACCAATCATATAGAAGATGTTTTAGGGTTGTACTAGAAACATTTATTACTTAATTAAATAAAATGACAAGTTTATTTATCATGTTTCTACTTTATTTCATTTTAATATACATGATATAGTGTATAAAATATAAGTTAAGAAGATAGTTTCTCAATGTGTTGAGAAGAGGAGACCTATACTTTTTAGTACTTAACCCTTAAATATTTCTAGTCATAGGATTACTATTTGGGCACTAAGTAATCTGGATAGACTAGCACACACTATGTTTACTCATATTTTATATAAGGTGACTCGTCCAAGTCACTAGTGTTGGGACACTGCAGCAGGTGTGTGGGTGCTTGTTAGAGAACAAGTACATTGAACGTGACCATTGACAAACGTAGAATTTTTCATATGGAGTTTTACATGCCTGTCAATGTTAAATTCTAAAGTTATAGTTATGCAACTGATCCTTAGACTTGAGACACCATGGTTGCCTTGTGCATGGACTTCTATGCTTTAACTATACAACATATTCATATACTAACCATGTAACTTGGATATGTATTGTTGGACATAGTTAGACATGCATGAAGACTTATGAGTGTACAAAATAGAATCTGTTATCCTTAGTAATTAAAGGGAGAATGTTCTATATGATCTTCTGGGATATGACTCAAAGAGTCCCTGGCCAAGGCAGAATGACAATTAGAAAAGAGTTTTTAATTGATCATTAAGAGTCATAGACCTAAGATCGAACACATAAGATTGAATTAGAGGTTTGACAGTAATTTCATACCCTAGTAATTCAATTGGGGTATTGTGTGATAGAAGGATTGAATTGCATTGCAACTATAGGCTGAATGAGCTATTTACCTACTTTTTGCTATTCAGAGGTTGATTATGATATGTTATTAGGTGTTACTCATGATTAGTAGAAGCCCGAAGAATGAAATTAATATAAATATTTTAATTATTCTTCATAAAGGGAGAATTAAAAGAGTTCTAATTCAAGCTAAATTAGAAAAAAATTCTAATTTGAGATGCTACTTGTAGTTAGTATCGAATGCCTACAAACCGGTTATGCTTGAACATATAGGGTCACACAAATTAGAATTGATTGAAAACTAAAGGATAAAAGAGAGACAACCAATTAAGAGTTAATTGGGGTGAAAACCTAATTAAGAGTTAATTAGAGACTTTATTACAATTAATGTTAATAAAGGGGTTATATGTAATTATGAAATAATTACAATTTGACCCAAACTAGGATTAGAGCCTTTAAAGCTCTATAAATACCTTTATGTAGGAGGTGGATTAATATAGATATATAGAAATAACAACTCTCTTGCTAGTACAAGAAAAATCACTCCTCATTCTCCCTCTCTACTAGTTTTATCAATGGTTGAAGTAGATCCTTCAAGTTTGTTAATTTATGTGGATACCGATAGAGGCCAAACGTCTGCGAGGTTTGAGGTAAAGATTAAATTTAGATTTAAAGTTTTAGAATGCTTGAAAATTGTTAAAGGCACGCTTCAAGAGGTAATCCTTAATATTCTCTATAGATTTAAGGTTTCTCGGTTTGTATTAAACATGAATAGATCTTGGTATGAGGAATCAAATTATTATTTTTAAATTCCGTTGCATTTATTATATGATTCCTTTCAGTGTGGGTAATGGTGGTAAGAGTGATGGTGAGACGACAACGGTGGTGGTGAGATGGTGGTAGTAGGGATGATGATAGTGGTGGGTTGGTAGTAATAAGGATGGTGGGGGTGGGGCGGTGACAATGGTGGTTGTGGTTGGGTGGAGATAGTGGTGATGGTTGTTGTGGTATAGACGGTGGTGGTGGCAGTGATGGTGGTGGTGGGGCGGTGGTAATGGTGGTGGTAGCGGTGTCAACAATGGTGGTGGTAGCGGCATCAACAGTGGTGGTGGTAGGGGTGGTGGTGAGACGGTTCTAAACACAATTTTTTTTTGTTTAAAATAGTGATAAGAAATTATAAATCTTTAAAACACTTTTAAAAAGTCACCCCAAATACTTTTAGAGGCTTATTTCTTCTATTAAATTTAAGATGTTAATATTAGGCGTCGAATTAATTTTAAAGTAAAATTTAACGAGATCTCAACCACAAAAAATAAAAATTATTTTATTTATCTTTTAATATTTAAATTGTATTGTACTTTGTCGTATATATTTACACATAACGAAGCTCAAAGTCATAAAGCATACATACACCTCTAAAAAGGAAAAGATAATGAACAAAAATAACAAAATCAACATCCATGAGAAAATAAAATTTTCAAAACTATCATGTTCGACATCCAAACATATATTTAAGAACTGCAATTCCACAAAGAACTACAAATCAGGAATTGCCAAGGAAGAAGAACAACTCAAGAACTGCCAAGGAAGAACAAGTACTTCAAAATCGCATAAAATGAACCATGACCGAAGAATAAACAAATATATATATATATATATATATATATATTCAAGGACAGCAATTTAAAATTTTTGAATTTCAAATCTGAGTTTAAAATAAAAAAGATATGAAGAATTTTTGAATTTTTTTATTTTTTTCTAATTGACCATATTATTATTTTTTATTGAGCATGTTATTACTTTTTCAGTGTAATTTTTTTGGATGCCGAAGAATTGAGGCTTCTTTCTCTAGTTATGAGTTTAAATGTCACTATTTTTATTTTCAATTTTGTTCAATATTTCATATTTCTATTTTTTTTTGTTAAGTATGTTATTGTTTTTGTTAAGTATGTTACTATTTTTCTTGAACATGTTACTATTGTTATTTTTTTAAAATATTAATATTGAATGCTATTATTTTTTTTATGTTTAAATGTAACTATTTTTTTTGTTTAAATGATAATTTTTTTTTATTTGTAACATTTTTATTTTTAATGTTATTGTATATATATAATTCTAACATATATATGAATTAGTCATAATCCGTGTCTGAAGGCATGATAAAATATATAATTCGAGCTTCCAAAAAATTGATTCCCACTATATTAAATTTTTTCAAAATATATTAACTACAAATTAATTAAATATTAAATGATTAAATATATGATAGAAATGAGTAATATGATATTTTTAGGAAGGAAATATATAAATGATTAAACATATGATAGAAATGAGTGGTGTGATTTGACGTTTGATTCTGACAAATAGATGATAAGTGAGATAAGTGATTGATGATAGTTTTGAGGGGAAAAATATGACTGGAATAAAATTCAAACACACTTCTATTTTATTATATAGATATAGATAGATATGAGAGAATTTTTTTTTTGATGTTAGTTAAACTCTTAAAATTTAGGAGTTTTTAATTTTTAATTTTACTTCACTTCTAAAGAAAAGTGATAGTGTGATAAAATTAAGAAAAAAAAAACAGATTTTAAAATAAATATGTTTCCTTAGAAGACTTAAGTTCAAATAAGTACATATAAGAGACCGATCTCCAAATTTCTCTAATAAATATGTTTATAAGCCTTAAAAGACTTTTAAATAGGCTTTTTGGGACGAATTGTACTTTACATTCTAAAAAATTTTATAATTCTTATTTTGTTTTCTCAAAAATTAAAATTTTTATATTATATCCTCAATTTATTAAAAGTATTATAATGTGATTTTTTTGTTAGTTTTTCATTAATTTTTCAACTAATGTCAATTGGTTGGCTTTTGATGAAAAAAATATCGGAAGCTAATAAAAAGACTATATTACAACACTTTTGATACATTAAAATTATAATGTGAAAATTTAATTTTTGAACAAAGTAAAAATCTTAAAATCTTTTATAAGGAAAAGTACTGAAAAACCCTTTTGATTATGATATATAATGAAAGAGATCCGAATCCGTTTACCCAATCCACTTTTAACTCGTGGATCTGATCCATCAATTAAATTCCGAGACAGAGAAATAAATGACCGTGGCGGAAGTTGGCAGTTATCTCCTGTCTTCCATAACTTCTGATGGCTTTGGCACCCTTCACTATTCAACTGTACCCATCAATGCTCTCTCTCTCTCTCTCTCTCCCCCGAAAAAGCACAAACCCACCATGGATATGCACACACACAACTACAAACATATATAATGACAGACAAATCATCATTTGCAACTGTGAACTGTTTTCATCACTTCGTGACTCATCAGATTTCTCTTCACCTGCATGCAAGTTTCATGCCTTTCTTGCTCTCTCTACAACTTTTTCTCTGTCGTTTCGGAACGATGCTTTGCAATGCCGGCTCCAAGAGCTAAAATCCTTTGGTGGGTTTTATGATTTTTGACTCTCATAAAAGCTTTGTAGTGTCCGACACGTAAAGGTCAGTATTTTTGAATTTTCTCGTTGATTGATTATTTTCAATTTAATCTGATGGGTAGCTGAACAAACTCAGGCGGATTCTATAGAGTTGCTTTTTAAAAATTATTATATAGTTTGTGTTCGATAAATTGAACCCCAAGAGGATATATTATCCAATGTATAGAATACTTTGGGTTTATTCTCTGTAGATTGAATTTGCGTGTAGGAGAAGAAAAAGATAGGATTGGTGGGTTTGGAAATCTGAGAGAGAGAAGATATTAGTTTTGGGTTAGGTGAAAATTCTACTAGTTTAGCTTCTACATTTTAGTCAGTGTAAAGATCTGGGAAGTGGAAAATGGTGTTGTAGAGTGAAGATTTGAGTACCCTGGGATTGAGAGAAAATAATCCCTAGGAAAAGAGAGGTGAGTTGTTATCAGTATCTGGTGTACTAGATCAGAAATTGGGCTATGTAAGAGGGGGTTTGTTAAAAGTTCATATAAAAATCAAAGGTGGGTATATCAAAATCTGGTATGGTTGAGAAAATTATAGCATTGTGAGTTGAGGGTTCAAATGCCATATTAAAATCTGACGTACATTGTTTTCAATATCTAGATCAGTTGAGAAGAACCAAGCACTGTGGACTTGGATTCAGCAAAACCCATCGAAAAGTAGAGGTGGAATTTAAGGTTCTGATTGTGGTTGGGAAAAATTTGACACCTGTGAAAATTGGAGCTTGAAATTTAAGAAGATCATTTGAAAACCCTTCTTGATACTTAAATATTTGTATTTTCTGTTCTAACCGTTGATTTGTGCTTGTTTGGTGTTGATTTTACTTTGGAAAAGATGGTTGGAAGTATTGAAGTGGTGAGTCATATTTCGTACGTGAATGGAGTTGTACAGAACCATAATGGTTTGGAAGAGAAGCTCGATGAGCTTCGCAGAATTCTTAGAAAGGCTGATGGTGACTTGTTGCGAATTGTTGGTGTTGGAGCTGGTGCATGGGGCAGCGTTTTTGCTGCTTTGCTTCAAGATAGCTATGGTCAATTTAGAGATAAGATTCAAATCAGGATATGGAGACGGCCTGGAAGAGCTGTTGATAGAGCCACAGCTGAACATCTATTTGAAGTGATCAATTCGAGGGAGGATGTATTGAGGAGGTTGATTAGGCGCTGTGCATATCTCAAGTATGTTGGGGCAAGATTGGGTGATCGGACACTTTATGCAGATGAGATTTTGAAAGATGGGTTTTGCTTGAACATGATCAATACTCCACTTTGTCCTTTGAAAGTTGTGACAAACTTGCAGGAGGCGGTTTGGGATGCTGATATTGTGGTGAATGGCTTGCCTTCGACTGAAACTCATGAGGTGTTTGCGGAGATCAGTAAATATTGGAAGGAAAGAATCACAGTGCCCATTATTATCTCTTTGGCGAAAGGTATAGAGGCTGAACTGGAACCTGCTCCTCATATAATTACGCCTACACAAATGATCAATCGAGCAAGTAAGATTTCTTTTTTAAATATACTGTCATCTTATTTTTTTCACTTATTCCTTTGTGTTGTACCTTATAAACTGGATTGAACACTTTGCAGGCATTTGTATGCTTTATTTGTGCCTTGATGATTTGTAAAGGATTAGAAAATTCAATTCACTCTGGTGTGACATATAATTTTCTCAAAAGTAACATGAGAAACAAGTCTTCTTGCGTCCATAATTCCTGGAACTGTTGTCAGCAAAACTATTATGATATTTGTCCTGATCTATAGTTAACAGTCGTGACATTAAAAAACAATTTTGGCCGTGTCCTTATTGTATCCTAGCCGTGTTCAATTGAATTCACTATTTAGGATACTTTTAGCCATGTCAGACACGTGTCCGACATTGCCATGGCATCCCTCCGGCGAGTATCCGTGCTTCCTAGCAATAAACCAATGATTGCAAGTGATTCATTAAGCAATTGTTTTCTTGAAAATTGATCTTCAATAGTCTATTCTATGTTTTGTCCCTAGACTACATAGCTTTTTTATTGAATAGAAACATTTGCACCATTATTCCTTGATGGCCGTTTCTTTCAATTACCTCCTGTAGGCTTGCACTCACTTAGCGATGCATAGATACTTAAATGCACACCTGTACAATTGCACACAAAGAAGTAGGGATCTTTTCTCATTTATGTCGTGTACTTTTAATGTCTTTATGTAGAAGTTGATACCCCTTTGCATGTTACGCAAAATAAATGAACAATTCTGCTTTCCTCGTTTGTCCACCTCCAACTTCCCACCCTTCCTCCCAGCAAAGCGCACACGTGGGTGCCTGGGTTACCTCATGTGTTTGCAACCAAGCTGTTCTGTTTTCTAATCTCTAATATTACATGCCTGCAGCTGGAGTACCAATAGAGAACATCCTTTATCTTGGTGGACCAAATATTGCCTCAGAGATTTACAACAAAGAATATGCTAATGCTCGAATTTGTGGAGCTGAAAAGTGGAGGATACCACTTGCTAAGTTTCTAAGGCAGCCCCATTTCATCGTATGGGACAATAGTGACCTTGTTACTCATGAAGTTATGGGAGGCCTGAAGAATGTCTATGCAATTGGTGCTGGTAAGTGCTCTCATGAATTTGGAAAGAATTTTTTAGTTTATGATCTGTACCTTGCTCTGCTGTGTGCTTGGGAAGCACATTCTTCATTTGAAATGTATATTTTTGCCTCATTTGTTGAAGTGAGTGGTCAATCCTTCATATCAATTAGCTCCACTGGCTTAGAGCATATTATTTGGGATAGGCGATATCAGCTACTCTTAAATGTATACAAGTCTCCTTTCGAAATTCTATTTATGCCTTTACGTGCAACACATGAGCCCGTAAGAATTCTGCAAGGAAGGCAACACATCTAAGATTCACTTCTGAAAGTCGGACAACCAATCTGCAAGTCAAACTGATAAGATGATGTTTGTGTTTCATGCGGATAAATATGGGCAATCATTTTCTTTAAACCAATACTGCTATCTCACTGAAACAAGGTTTTCGAACTGATTGCCAAGAATAGTATTTCATCAAGTAAGATATGTTGCCCCTTTCTTCACATTAGATTATAAAGTATAGTTCCTGAATAAGATTTTAAAAATCTGAAGCTTGAATAAGATTTTTCCCAACAAATTGATTGAATGAAACTTATTGAAAATTCTCTGTTCCAAATCTGTAACCGTTATTCTTGCATTTCAATTTTGATTTGCCCAGGAATGGTAGCAGCTCTAACCAATGAAAGTGCTACCAGCAAATCTGTATATTTTGCACACTGTACATCTGAGATGATATTTATCACTCATTTGTTGACGGAAGAACCTGAGAAGCTTGCTGGACCACTGCTGGCTGATACTTATGTCACCCTGTTGAAAGGTAGAAATGCCTGGTATGGACAAATGATAGCCAAGGGGGAGCTGAGCCTGGATATGGGTGACAACATCAGTGGCAAAGGGATGATTCAGGTAAGTACTTCCATTTTAAACTCTCCAATGTGCATCTGTGTCAAACTCTGGCTGTTCAAATGGCTAATTTTTGTGCACCACTCTTGGCCTCCCTGTTTGTCCACCCCTGCTAAGTTAAGGTTTCCTTTTTGAGGTGGGCTATTGTGATCTAGTGGTTGGAGCATCCAATTGGCAGATTCTTCACCTTCAACATTTGAATGAAATTGGGCAGTACCAAAAATAATTTTCTTTATGAAAATATTATTGGAGGTACCATTAGTTACAACATTATTTTACTTATGCACTGCTTGGTAAGTAGAAAGAAAAGAGAACAGAAATAAGGCTTTTTGAAAACTTCATCCTTTTGACTCTTAAGACGAAGTGGAGAGAAAGGGAGTAAAAAAAGGTTAGGGTTTGGCCACCCTTTTCATAAATGCTTGTATCAGATGCTCATATGATGTACTTCTCTTCAAATTACTCCAAACCTTTCAGGACTGGCTTATTTTCTCTTCCTTCAAATATGCTAATGAGGGTTAGTCAATTTGTATGCATAGTGTAGTGGCTTTATTTGCTTAACCATGAAATAACTTGGATGGATAAGCAACGGCATTTGGAGCTTTGTCAGTGCACTACATGCATTTCAGGCATTGGTTAGGAAATTATCCTTTTTCTTATGTTATATATGTATATTCCTAGCTAAATGCCTAGATATTACCCTCATTAGCATATTTTCCAAGCATATTATCCCTTGGACAATAGTGTTGATCTTACATTCTAATGGCGCCCTCTGAAACTCATTGATTGAATTAAGAGCACATATCCCCAAAATAGTAACCTTTGGGATCTCTGCACATAACTGAGAATCAAATCTTGGAAAAAGAAGGCAAACATAAGTAGGGGAAGTTGCTTGTCAAATTATGATTGTGATGTTGGCATGCATATCCTTGGAGTAATTGCATGATGTATGCATATCATTACCAGTTCTCTTCATGAGCTATAAATCTAGACACCTTGTCCTGACTTCCTCACGCACAACATTTTTCTGTTACAACACAACAATCATCGTTGTGCCACAATTTCCCCTTAAGGCCTCACCTATAGTCAGGGTGGGAACTAGGGAGTTTAGACCTTTTAGTTTATTCATTATGTTTTCCATTCAATAATTACATTAGGAACTTATCACACCCCTCTCCATTCTATCTCGGAGGAAATAGATTTTACTCTTCCCTTTCCTCAACAGGGAGTCTCTGCTGTGGGAGCATTTTATGAACTTCTTAGCCAGTCGAGTTTAAGTATATTGCATCCGGAAGAAAGCAAGCCTGTTGCTCCAGCCGAGCTCTGCCCCATCTTAAAGACATTATACAAGATATTGATAGCGAGGTATTTTCTCATTAATATTAGCTGAACAGGAGGCACCACTTAATGTTTTCATATTATAGAGTTATTTATGTCGATTTTTTTTTCTTCGTGAAATATAAATCATGGTCGTGAAACTCATGAATTTTTTTTTTCTGAATCTAATCCTCTGCTTTCGGTTTTTTTTGTGATCTTCAGGGAACAACAGTCACGAGCCATTCTCCTGGCATTGAGGGATGAAAACCTGAATGACCCCCGTGATCGAATCGAGATTGCACAAAGCCATGCTTTCTACAGGCCTTCACTTCTTGGGCAGCCTTGACTGACTCACTCACATTGCAAAAAAATTGAGTAAAGGAGTCAGCAGGTGTGCAGATTCTTGGGAAGGAAATGCTTAGTGAACCAAAAAGACAAAAGAAAAACGAAAAAAAAAATGCTGTCTTACTATTGAGAGAAAATATACTGTCTGTAACATGGATTGAGTGTTGTCTCAATTGATGTAAATTGAGTCATTCAGTGTCATGTTAGCATTCATTTACCATATTTATTTACCAAATTCGTTTACCAAATTCATTTATCAAATACTCACTCAGACAATTATATCACATTATTTCAGATCGTCTCAACTTAGTTGAGTATATATTTTGTGATTTTAACGTGTTTATTTCAAGCAATTGTAATTTTTCATGGACTTTCATACAAATAATAGTATTTAACTTTTCATATAAATATGCAGTAACAACGTCCATGAGATGTATGTTGAGTCCTTCAGAGATTGTAAGACTAATAATATACTGAAATATAATTATATCAATTACAAGTAAGTATGTTTCTTTATAATCGATGCAAGAACCCTTGTCCTACTAGGCGTGCTTTATATTTTGTAATTTTATTTTTGTCATTCCTTTTTCTCGGTAACAATTTTTTTTTGGATAAATAACAACATAATATGGATTCTTTTGTTACCTTCATTCTAGTATCATTATTTTAAGAATCACGATCACCATTTTTTAGGTAGTTATTTCGATCAAGCCACCAAGGTCATATCCATAATCACAGAAATACATAAGTTATAGTACATTAGGATGTAAGAAAATATAAAGCTAAAGAAATATAACAAGTGCAAGATATAACGTAACGTGGATGAATTAGTTCTTCAAGAATTATAGAGTTAAGATCAATCTATTTTTTTTCATGACCATTTAAACACATTCTTTTCAAGGAATGATGTATGTTCGGTCATATGAGATTGACAATTTTTCTTAAAAGCACAGTATTATTATTTTATTTCCAACCACATGATATCAATTCATTATAGATCTACCATCTTGATGTGTTATTACAGGAGCACATTCAAATCATGAGAATGTGATATATTATTTTTCGAACATATATTTTTCATGAATTTTTTTCACTTAATTTCAAGTATGTTTAGATCTTACGATCTCAGGTGCATCACACGTTTGAGAGGATCAAGATTTTTGAGAACTTATATCTCTCCAATTAATATGTGAGTATTTTACCACAAAATAATCAACTTTATTCTTCAAAAATATGATGGCAAAGAATAATTATTGTATTTGTGTGATCCTTTAGGGATGCATAGTTTTCTTTTATAATTGAACTAGGGATAACTTGTGCCTTCAATCAATTAATTCCCCAAAAAATTTAATTTAATTTCTTTTAATTTAATAAATTGAAATCAATATAATCCCCAAATATTTTTTAGAGACTATTTCGGTAGAGTTTGGTTTAAAATTAAGAGCTCAGAAAAATCTCAACCGGTCTACAAAGCTTAGATTCTCTTGAATACACAATACAATCAAATTAAAACAAAAAATTCAATTTGATTTCCTTTGAAAATAGAAGACCATGGAATACTAACATATATACAAAACTAGAAAACAAATGAAACAATCCCCTAACATCAGCGATCCATACCCAACCACCAACACAATTGGCATTTTTACATCAAGCCAAACATGTCCCCATAATTGTGAAATTAATTCACCATACTAAACTTAGGTGTAAGCAAAAAATCATGCAAATTCAATTTAATTGATATAGTAATTGTTCATGCATAAAGACATGAAACAACAAAAACTTGAATTAGAACTTGAAGAATATTACTATGCCTAAAGACACTTTGAAACCTACAATAAATTGTTAATTTGAAATAATTTTTACAGCATTTGCCTTAATTAAATAAATTGAAATCAATCAAGCTCCCACTAATTTTCAAAAATTTTGGCCAAACTTCCTCTAAAAATGGGAGCCCAAGAAAATTTCAATCTGTCTACAAAACTCACAATCATACAGAACAATCATAATAATGCCCCGTACCACCACAAATAAATTCTATTTCTACCACAATCATCATACATCACAACTTAATTCCATACTCAACCATCAATTCACATTAAAACCAAACATATCCTCATAACTATGTATAATTAATTCGTCGTATTAAACATGGAACAAACAAAACACATGCAAAGTGCACACACAAAACACAAACATGCACAAAAATAAAAAGAATTTCCTTCAACATCATCTTCTTTGGAGCTAGGAGTTACCACCACACAAATGTTTGATTGGAGTGGACTTTAACTCACATCTGAAAGCACATATGTAATTCAAAAAAAGTGAACATTGATCTTAAAGACGATAAAAGAAGAAAAATAAATACCTTACATCATTGATTCTCAATCTAATTGGTCGGTCGTAAACATCAAGGAGAGCATGCACAAATTCATGTGCGAGTAGTGGCGCTCAAGTATTTCTAAGTTCTAACTAATTCAATTTAGGTTGTGTCTTATTATTATAGATAGCGATAAAATGTGACTAAAGGTATCATACAATTCATAAAAAAAATTAAACATTGATTGTGGACTCAAAAAAAATGAAACACAGAACATGGACACAAACTAAGCTGAAAACCTACATTGCACCCTTAACACACCCACTTTGCATACATGCTCAACCAAGTATTACTAATATGAATATTCTCATAAAGACATTATACTAAATAAAAAAATAGCAAATATTTAATCAAAACATTTTTTTGTTCTTTGACACAATTTTGACAAAATTTGAAAGTTTCTAATGAATATAGAACCTTAAGAAATATAGACAACCTATAAAATGCTAATTACACGTGTTGTGTGGGTGTTTGTGCCATTGAAAATAGAAGATCAATGACTCAACTTCTATTCACCACATCACTTGGTTCACCGACTTGAAGAAATATAGACGACCTATAAAATTAATGATTGAAATTTTCAAATTGAAGCAATATAAATTGCGAATTTAGTTTCACTGTTTATCAAACACGATCCAAAAATAATAAGTTAGAACTCAAACTATAAATCAAGGAAATCAATAATTCAAGTTATGAAGTTGAAATTTCACCTGAAATGGTAACACCCAAGGCCATGCTTGACCCTATGCCTATGTTCCCATTAGAGCAGGTCTGAATTTCAAGACCCTGACTCTGTCCAAGAAAGCAAATCATTAACATCAAGGTAAAATAAAAACTTGCCCAAGCTTTTTTTTTTTCGGAAGGTAAAACTTGTCCAAGCTTTACTCTCAGTTGCAATGAATCCTTTAACCTAAAAGAAGTAAATTTATAGCACAACTCAATTACCAGCCTCCAGATCAGTAGCGTTCAATTCTTTTATTAGCCCAAGTGAAATTCAGTTTTTCTTTTATAACTGCAAGTTTAATCGAAAGGAAACAAACATAATCCCCAAAACTTCAGCAAATAACTGCAATAAAGAACCTAAAACTGAATCAAATGCAAAAATACATGCAACAATTTGATTAGATAACCATAAACTACATAGTTTTACACAAACTTAAACTGAACCCGAAAAGACAATTTTTGTTTAAAATAAAAACTTGACCTAAACAAACCCCAACTAAAACAAAGAAAATCACCATAAATATCCTATGGTGGTGGTGTGAGATAGTAGAACTAATGCATTCTTCAATCAATGTCACTCATAAATTTAACCCCAAATCAATCAAAAACAATTCTAAGACTACCAAAATAATATAAATTTCAAACTCAATTTGAGCCATGCACGTGTGAGTCGTGAGAGAGAGAGATAGAGTGTGTGTGTGTGTGTGTGCGTGTGCGCTTCGAAGTGGTAAAAGGAGCTTCAAATTGAACCTAATTATAGTCTAGAACAAGCATTGACAACAAAAATTCACAAAACTCGCTGGAAGTTTAATAAACGTGGATTAGTGAGTGTAGTAGATGGAACTTCGAACTTTGAGAAGCGGGGTTGTTGCCAATAACCAATTAACAACTGGAAGATGCTTGACAAAATTCTCACTGTAATTCGAAGAGCTGTGCAGCAAAGAAAGGAAAGCAAATTGACCAATTAGTTATAGTGAACACAAATCCATATTCTAAACAAAAGAAAGGAAAGAGAAATTTAGGTGACCTAATCTGAGCATTTGAACAAAAACCAAATCAACAAAGTTGGGTCTAATCTGAAACTCAACAAAAAATAATTAAAAGAAATTATATACATGTACTGTTATGCAGTTAGTAATGGCATATTTAGGTCAAATACATTTAAATAAACATCAAAATCAAAATTGTAACAAAACCACAATCAATTTGAACACTTGCAGCAAAAGGCTTTTTTATGTGGCACAAAATGCTTGGGGGTGGGAGTGGGGGTGGCGCAAAAGGCTTTTTTTCGCCCAAGGGGGGGGGGGTGTGAGAGATGGAGGTGGATTTGCAGTGGAGGAGAACTTGGGGGTGGGTGTGTGAAAATAGAGAGAGAGTGAAACTCTTCACTCATTGACTTCCACTCAAACTACTTCCTTGGCAGCTTTTTGTAACTCCACCTAGTTGAGAACAGAGCACAAAAATGGTATAAAAAGATGATCTCACAATTTCGTATAATTATATCATGCAGGTTTAAGACGGCTCGAACATTTTTACGTAACATTTTTTCAATTAATGAATGAGATTCGAAAACAAATGACACAATCTAACTAAAATCCAAACAAATTAACTTGTAAGCAAAGCATACACTGACCTCTTTTTTTCTTAGAGGGGCTACAATTAAGGGCCCAACATGTGAATGAGCCAAATGAGCTTCAGCTTGCTCCACCTGTTCAGCTTAGTAAGGAAACTTAACCATAAGCAATGATATCATAATTACAAGGTTATTCATTCGCTATAGTCCTACGAACAATTGATAATTTCCCAATTGATTATGGAAAAATACTAAAGCATTCATAACAGTTATAAGGAACTTGCCTAGATCCAAATTTTGTAATGTGACGTAGTCTCCGAGCAAAGGAAATGAAGAAAGGGTATTCACACGGTACTTTTTTCAGAATAGATCCAAGAGGCCACAATCAAGAGATAACATGGAATACATGATGTCGAATGCATCATACTTCAAAATAGAGAAAGAAAATTTTGGCAAATGCTGAACCATGAGGTTCAGGGAAAAAACCTGATGGGTCCAACATATAACAACATGTCTTTAAGGCACACCAAAGGCTGCTTCGAGAACCCATCAGCAGGCACCTACTATTCCGTCGGAGCATTCGGTAACCAGAATGCAT